GTTTATGGCATCTGCACATGACGATGTTATACGGCAGCGCGATGTCGAGAGTCTCGAAACTGCAGCATTGCGCCAAGACGTCGTGGAACTTATTGTAGACCAAATCAAGAAGTCCCAAACAAGGACAGATGACGCTAACATCATCGCGGTCAGTCAGCTCATTCTCGGTGAAGTCATTAGTCGGACAGAAATGAGTCTGGCTTATCATCAGGACGGCATGGAGAAGATGATTAAAGAGCGTGGTGGGCTAAACGAGTTGGGTGTAAATGGCTATCTGGCATCTGCAGTGTCTTGGGCACACCTGGCGACCGCGGTCCTGCGCGAAACAACACCTAGCGCAATGTATGTTGAGTACTGCGTCAACAATTCGACAAGGGAATACCCGCCTAATGTCACAGCCCCAGAGTCTCCACTCTACTGTCCTCGCGGGAAATATGTGACAGTCGAGGATTCACGGGCAGTCGCGTATCAGCCAAATACATTACAGCTCCTGAACGACATGCGAACATTGATTGAAGAATTTCTCGAGGAGTCGAAGGACGCTCAATGGAATTTGAACAAGCTTACAAGCATGACCTACCGCATCACCCAATACCCGGCCTTGGAACAAATGTCTAGCAACAACGTGCGTACACAAGAAGATTGGAAATACGAGGCAATACGGATTACTGCCGTTGTCCAAGCATACGCAATCAACAACCGAACCCAGCTGTCGGATGCCATTGCGCACGCGTGTCCAACGAGAAAAATGTCTACAATTTACACATCGTCACTGGCCTCGCAATCCAGTGAATCTCTACCTTCGCCCTTTGATGTTCCATACAGTACCCCGGATACGGATTACTCGACGAGTCCATCATTCGGTGGCTCATTCAGCTTTGGCTCTTCTGCACAACAGTCGAGCTTTCCCTTTGTTCACCGATCCTCGGACGCCTCAACCGCTTCACACCACCCATCATTTTCATCCCAATTATCTGTCTCAGCAGAGACACTGCGCAACCAACGGCGTTTCACCACACTCTCAGAGGTCAGGGAAGCACTGGAGAAATCCAACCTCTCCGACTGCTGGGGTGACATGGCTGGTGTACTTCTCTGGATCGGACTCGTCATGGGAGCCGCCAGTTACCACGAGAAAGACAAGGTGCTACGACGATACTTTTCCGCGCTCACGATACGAGCGTGCATCATGCTCTGCTTTGAGCATCCAGAGGCCATGCATGCTACCATGCTCAAGATGACGGCCGTGGTCGATGCGTTGCGAAACAAGGACGAGGTGCAGATTGCTACCAGTAGGAGAGAATTAGAGGCACCGCGCAAACGAACAAAGGCGTAAAAGAGAGAGGACAGACGAGTCGTCGCCAGTGAGGTTGCAATAAGCTTTTCCCCACAGTGGCGATGTTCTTTTTTTGTTGTGGGCGACCGTGCGGGCAGGGCTGTAGGGCTGATATGCGGCCCAAGTACCAAATTTGGAGTTGCAGAAAAATTGAGTTGGCAGGGAATTTGGCAGGGAAATTCGGTAGCCACCTTTTTTTTCTTCCTTTCTTTTCTCTTCTTTTCCCTTGCAAGCGGTGGTATCTGACTTCTGTTTTTTTGCTGTACGATATCATTGGGGCTTTCTCAACTTTTTATCTTCTCGTTTCTTTTTAGCGAAGCGTTGGAGTTGGCGCTGAGACCAGATAGCTGTGGCAAAATGCTCGAGTGTTCTCTAACTAGTGGAGACTCTCTCGTGTTCCTTTTCAAGACATTACTTTGGATGCATACACACACCTTAGTTGTATTGTGAATAATCGTGACTTTGATTCATCAGTGTCATCTATTATAGTAGCGGTCTGGGGTGCACACGCCCCATGTTGCCATCTTCATTAACCACGTCCAGGCAGCTATGCCTCATCCCTCCAGAACAGTCAAGCCCGTTGCCATGTAGCCGACCTCTTTCTTTAACCGTGAGTAATATCCTTGACGGTACCGTCCTCATCAACGTGTACGTTCAGCCTGTCTGGCTTGAAATCCATAGTCTTCATCGAGTCGGGCCCGAGGACGCGGTGCTGCTCTGGGAGATCGGTCTTTGCGAACGTCTAGCGATTTCACTCAACTCGTTAGTTGCTCAGTCCAAACATGTAAATAGTTATCAACATGTTTAAAGAGATAAAGGAGGAAGGAAAGGGAAGTTAGGGCAAAACTCACCACTTCATCGTGCTGCTCGCCAATCTTCTTCCCCATGAGCTTGGTCATCCACTCTTCCTTGGAGTTTCCATCCTTGGACTGGATACCGGGGACGACGAGAGGCATTTTGCGTGATGGAGTCGAATAAGATCTTGTTTGTAGAAGAGTTCGAAGGAAAGGCGTGGCTGTGGATGTAAAAGGTGTATATTGTTTTGAGGTGTAGTTGTAATGAGGATGAGAAGGGGAAGACAACCGAGTTTACTTATGTATGCAAGTTTCGGCTTAATAGTAGGGGGGGGGGGGGACACAGACCCTTGCTCGTAGTAGTGAAGGGAACTTGGCTGTTTGATGGGAGGGGCGTGGCGTGGTGGTCACCAGGCGTCAGAGATTAGGGCCATGGTTGCGTTGCGTTGCGGCCGGGGGGTGACGTCACCCGTGTCTAGCCGCGGTGAGAAGGTGGGGGTGAGTGTAGGGCGGGGTTGCTATTCGACTGGTTGTCGCAACTCTGGTAGCTTGCGTCCGCCGGCTTGTTTGCTGTTTCATGTGCTCTCGGGAGGGTTGGGACTGACGTAGTGTTGTATGTGTGTGTGGGTAGGCTAGTAAAGGTGCTTCTAGATCTTTGCTGGATCTTTTTGGTTGTGTCTCACATGTAATGTACTAGGTTGGGTTCTGACGTACTTTTTTTTTCTCGCTACCTGCGCTGTCTTCTAATTAGATAAGGGTAACAGTCTTGGGTAACTATGGATTTGGTGGAGCAGAGGGGCTTGTCTTGCAACTAGGATTGTCCACCTTCCCTTATCATCTAGCTCAGTGACATGGATCAACATTGAAACATTCCCATAACTAACAAGTCTTGAGCAACAAAATCGGTGTGAGAGATAGAAACGAATGAGATACGTTACATATCAACCTGATAGTGTTGCGAGAAGGTTTGGATCTAGTCGTGGCTTGATATTGATATTGATAAATGGACCCTGGCAATCAAGGGTCCAGCAGCTTGAAGTATCCTAAGTTTGCACAGGGCGTCATACAACCTACAGAAATAACAGAAGTTCATTGGTATAGCTGCAACTAGACAGCGGTAGGCTCATTGTGCTATGCAGAGTTCAAGTGTATTCGTAGGACATGCTTAGAATGGCTACAACGGAACTATCCACAAAAATGGCCAAGTTGTGATTATCTCCTTAGACTCTGGCCGTAGAGATAGATATTAAAAAAGCCGACAATGCTAGAAAGCTCACTGTGCTGCTGCATACTTGGACCCAGGACGAAGATTAGATATTGAGTGTGCTTCTCAGTTGATTACCCCTAGATCGTTTGAATGTGGATACTGAGGTTTCCGCTTGTACGATTAAATTGCGATTCAAACCGGCTGAATCGTAAACCAGAACAGCCTTGGCAATGTATTGGAATATTCGGCTCACAATCCACATTTAAAGTGTTGGCACTGGCGGACAGTCCCGCTCCCGACAAAAGTCCAGAATCGCGCCCAGACCTCAACGCGTGCTCACGCGTCAGGGTCCCACTAAAACTATCGCATTCGCACCTCCACATCCACTTCCAATCAACATACCGACCTCAATCGCACACCTCTCCACCACGCCCACAACCGCTAGTTCCTTCTGACGAGTGTTTTGTAGTTGACAATGCCGCCCAGAAAAAGCAATGTATCCGCCGTGTCAAATGAACCCAGTCCCGTAGCACCAAGATCAGCGCCGCGGGATGACAGTCTGGGTGTCGAGGTGCGCTGCATACTGAGTCAGAATCGGAGCGCAAGGCTGATGACCCGACTATAGGATCTGAACTTGCCCAAATCGATAGTGCAGCGTCTGGCTAAGGGGGTGCTGCCGCCGAATACTCAGATCCAAAAAGATGCGCTACTTGCCATGAGCAAGAGTGCAACCGTGTTCGTCAACTACATTACATCATGGTATGTCTGCCTACGCTCCGCTATCATGCTCAGTGTCGCATGCGCCGAGCCATCTTCTATACTGCTGAACCAGCACTAACAATGGGCTGTTTGATAGCGCCGCCGAGAAAGCCCTCAGCAACGGCAAGAAAACCGTCATGCCCAAGGATGTCTTCGATGCCATGCAAGAACTCGAATTCGCCTTCATGTTGCCCCGTCTTGAAGCCGAAGTCACAAAGTTCACGAGCATACAAGCCGATAAGCGGAACACTTATAGGAAAAAAGTCCGTGAGGAGAAGAAGGCATCGTCGTCAACCGGAGGTGCAACAGAATCGACGCCTACAAAACCAACAGCGGATGGGGATGTCGTCATGGAAGAGGTGGATGATGATGGAGAGAGGGCAGCGAAGAGGGCAAGGAGAGAGAGCGGGGACAATGCCGAGGGAGATGTCACGGAAGAAGAGGGGGATGAGACAGCAGACATTGAGGACGAGGAAGTCGAGGATGATGAGATTGAAGAGGAGGTCGAAGAGGAGCGCTTGGTAGAGGATCCGCTCGAAGAGAAGGAGAGCAGAGAGGACGATGACGACGACGAAGATGGCAACGACAGTGACTGAGGAGCGATGCTTTTTCGTACGGGTACTGAGATATCACTGCATGGAAAGGGCGTTTTGGCGGAACAGAGTTGAGCATTGATGTTTATTCATGAATGGAAGCACAGAGCTATCCGGGTGCGCGATGCACCTGCTCCCACAAAGATGCTTCGTATAACTTGTATGTACGGTTCGATACCCAACAACACGCTTGGACATGTCATACATGGTGCGTTGTTCTAATGCCATAGAGCCTTTGCCTTTCGTACGTTGTATAACCATAATTCGCTAGTATGTTCACCTCATTAAGCAGTACGACCCTCCAGCCTCTCCTTTCAGCGCTTCGCCTTCGCGGCCACGCTCGCATCTAGAGGATCACCGTACCGCACTACCTAGATGTCAGCCAACTTTTCCTTCTCCGGAAAGAATACACGAAAGGGAATGTCACTCACGTTTGATCATATATCCCTTGTCAACAATGTTGTCGAGTGCTCTGTTTTCCTCCTCCCTCGCCCTTGTGTTCATCCACTCGTAGCCCGGCTGATCCTCCTGCTTGCTCCACTGGTAACCTGTCTCAGGATCTGTATGTGTCCCGCTTGTGCCCAGGGTGTTTGTTGCCGAGGACTGCATCGTGCCACCAGACAATGGGCGCTTGCCGTTGGAGTTTACACCCAATGTCTCGCGAGTCTGGGACTGGGAGTTTGGCGGCGAGATTTCGTTTACGGCAGCAATATTTGCGTTATGTGGCGTAGCTGGGTTGTTTGGAAGCGCCTCATCGGGGAACATTTCGTCGTCCGAGGCATTGCGGGGGGAAGAGTGCATGGTGGAGTCTCCATCGCGGTCTGATGGGGGCGTGAGCTCCATGCGTGGTCGCTTGGACTCCATATTGGTTGGTGTTGACAGAGTAAAACTTACCAGACATTTCGGTGAGTATTTTGGGCTTGCAAGCCGATTGTAGCTGTAGCAAGGGCGTTTGCGACACAGGGTGAATGCAGGGTGCGAGGCAGCAAGCAGTGAAATGACATAGTTCAACAGCTATCTAATCGCGGGATGTGGTGGCTAGCTCCCGCTGCAGACAAGGGTCGTCGGTGGAACCCTCGAAATATTGGCGGGCTGCGACATCATAACCCCAGACCGACTCACCTCTTCTTCCGAGGTAGCTTCCGACAACACCACCGTGTTTTTTTTTTAAATTTCTCATACAGCCACAACCGGACAAGCCCAGAAATACGATGCCACCAAAAAACGCTCTCGCTGACGCCTGGGATGATGACTGGGAATCTCTCGCCGACGTACATGTGCCCCTCTTCGCTGCTTTCATTCGCTCACGCCTTGTAGAAAGAAGAGGAAAAGCCAGCCGAAGAGCAACCGAAGCCAAAACTCACAAAGGCACAACTCAAAGCCCAGCATGCTGAATTCAACAAGCAGCTTTGGCAAGCCGCGTATGCCACCCCTCCCTTCTCCTTCATTACGTCCCGAGCTGACGACTGCGGATAAGCGAAAACCCGGAGCCTCAATGGTACCCCGAAGTACGCCCTGCACCCGCCGCAGCAACCTTCAAACCAAAAGTCACAATGCTCGCCCGCAAGCCCTCCCCCCAGGTTCTTTCTCGGAACATGGCAGGTATGAGCCTCGAAGACGACGACAGCGAAGAAGAACGCAAAAAGAAGGCCGAAGCAGATTTCGAAGAGCGTAAAGCACGTGCGCAGAGGGAACGAGCAGAGAAGGAGCGAAAGTATGCTGAAGCGCGTGAACGCATCTTTGGCTCGCCAGCTGCCTCAGCTGCAGAGGACTCGCGCAACAACTCCCCGAACAGGCCCACAAGAGGAAAAGGCCGAGGACGTGGTGGCAAGGACAGTCAGCCTAGATCGAGCAACGAGCAATCCCCCGCACGAGCAGCAGCTCCTGCACGCCAGCTCTTCGACCCAAGCTACACTCCGAAGCCTGGCTCAATGCATGGCCAGAAGAAGGAGTCTGGTATCAGTCGTCCATCAACGCCGGGTACACAAGAGAAGCCAGTCCGCCAACCCCAAGGGCCTGCACGAGGCGGTGGACGGGGTTTTGGACCCAGAGGAGGTTATGGAGGTGTTCAAGCAGGCCCGTCGACATGAGCTCATAACACTCTTGTTGTACAGAAAAGGGATTCCGAGTGTAGTGCTGATCTCTCTGGATGCTTTCAACAATGGCTATGTCGGACAATGATGGCTGGGCTAGCTGGATGAAGGGCCGTCTTTTTCTGAGCATCCAAATAAGAAGAGACGGATGAAGACAATTTCTCCCGGAGACCAAAACACCTCTCGAAGAAACCTGATATCCGCAGAGCGGCATCGACAGAGACCTAGCCCTGGAACAGCAAAGCCAATTTTCAGCATTTTGCATCTTCGAGTTTGCCCGGGTCTCCCTGCACGTACTTACGAAACTCGGGTATGCATGCGAAACACAGCATATTCGGTGTATGGCGACTCACCATATGTCTTTTCTACTCAAATGTGGTTTGCTTGTCTCACAGCAACTACCTACACAGGGAGCAGCCCACCCTGGTTTGGCAACATAGCGTCTGGACACGATCTCATAAAACCCTGCCTTCTTCCAGCCTCGCACCGAATTTAGAGAAGTTCTTAGAGAGCAACATCCGAGTTTAAGATAACCATGATCAGAGGGAGAGGGTCACAGGAGGTACAAATATGGAATGAGGTAGAGAGATGAGGGAAAAACTGGCGAAAACCGGGAGACTCGAAAGGGAGGAGTTGCTAGAACTGGAAGATGTGTAGAGTTCATTATGGGAGCAGGTGTGTTTTCGCCGGTGTTATACGATAGTTGGGCCTAGACAAAGCGCTCGATAGAACAGGGACATAGGAGTGGCATGTCGCAGTCTCGAGTTCACGACGTCAAGATCATGTTTAGCGTATTAAAATACTTAAGACAGTCTATTGGAATTAAGTAGGATTGATTCGAGGCACCTCTACTAGATTAGGGATACAACTTGGCTTCGAAGCCTTGATATTTGCTCAACCAATACTCGGGGGTACCCGTGCTGCACCTTCTACGGCAGTAAATTCTTTACTGCAATGGCCATTCGAAGCTTCACCCAGTTCAAACGCTCTCCCCTTTATGATCCGCTTCTTCACATTCTCGTATCAGAACCCTCCGCATCTAAAACCTGCACTCTCGCCTCCCCCTAACGAATCCTACTAGTTGAGTATACAGTCCCTTTCAATCCACATAATCCCTCAATTCGTCTGCATAACCTCTTCGCCCTGACATGTCTCACTCGAACCTATCGACAACCCCTGCATCGCAAGATTCGCCGCGTACTCGTCTACTATAAGCTTGATGTTGCGGTACTGAGTGCTGCTTGGCCCGAATGTTGCTAGTGCGTTGCGGAGCGAGCTTTGAAGCTTGGACGGTGTTAGTGGTAAATAGGATATAGTAGTGAGATGGTTATGTTCTGGAATGAGAGTATTCCATAGAAAAATTTTGTTGTGGCTAGTTACTGAATGTGTGAATGGCGACTTACGGAGAGTAAGAGATCGTCTGGTTGCATTGGCATAGTTGCTTGTTGGCTCTAGAGTTTTGTTTTGTTTTTCCTTCTTTTTCTTGGGTAAATTCTTCTTATTTGAAGATAGTGTAAGAGGTTGTACATACTTATTGTCGTCGTTGTCGTCGTCGCCAAACTAGTAGAAAGGGAGATTAGTGCCGATGTGAATGCCGCAGTGTATTGAGGAACAGCGACCGTTATATCTAACAGGAAAGTCTATGCCAATTTAAAAATGCTAAAAAGAAACGGGACTCCTTGGACCTCACGTGAATGACAGACGTGGTTGAGTGTGAGTCGTCTTGGACCCGGCCTCGGAGCAGAGCGGGGCATTTCGCTAAGTAGTGCCAGCCCCGCACTTTCTGTAAGTGCAAAAAAGACGCATAGATTCGGCCTAAATTGTAGAAGGAATGGGCTAGTCATAAACTTGGAGAGGAGCATTGCTAGTCATATTGAAAGCCCCTTGCTTTTTTGTTAGAGTATATAATACGTCAAAAGAGCCAGGTATTCATCAAGCTTACAAAGGCAAGATGGCCGAGTGGTCTAAGGCGCTGCGTTTAGGTTCGTTCTAAACATCCTCCGCAGTCTTCACGGGCGTGGGTGTAAGTTTAAATCTTCCAAGTTGGTTTTTCCGATCATGTTCTAATAACTTCCAGTCGAATCCCACTCTTGTCAACATTCTTTTTTTTTTTGTCCTTTTTCGGTGTTTGAAACTTCAAACGCTTACTAGGATGAACATTTTCTTTTGCTCTTCAATTCTACAAGGTTACTCTTCTGGATTTTTTTAAGGAAGGGGAAAAGGGTGTTGTAGGTAGCTGGGCTTGGCAATAGTGAACTGTGGATTATGCCGACTTTCTTCCCATATTTTTTGCCAAACGATTAGAACATGATACACAGTATACCAAACACTTTGTAACTACGGATGTTTCTCAGACTTCCTAGTTTTGTACCTCTGTATGATGATTTTTCATAGTAGGCTGCAGTGTTTTAATCAAGAGGTATGCAATGGCAAGTGTCTTTTTTTTCTCTATACCCAGAAGGCTGCAAATATAGCAGGTTAAGCAGGATAATAACTCCGGTAATAAGGAGACGGCTTTCTAAACAAGAGCCTAAATAGCATAGGATGTTATGAGGATAGTCATAACGGTATGTGCTGTATAGGCTGTTGTGACATGTATGGGTTACTTTTGTGGAGTTCTCTCGAGGGCGACATATCAGGAGCACGGAAATCACTACGGGTGTATTTCCAATGTGATTCCTTGTTTCCGATATTATTATTTCTTCTTCTTCTTCTTCTTCTTCTTCTTCTTACAACGGATGGGCCTCTTGTATCATCTGAGAATTGATCAGATGTGAGTTGCGGCAATGGAGCCAAAACGCTAGATCTATAGGCCAGCGCAAGACGATTAAAACCAGCGGACACAACACATCCAAGCAAACAGATGGACATTAGCTCTTCTGAAGATGAAAGCGGAAGGATAGGGTTTGGCGTTCCGTATGGCTTGAGTGGCCTGCATGAGTGAAGAGTCATCCTGTAAGCATTGAGCTCCGTAGCCACAGGAAAAAAACTTCTCAGAGTCACACACCCATCCATCAGAGTCTACAGCTCATCTTACCGCCATGGCGAATGTGCACCCTATGTAGGACTGGACATGAAACTTACGTGTCGTACTGTGAATCATAAACATTAGAGTCCAAACCTGCTCAGCGTGACTGCCGTGACACATCAACCACTCATGTGCCGGTAAAGTCACGCTTGGCGGCACAAGAGTCATAAGAAACACCAGGCATCACCATGATACATCGAATGCAGTAAGAGTCATTGATAAAGAATAGTTGTTTATAAGGAGACTATCGCATATACTAGAGCACGAAAACATTCTCACTAACAAACTGGTCGAGAAACCGAAACATCGTCAGCACCACATTACCACTCCCGCCAGGCGGAGTCAATCTAAAACCACATCGGGGAGACTGCACACCGGCGTCAAAAACATAAGCACAAGGCGCGTAAACACAAACCGTAGGTGATACGACCGCGAGAGAAGCCAAAGAAGGGAGTCGCGAAGAAGCAACGAGAAAGAAAAACTTTTGCCGAAAGGCAAGGCTGGTTCTTCACCAGCTCCTAACGACCACTGGGGGACCATATGAGAGAGACGAGGACATTCATTGTCCGCTGTATCCATGAGCCATAGCAATGCTCTTCCATTTTTCAACCTCAGCCTGCAGCTCAGAGTTGCGCTGCTCGAGGGTGCTGACATGATCAAACTTGCGCTGACGAGACTCACGAGCAGCAAGCGTATTGCGTGCTCGCTTCAAAGCGACCTTGTCATTGGGGTCTACCGTGATGCTTGGCAGAGGACCCTTTCGCCGACGAGACTTGCTGACGCCGTTGATGGCAGGTGAGTTGGTAACAGATGACTTCCTTCGAGTGTAGCTGTCCAAAACGATGGGGGAGCCGGTGCTGGAAGAACCAGATCGCTCCATAGACTGGCTGCTGATAGTGCGCTCCAAAGGCATGGAGATGGCAGGCGCATACACATTATCAGGAACCTTGGTCTCCTGCTCGGGGAACAGGGAGAACCAATCGCTTGTGTCGGTCATGTTGGGCTCGCCGTTGAACATGGGGGAGCACTCGAAGCTATCGTTGATGAAGGGGGAGTCACCGATATCGGGAGAGGTCAAGTTTGTGAACGCCGTAGATGGGGGCGCAGACCCAAAGGCATCATTGAAGATGTCCTTGGGGGACACGGTGCGCGTAGACCCGGCGGCAACAGAAGGATCGTTGATCGCCGTGAATGCGGACACCGAGTCCAGAGAAAAGCCTCCGTTGTTGAAGTTGGACATCAGGCTTGCGCCCGAGTCAAAGGAGTTGTTGCTGTTCAAGTCTGCCGGCATGGTGAGCTCGGAGTCGAGAGCACATAGAGGATGCACCGTACCTGCCATGTTTGTGGCGTTGTGGAGTTGAGGAATGTTGTTGCTAGAGCTGGAAAACAGGGGGACTGGGGGACGCTGGCGTAACCGTGGCTGTTGGAATTCTGTAGTGGATGACGGGGCAGAATTTGCGTAGAAGTGCTGGCCGTTGTTAAACGTATTCTGAGGAGCGCTGGGTGCTCGCTGAGGCCGATGGGAGACCGGAGCTGGTTGATCGTAGAGGACAAAGTCCGGCTGACGATGCGCGAATGCGGGTTGACTCGTATTCAATGGTTGCCGAGAGGCGTTGGGAGCTGGTGAGGAAAGCCATGTTGACTGTTGGGAAGCCGTGGTGGACGACGTGAAGTCGAACGGGGAGGAAGACGGCGAACTAAAGCTGCACGAAGCTAGACTTGAGTTCAGAGGTTCCAAAAAGGAAGACTCTGAGGTTGTGGATTGAATGGGGAAAGTGGGTATGGTGGCGGGATCCAAGGTGTCGGCTGTGAGTCGACTGCGAGACGCGGGGGGAAGCTAAAAGGCAGCCATTATGGATGACTGTCTTGTGTGTGTGTGATGCTTGTAGTTGTGGATGTGGTGAGTAAGAGAGAGCAGAATTTCAGGCAGCGAGGGAAGTGGGGGGGTTAAAAGTGTTTGGAAGCGAGCGCGGCTTCACAAAGGCCCGACCTGTGACTCACAAATGCTGCAGCAGCGCCAATACCCCTTAGCCAATAGCCTCGCCCCGCCGCACCCTCCTCCATCAGCCCTAGCTCCCAATTAGGCGGCCGGAAGCTGGCCCTTTGCGACACGGCGCACTCGGTGGATGCGTCGCATCTCTTGAACGGCCTCATTGATATGGACAACACACCTACTACACAGAGCACGAGGCCCTGTGCATCCGCTTCTGCTGGCAGCAGCAGCTCATCACCTACACTACTCAACCCATTGAGGCGATGCTTGCGACTTGGACTTGGGCGCCACGAGTGCGGCGACTCGCACTGCAGTGAATTTCAGGCATCAGCATTTGTGCGCTTGTACCAGTAGGGCGCGCAGCATGTTACATGGGGTCCCCCATGTCAGCTGCGCGCCGAAGCCGCTTGGGATGATTACCAAAAGGCCAACCTGACGCGGGCGAGAGGGCTGGGGGAGGCTTAGGTGCTGCGCCCTTTTCATCAATTGCATATTGGTGGATGCGCGGTATGCGCTCTCTCAGTTCCATGTCGACTCATTGGTGTCGTCTGTCCAGGCTTCAGCGTGTGCCCAGGCGCATTTCTGCGCAGTTGGAGGACCCGGTGCAGCGGGGAAGCAAGTTGTTTCAAGAGCGGTGAAGACAAAGGTGAAACTATGTTTGCTGGCTTGGACATCCAGCTCGTCGGATCAAATGTCTTTACGTACGCAGCCGGCCTGCAAATGGAATGTGAGCATGGCACTCGGGCCTCTTATCGATACGTAGACCCCCGTATTCAGCCGCTCCAATACCGATAGGCGGCTCAGCGGCATCCCTGTCACATGCTGCCTCTCACTTGCGACTGGTTCCCTCTGCCACCACCACTGCCCTCGCTTCACGCGCTGTGCTGTCTACCCCCTCTATCCGTAACCTGCATCGCCGGCCGACAGCAATCTGGAATATTGAACAGCAAAATCCCCACTTCACCGCGCGCCCCTGAATCCAAATGCACTGCCCAAGTCCTCCACGGCCGCGGATACCCACAAGCACTTCGACTCCACGACTTGGCTCTGCTCAAGGCCTCTTGTCCCCGCATGATCATGCTTGACGAGGAACCCCTTAGTCACATCGCCGGACTTGCCTCGCTTTCTTAGTATCCCGTTCGTTCATGGACACATGAGCGCTACACAACGCTCGTCGTGCAGATAGACAGCATGCAATCTACATGCCGTCATTAAGTGGGGCGCATGTCTTCCTGCGTCCGTTGCAGTCATCTGCACGTGAGAGTGCATGGAAATAATTGCGTCTCCACATCATGAAAGCTTACCTTGGCTTGCCTTGGCATGTAGCGACTAACACTCAGAACTACAATACACGACGGTACTGAGCCAGTCTCCTTTTAGGGAAGCCGCCATTTGTCTCCGAGTAACCCTCCGTGAGGTTGCATCATGCTATCAGGTCAAGGGCCGGTGCGAGCTGCCGAAAAGTTACACGCGGCTTGCGATGAGTGCAGTGAGTACCTCGAGCTAGGCTCCCACATTAGCCTTACGCATCTCAACAACACCCAGGGACACGAAAGTTGAAGTGCTCGGGTGACATGCCAAAATGTCTTCGTTGCACAAGAGAGCAGATAGGTTGCGTTTACTCGCCTCAGAAACAGATGGGCCGACCTAGGAAGAGGAGGAGAGAAGGCGAGGCAGACGAATCTGCCACATTCGTCCAAGGGCCGAATGAAAACACAAACATTATGAATAGTTTTTCTGAGATGCAAAATCGTTCTGATTTCGATGGCTTAAACTCACCACCGCTCCTTCAAGATACCTACTCTTCAAACGAGTCATCAGGACATGAGGCTTTGACGCCAGGGCAATTTGACCCCAGTCTCTCTGACCAGTTGGGAATACCACCTGGGTCCAACTCCGCGTATGTGCCCTCTGTCTAAACACCCACCAACACACTAAAGAAGCTCAGGTCTCATTTGGAGCCGGCAATTGACCCATCATTGTGGGAACTGCAACCTGACACGTTAACCAACAACATCAATCAACCCCTATCAAACCAACAGATTGCAGGGCCATGTACCTGCATCACAACAACGTGGATGGTACTTACTGAACTACAAGCTGTCACAGCCTTCGACTTTCCCCAAGTCGTCATACCCTTGAGAAATGCCATGTCTGCATTGGCCAACATAATCAGCTGTCCACAGTGTCCCAAGGAGCCCTTCAACGCGATACAAAATATACAATCCATTGTTTCTTTGATGAAAGCAATAGTCCAACGCTTCAACAAGGTACTATTAGAAGTCGACCGCGAAGCTGCTCGCCTGGAAGAAGCCGGTCAGAGAAAGCCATATCGGATTGGTGACAATAACCCTGCCTTGTCCCACCTACATACTGGAACCGCAGACTGCCCAATGGGCTTCAATATTGAATTGGAACCCAAGGACTGGCGGCGTCTAGTAAAGACTGCGCTCAAGACAGAAGTGTACGGAAGAGGAAGCAATCCATGGCCACTGCTAGACCTAGTGAAGAAGAGCGAAATGAGACAAGAGGAGTGGCACAAGGACCGACACTCTTGGGTTGATGAGATGATACAGTTACATGGTGGAAGAGAAGAGTGCCATGTTTCACAAGGCTGTGAGGCTTTGGGAGCGCAACATATCCGGAGAGCAATTGATAATCTCAAGTGGGACTGATTGGAGACCGCACATGAGTGTAACTGATGGGTGGCAGGAAGGCACTACTCTTGGATTTCTTCAGACTTCGTCAACTTCCAAACTCCACCACTATGAATTGCATGCTAGTTGTCAAACTTGTAGTGAATGAAAGCTAACCGTACTGGCTATTACTCGGGCGCCTGGCAATCTGAGCATACAGTAAACAGTCTTAGTATGGTTTGAGAGAAAGAAAGAAAGAGCAGTTTAGAGACATCTAGATTAGACACGATTCAATCGTAAACTTCTCAGCTTGTGCACAATGTTCAAACGGGTCCTGTACGTCCAAACAAGGGAGGGATCGTACGCAGTTGCCGCGGCTTCGAGCCGGGTGGGGCGAGTCCGGGGTCGCTTAGGGGTCGAGTCGAGACGACTAGCGTGACCGGAGCGGAGAAACAAAGATTCAGAGTGGGATGCACATGCAACTCCCATCCCACTAGGTCGGCGCGCAATTCACTCGTCACCGCGTCCCGACCCGTGTTTGTGTTCGCGCCCGATCGCACTGCCCCACCTCGTTGGTGGTCGCACCCTACAAACAGCACTCACCAGCACCCGTCACTCCCCTTTAGGCAACCTGCCGACAGCAAGCGCACCATGGACGACTTCAACAGCGAGACAGACAGCGACTATACAAGCTATTGGCGAGATTGGGTAGGTACATGGACACCTCCTCTACTTTCGGCTCTGGTATTGCTTGCGTAGCATGATATATACCGTCAGACATGACTATTGTGTACATGTATGGGTGGCCCAAAAAGGTGCTGCTTGCATGGTATGGCTCATTCGCTTGTCCTTCACTGCAAGGTCACGTCTGATCATACACCAGTAACCCTTGCGCCTTCAAGGGCTACCTTGCAGCATACCAGTGCCTTCACCCTATTGACGACTTCAACAACGACTTCTTTGCGGCGGACTGGGACCCCCTCCTGCTCCTTAGGTCTCACTGGTGGCTGGACTATTGGCGGGATCATAGAGATGTAGAGGCAATTTAGATGTGTTCAAACCCGGACTAATACTTGTGTAGTTTATATCCTCACGAGGAAACGAGTACTTTTGCGAAATTGACGAGGAATACCTTACCGACCGCTTCAACCTCACGGGTCTGAATACCGAGGTCCAATACTACCAATATGCGCTGGACCTTGTAACCGACGTCTTCGACTTTGACTGCGACGATGATATGCGGGAACAGATTGAAAAATCGGCGCGGCATCTGTACGGTCTGGTGCACGCTAGGTACATTGTCACGACTAGAGGTCTGGCAAAGATGGTACGTGTCTTGTCTGCGGACGCATGTCATGCTCCGGCTCAGCGCCTATACTAACAAAATACCATAGCTCGAAAAGTTCAAAAAGTCTGACTTTGGCAAATGCCCACGCGTAATGTGCGAATCACAACCCCTCCTTCCAATGGGTCAATCCGACGTGCCCAATGCCTCGCCCGTAAAGCTTTACTGCGCCCGTTGCGAGGACCTCTACAACCCAAAGTCCTCGCGCCATGCCATTATTGACGGCGCATACTTTGGCACCTCGTTCCACAACATCTTGTTCCAAGTCTACCCCGCGATGCTTCCCCCGAAAACACAGCGACGATACGAGCCCCGTGTCTTCGGCTTCAAGGTGCACTCCGCAGCAGCGCTGGCACGGTGGCAATCGGACAAAAAGGAGGAAATGAAGGATAGACTGAAGGCGCTGAAGATGGAAACTGGATTCGAGGAAGAGGACGAGGAATTAGAAGACGACGATGATGACGATGACATGGAGCTTCAGGAAGGCGTTCAAGGTGCGGCTGCACAGCTGTGACAAATGGGCCTGTAACGGCCTTCTTTTTCCTTCACACAAGACGTCTAGGCTGAACAAAGCGATACACGATAGAGCATGGATCTACGAGTTGCTCATCATGGACAGGGTAGGCTATGAATAGGGTTTGGAGCATATGCAAATGCCTCAGACTAGCATGGATTCGGCGATAAGGGCGTCATGGCTGGGTTAACAATGGGTATCTGAGATACCAAACAACCCGAAACGATCAAAGTAATTCAAATTCTACCGTTTTTCTGAAGCAGATTTTAGTGCAATACACATGGGCAGTGTGATGAAGGCAATGATTTGGGTAATGTAACATTGCGTGTGATTTGCTATAGCGGAGAACGACAGTGAATATCATATCTCTCTTTTCTGTTCTTTCTTGATCCAAGGTTGGAAACCAGTCCATCCCAGACCTCTCTGTATACCTACATAACCACCGCCGAGATCCAAGCGAACGTTGATACAAAGTCGAGAAACAATCAAAAGAGTAGAATATATGTATATTGTATAATCCATTAAAGAGAGAGAGAGGTAGAGAAGAACCAAAAAAAAGTACAGTTAATAAACTATTAAGACAAAAAAAGGTGGTCGTATCGAAGAATGGGAAAAGATCGAGAAAAAAAAGGATAAAACGCCCACGCAATGCATCATCATCGCATACAACTTCCGAAAAAACCATCCATCTTCGTAATCCAAACAGAAAAGCAATAACCACAAAAACGTAACCGACATTTCATGGCATGTACATGTTTACTTTGCGCAGAAAATAAAAAAAGAGGATCGTGGGAAAAGAAGCCGAAAGTAAGGTGGAAGAAGAAGGAAGAGGAGTAGGGAGAAAAGCAGAGCCGAATTCCCTTTGGAAAAACAAGAAAGAAAAGCATATAGCAAAAAAACACTTGCTTGACACCTTCAGCTCCCACATGTTTTTTTTTCGCTTCTTTAGAAACCAGCAATCTTCTTGAACCAGCTTCCCCTCTTGACGGCCGGCGCTGGTGCCCCGCCCTCTACCGTGGGCCTACCATCCCACGTCCTAACAGGCGGCTCTTCGTATGCAGGTGCATAGCTGGTGCGTCTAGCGTTCCTCTTGCGATCGCGTTCATCATCCATGGGCTTCATAGTCTCGTAGTTGCTTGCACGACGGCTGTGCTTGTATGCGCGGTCGCGGTCGCGTTCTTTTTCTTCGGCTTTACGACGCTCGGCACGCTCCTTGTCGCGCTTGGGTCCGCGGCGGCCTGCGATGCGCAGGCGAATGTCTTCGTCTTGGGATTGGGTTTCTTCGTCGTCGTCATCGTCGTTGGCGCCGGGCGCGGGGTCGAGTACGGTCTCGGAGATAGGGGGAGGTAGTGGTGGCTCGTTGGATAGAGATTCGACCCATGACGATGTTTTGTCACCGCTCTTGTTGTTCATGTATGGCATGTTTTCTTCTTCCCGTGCCTGACGAGAACTGCGGTGCTTGGTTCGGTTGGCGACGCCGTTGCGCTCGTCAAAGTAGTCAGTAATGGGCTCCCCACTAGCTTGTACCGGGTATTCGGAGTGACGCCTGGCAGCACGGCGTTCTTCGTGACGACGGCGACGTTCCTCGTCCTCGTCTATGTATGTCCGCCGACGTTCGGCCTTTGGACGCTCTTCTTCGCGGGTCTTGTCTTTGCGACGTGATGAACGCTTCTCGCGATCCCGCTCATCAGTCGGCTTACGGTCACCTCGTGCCTTTCGCCGTTCTTCCTTCTCTGCCATGCGACGCAGTTGTTCCTCTGCTTCCTTGTTGCGACGTTCCAACTCGGCCATTTGCCGAGCCTTCTTCTCTGCAAGTGTCGCACGCTCGTTTTCACGCTCGCGCTCACGGCGCCTCTCAGCCTTAGCCTCTGCTTCTTCGAGTTCGGCACGACGAGATTCTTTCTCTGCATCGCGTTTCGCCCTACGCTCAGCTCGTCTTGCCTCTCGTTCGGCATCGTAATCAGCGCTGCCGTTGCCGCCGCCATTAGCACCAGACATCATAACTTCTTCAGGGTCCTGGGCGCGAGGATTGCGCAAACTGCGGCGCTCGTGTCGCAGTCGTTTGGCTTCATCATCAGTAACTGCGCCGCGTGTTGTGGATCTTTTGCGATGTCTGCGCTCATCTTCGGTCTCGTAGGCGGTGCGGCGGCGTTCGCGAGGTGCCTCTTCCGGCGCCGCTGCCTTCTTGCGCCCGAGTCCAAACATACCCTTGAAGCCTTTCACAGCAGCAGCAGTGCCTGCGACACCGGCAAGTGTGTTGATAGCATCTGAGTTGCCTCGCGCGCGACGAGGTCGCTCACGGTCCCGCTCACGGTCCCGTTCACGACGGGGCCGCTCAGCCTCGACTGGTACAGGGTCCGCCTCCATTGGGTCAACAACGATAGGGTCGTCTGCGCTAGGCGATGCACTCATGGGTTCGAGTGGCTGTGCCGAATCACGCTTAGATTTGCGACGTGGATACTCTGGTCGGGAAGCCGGGGGAGGGGATTCATCATCAACTTCGTTCTCATCGTCCAAAGGATATGGGTCTAGAACAGCAATCAGGCAATTAGCTTCGTATGCTTGCGTATGACCAGGCCGGCCAATGAGAGATGCACTGTGATTAGCGGGGAGCGGCTTACCTCGACTTCTGCCCTTGTCTCTAGAATCCCTATTACTGGCCCTGCGGGACGAACCCTGCTCGCCCATAAGCCGAGCGGCCTTGGAAGACATCTTCGCATCAGTATCGGTCTGTGGTGGTGACATCATGGCAGCGTCCTGGTCGACAGAAGGTCGGCGTGACGATGTTTTCATGCCTGAGGTGCGATGTGACTTGGAGCGTGATGGTGGGGGCGGCGCAACGCCAAACATGCCACCGAGGCCTGTAGAAACCCGGGCAGTCTTGGAACGTGACACTGTTGGCCTGGCTGCATGCGCCTTGTCAGACCCGGAGGATCGTGATTTGATATCGTTGTCTCTGGATTCTGATGTTCGCCGGTGTGATTTTGTACGTGTCGCTTCAGGCCTGGTGGCACCATCCTCACCACCAGATCTTGTCTTGTTCTTTGACTTGGAAGCTCCGAACATACCACCCCAACCGCCAGAGGTAGTTCCACTACGGACTCTGTTGCGCTCCTTCTTGGGAGAATTTGCCTTGGGTTCAGGTAATGGCTCTGGAGGAGGAGTTGGGAGTTTGGCAGGCGCATCATCTTCATCTGCTGAAGCGGCGTCTTCATGGTCGATTATCTCTGGGTCCTCGGGCACTTCTTCAATTTCGGGTTCTGGCTCTGGCTCTGGCTCCAGTTCAGGTTCAGGTTCAGGTTCAGGTTCAGGTTCAGGTTCAGGTTCAGGTTCAGGTTCAGGTTCTGGTTCTGGTTCTGGCGGAGGTGGTGGTGCCTTGGTCCTGCTGCTCTTCTTGGACTTTTTGTGTTTTCTTTCAGAGACCACAACAACAGGTTCAGGTTCCGGTTCCGGCTCAGGCTCAGGTTCCGGCTCCTCTTCAACAATCGGCTCGGGCTCTGGCTCTGGCTCGGGCTCGGGCTCAGGCTCCTCCAGAACTGGTGGCGGTGGAGGAGGTGGAGGAGTTTCGTCGATGGACCACCCTCTCGATTTGCTACTCTTCTTGGACTTCTTAAGCTTCTTGAGCTCCTGCAGGACAAGAGGTACATGCACAGGCTCGGGTTCGGGCTCAGGTTCAGGTTCAGGCTCGGGTTCGGGTTCCTCAGGCTCTGGAGGTGGCGGCGCATCGACAAATTCCATGAAGTCTCCGTCATCGTCAGGGAATGCGCCTGGTGCAGGCGACCTTTCCTCAGGTACTTCGATAGGCTCAGGTTCGGGTTCAGGGATGATCAAAGGGGCTTCCTCCATCTTGGACCGTTTGGACTTCTTAAGAAGTTTTCTCTCCTCCTTGGACAATTTTTTTGGAGGCACCTCAATAACCTCGACCGCTGGAGGTTCAGGCTCCGGCTCCGGCTCCGGCTCTGGTTCTTCAGGTATAGGCTCTGGCACCGGTTCCGGTTCTGGCACAGCATGTCTACTTTTCTTGGACTTTTTCAGTAGTCTTCGTTCTTCCTTGGACAGCTTCTTTGGAGGTGCCTCTTCAACGATCACAGGTTCTGGTTCTGGTTCTGGTTCTGGCTCTGGCTCTTCCACAACTGGCTCTGGCTCTGGCTCTGGCTCTGGTTCTGGCTCCTGTTCTGGTTCGGGTTCCGGCTCGTGTTTCACAGGCATATCCGTGATAGGATCGATCACGCTTCTGCGAAGGGAGATACCCCAAGCGCTGCCCCAACCACCTGCTGCTGCCTTTTGTTCCCTTCTGGTAGGCTTCTCAAGCTCAGCCAAAAGTTCGTTCGGGTCAGCATCTTTAACGAGGTCAAACAACTCATCGTCGTTTGCAGGTTCTGCAGGTTCTTCAGGGGGTGGCGGAGGAGGTGGAGGTGGAGGAGGGGCTTCCTCGACAACACCTCTCTTCTTTTTCTTCTTCTTTTCCTTAGAAGAGACAACCACGGGCTCAGGCTCAGGAACGACTTCTTGCTCAGCAGCAAGACGAGCAGCTTCAGCTTCAGCTTCCTCTGCCTCCAGTCGGGCTTTCTCGGCAGCTTCGGCAGCTTCGGCAGCTTCGGCAGCTTCAGCAGCTTCAGCGGCTTCTCTCGCTTCGTTCTCCAGCCTTTCTTGTTCTTCAAGTGCTGCCTTTTCTCTAGCCTCGCGCTCGCGCCTCTGTTTGCTAGTCTCCTTCTTCTTGGATAGTCCGAATAGACCCCAACCAGAATTCTGCTCTGCTTCCTCTCTGGCCCTGGCTGCAGCTTCCTCAGCTTCCCTTTGAGCCCTCTCAGCCGCCTCAGCAGCTTCGCGTTCCAATCGTGCCTCCTCCTCGGCAGCAGCAACACGCGCGGCTTCTTCAGCCTCAAGACGTTCTTGTTCCTCGCGTTCAAGGCGTTCCCTCTCTGCTTGCTCAGCAGCCTCTTTCTCTAGACGCTCTTGCTCCTCTTTCTTTTCCCGGGCCCTTCGCTCTTTTGTGCTCTCCTTCTTCTTCGAGGATCCCCAGATACTAGCGCCCCACCCAACAAGCTTCGATCCTGCAGATTCCTCCTCTTGCTTCTTCCTTCTTCTCCTCTCTTCCTCCTCTGCCGCTATACGTGCTGCTTCGGCTTGCTCTGCTGCGATTCGAGCTGCCTCAGCCTCAGCCTCCTCTGCCGCAATTCTAGCCGCTTCTGCTTCTGCTTCTTCAGCTGCAACACGTGCAGCTTCTGCCTCGGCCTCTTCTGCCGCGACACGTGCAGCCTCTGCTTCCTCCTCTTCTGCTGCGATTCGAGCTGCTTCTTCGTCTGCTTCTTCGGCTTCTCGTGCAAGACGCTCCTCCTCCTCTTTCTCAGCCGCCTCCCTTTCTAATCGTTCCTGCTCCTCGCGTTCTTTCTTTTCGCGTTTTTCGCGAGCTCGTTTTTCGAGAGTAGTTTCCTTCTTAGGCGGCTTAGTTGAAGCACCCAGAGAGCCCCACATGCTGCTGGACTTGCTTTCCTTGTCCTTCTTGCTCTTCTTCTTCTCCTCCACTGGTGCCTCTTCCACTACAGGCTCCTCGGCAGGCGGTGGATCATCGAGCGAGATGAGATCCTCAAAGGTATCAGTCGGGGCAACTTCCACAACTTCGCCCTTTTTCTTCTTCTTCTTAGAGGTGGTAGTGGTGAGATCTCCCCAGATATCTTCTTCCTCTGCGGGTGGAGGCGCTTCGATCGTCTTAAGCGGCGGAAGCTCGGGCTCAAACCCTCCTGGGGGTGTTGGCACATTCGGCGGTATAAGACCCTTTTTGCCCTTCTTGGTCTTCTTGCCAATATTGAATGCAGCGCTTCCCCAGGGATCTTCTTCGTCAGGCTTTTGAACAGGTGTCGTAGTGTCCTCAAGTACCTCGACAGGGACATCCTTCTTGGGATCCTTCTTCTTTCTCTTGCTCCAAGATGGCGCACCCCAGTCATCTTCATTGTCCTCAGGTTCCTCGACGTCTTCGGGTTCCTGAATGGGCGGTGCTTCTTCAACTGGCTCAGGTTCTGGAAGTGCTTGTAGTTCGACTGATTTGCTGCTCTTCTTCTTTTTCTTTGATGCACCCCATATCGAGCTCAGGCCCCAATCGGAACCTCTCTCTTCTTCTGGTGGTGGAGCTGGCTCGGGTTCCGGGATAGGCTCAGGCTCCGCTGGCGGAGGCTCTTCGATGATGACAGCAGCACCCTTCTTACCTTTTTTGACCTTTTTGACTACAGGTGCGGCTGAACCCCAATCATCCCAGCCATCGGCAGGCTTCGCGTCCGCAGGTGGGGGTTCCAAGAATTCGGGCCCAGGTGGCGGAGGTGGAGGCGGCGGGAGCTCTTCCTCTGCTCCTTTCTTGCCCTTCTTCTTCTTCTTTGTGGTTGGTGCTGTGGCACCCCAATCACCCCAAGACTCCTCATTCTTCTTCTTCTCGGCCTCGGCTGCGGCTGCGGCTGCGGCTGCGGCTTCGGCTTCTTCCTCCATCCTCTTCAACTCGGCCTCTTCCTCTTCTATCCGTCTCTGCTCTGCTTCCTCTTCTTCTTGGCGCTGGAGCTCAGCAGCCTCTTCCTCGTCTTTGACCCGCTGAGCCGCTTCCTCCTCCTCCTTCAGTTTGGCCTCTTTAGCCTCTTTGTCAAGCTTGATCTTGAGCTTTTTCGCCTGAGACTTGCTGAGGCCGGCATATGGATCAACAGCAGGCACTTCTGGCTTCGGAGGCTCCGGCTCAGGTTCAGCTGGAGCAGGCTCTGGTTCTGGTTCTGGCTCTGGGGGAGGGGGCGGTGGCAGCTCATCCTTTGCTCCTTTCTTACCTTTCTTCTTCTTCACTCCGGCAGCAGCTCCATCCCATCCACCACCCCATGGATCATCCTCCTTGACAGGTTCTGGAGCTGGCTCCTCAGGCACGGTCTCGTCGATCAAGATCCCTTTCTTGGTCTTTTTCTTAGACTTTGCGCCTGAGTCAATGCCCCAGCCATCGTCCTCGGCGGGTTTCTCTTCGGCGGGAGCGGAAGCTTTCAGACCACCAAAGTCGAAGTCGAATCCGTTTGAGTCCTTTTTCTTCTTCTTGTCCAAGGATCCCCAGGGGCTGTCCGAGTCTGCGCTAGAGTTCTTTCCACTGTCAAGAAGTCCGCCCCAGCCAGATGATTTGTTTGATGAGCCCCAACCAGAAGCCCAACTGCTTAGTCCAGGAAGTCCGAATCCAGATTTTGTTGCGCTAGTATCACTATTATTCATGTCAATTTTCGGTGCGCTTCCTTCGTCAAGGTTGATGTCGTCGAATGTTGTCGGTGGCCCTGCTGGTGGTTCAGGAGGAGGCGGGGGTGCGGCCTCGGCAGTCTATCGTGAGTTAGCGCCACGCGACATATAATTAAAGGAGCCGGGACAACGCGAACCTTCCCCTTTTTGCTCTTCTTCTTCTTGCCAGCACCGAACGAGGCCCAGTCATCCGTGTTCTGGCTCGGATTCGCCCAGCTTAGGTCAGCTGCCGCCTTTGTCACGGAAATAGTCGTTGCGGTGGCAGCAGCTGCAGCTGCGGCTGCATCCTCTTCCTCCTTCTTCTTGCGCTCGGCCTCCTCTTCGGCCTCCCTTGCCAGACGCTCCTCTTCCTCTTTCTGCAAGCGCTCCTCTTCCTCCTTCTGCAGACGTTCCTCTTCCTCTTTCTTGAGGCGCTCCTCTTCTTCCTTCTTCAATCTCTCCTCTTCCTCTCTCTGCTTCTTCGATTTCTTCTTGCCCTTGTCTCCATCGCCTCCATCTCCACCAGCAGCCCCACCGTCCGCAGGTGGATCACCACCGCTGTCGCCACCGGCAGGTTCCTCGTCCTTTTTCCCGTCGTCAACGGGAGCGGCCGTGGGTTTCTTCGCTGTAGTCTTGCTGTTCTTCTTCTTTGCGTGTGACCTGATGCCAGTATCGCAGTGCCCAAAATCAATGTCTATGTGTGGTGATTTCACATCTAGGCGGAAGGCGGAAGAGCCAGGTAGGCGCTTCTTGCTTGTGCGCGGACGTGTGGAAGCGGTGAGGCATAGTAAAGCGTCGAGGGAAGAGAAGGGAGAGTATTCAGGTATTTGCGCAATGGCCAGCGCATCGGTGGAGGTGTAGTCTGGAGGTAGGTCTGCAACAGATTCGTTGTACGAAGGTGGTGGGGGTTGAGAGATCGGCGGTAGTTGGTTCCATGGTTCTGGCGCGGACGCAGGAGCGGAGGATAGAAGGTCAGACAGCAGGGTCGCAAGGTCGGGCCACTAAAAAAAAAGTCAGATAACAAAGCGCAATGGAGCAACGAAGGTGAGGATTTGTTCAGTAAGGTTGGAGGAGGTTGTGATGTGGTAGTGAATTAGGGACCAAAAACATGTGGATAAAAGGACCAAACAAAGCAATTTCGCCATACCGAGAGATCGCCGCGTCTTGATTTTCTATCGCCAGAGTCGCGAGTGTGCCGGCTATCGAGCGCAAACTCCAAATCGTCTATGAATTCGCCCATGCGACGGTCATTTCCAGACTCGCATGATGTCATGTCCCCAGCGCTGTAGGTGCTTGTGGGCCAAGCATTTGCTACTTCCAAGATTTCGCTCTTCCCGCCCCAAAAATGTTCAGCCGATCCAATCCTCGAAAGCGGCAGGGTCTTTTGTTTTGCGGGTGGCGCGACGGCGATGGCGCGACGAGAGCTGATAGGAGACATTATGCGAGTATGAGAGGCGCAAGTGGGAGGAGCACGGCGGAGGTAAGCACATGAGAGCTTGTGCGAGACCGCAAGAGGCGAGCGGCAGGAGGACGAGGGCGAAAGCGGCGAGTGTTGCTGTGGAGGAGGCGGAGGCAGGCAGGATGCAGCGTGACTTTGCTGGTGATTATGCTGCTGCAGGGGCTCGCTGCGCCCAGCTTTAGTAGTGCTAATAGTAGTGGTATTTGGAAATAGTAGTCGCAAGTAGGGAACGGTGGTAGCCACGGCAATCCCGCCCTAGGCCTGTATGTAAACACACGGCCGGGCCTCAACAAGGCGAGTATGGCTATGCAGACCGGCGCAGAGCACAGGCGACGGGCATAGACAGACCAAAAGGTACGCGACGGGCGGGCAGAGATGTAGCGCGGCAGAGGCAAAAAAGCAGGGGAACAGACGTCGCGAGTGGTCACAAGGACTGTGTGGTGGGTGTAGGATGTGTTTCCGCAAACGCCAATCGCTATCGGCGTCGAATGGCCTCCCCTCGGCTGGGCGCACCAAGCCTGTTGGAGGTTGCGGAGCGTTTCATCCACCTCGTCACACACACACACGCGCCCGGGCCAGCAGGCGGAAAAATCCAAAAATGAGGGGTCGGATCTGTGTGCGTGTGGGTTCGTGCGTGCGAGAGTTTGTATGTAGTCTTTGTGTATAAGAGGGGCCCCGGGGGGGGGGATTGAGGGGGCCAGGTAGTATCACGAGAAAAGTGAGTGGGTTAGTTTGGGCGGATGCAGGGAAAGAGTGATGCGCGCGATGCGATGCGCGATGCGGGCGGCAGAGGCCAAGTTATTCGGCTCGTGAAAGGAAATCGGACGGGTCAGGCCCAGGGTGTAGTGCAAGCGGTCATGGGGGAGATGGGTCGAGCAAGACTCTGCGAGTGCGTGTGCGTATGCGTGCGTGTGTTTGGAGGCGCCCGGTGCGCGCAGCAGTTACCGTCTAGGACGACTCCCAGCCATGCTGGCCGTGTGGGCCAATTGCGGAGGGCGATGTGGGTATTGGGTGATGCTGGCAAGCTTCCGTCCCATCTGTTGCGCTACACCGCCAGTCCTCTCTACATAGTCTAGTACACCCGCCACCCCTCCAAGCCCTCACCCAATCCAACCACCCCGCCAGCACCCTTCGCCGACTGCGGCACAAGCTGCACGCCTGCCACACGTGCATGCCGCGCGCCCGTCTGGCCACTATAGCTGGCCCCGTGTTACCGCCACTCTACACCAGGTGTACGTCGACAGCGCACTGTCGGCCAGACGCTGCATATGTAGAGTAATGTCTTCCCGTCCCTCCGCCTCCCTCGGCCCAGCATGACGACTTCTTGGCTCCGTTTGGTGGGGCGGCAACCGCACACTAGAAGGCCGCCTGCCTTCGTCACCAGCTCCACACCATCGTTCCTCAGCCTTCTGATCACTTCTGATCGGAGCCTAGCCTACAATCACGGTCAAGCCCAATGCGCTGGGGGAACAGTAGAGCATTTTTTTTAGATTGGTTTGGTAGCCCTACGTGCATGCATGACAGCCGTGTGTCAGCCTTCTAGAGCTCCCTCTTACGAGCTACCGGCTTTAGAGCTTACTCTCAGCCACAAACGCAGAACAAGAAGAAAAAAATTGCATGTCCACCTACACCGGAGCTCGTGACCCCGCGCCCGCCTCGGGGTATCAATACACAAAGGAAAGAAACCATCTAGAGTCGTGACCTCTCAAAAGAGATGCAAGCAAATCTGCCAAAGTGTGTTTTGAAAGAAGAAGAGAAATCAATACAAAGAGAAGAATGAGAAGAAAAAAAATAAGACGAAGAAGGAGAAGAGTATCTGCAACGCTAAAAGCAAGACATACGACGACTGCAAAAAAAAATGTCGACGAGATTATACGTGATATCCAGAGGGGCTCGTGGGGGGACAGGGTCCGACCTTACGCTAAGTCGCAGCATCCAAGTTAGACATTACCATGTAGTTTGGAAACACAAAAAGAGATTCAAGTAAGTGAACGCGCCTGCTCTCAACAAGTTTGGCCGTCTTCCAGGTCCTCGCCCATGAGAATCTTGCGCGCTTCGTCAAGTCTTCGTCGCCATGCCTTGCGCTCGTACGCCTCGCCGTACGTGCTCTGTAGCTGCGAGCATACGTGTTGGATGCCTGCAGCAACGCCGTACACCAGCTGCGTCTCTTCGTCGCTGAGCGCAATCCGTGGCTCGTCTCTTGAATTTTCCGTCAAGATGGAGAAGAGCTTGGACGTTTGCAGGCCGCTGGCAAACTCGGCTGGTGAAGGCGAGCCCCGAGATAGTGATGACTGAGGAGGGGAGATGCCGCTACTGCGCATGTTGATCGCCGAGTCGGACCGGAGCGACAAATAGCTGTTCCGACCAATGCGCTGAGAAAGTAATCGTGATTGACCGGACATTATCTGCTGCGAGAACTGGTCCATCTGCTCGTTCGCATCCTCATCGTCGTCGTCTTGCTCTTCGGCTGCAGTGGCAAATGTGGCCACCGTCGATACCGAGTCCGCGCTCGGGTTCCGTTGGTGAAACGATACTCGCTTTTCAGCTTTGCTCTGCTCCTCGCCAGTCTGAACAGCCGTCACCGGTCGCGTCGTGGCTACCGAGGTACCCGAACTTGTGCTGGACCGACGGTCTCCCAGACTGTACGTTCCCATTGCACTGTGCAGGAAGAAAGTCTCGTAGTCGAATGCATCCACTCGGTCCTCGTGTCGCTCCGTCGTAGGCATCTCGTACACCGCATCCTCGTATACGCTCTCTGGGTCAGCCTCCCCGTCCTCGCCATAGATTGAAACGAAGTCACTATCATCTACCTCGGACGGCTCATATGCCTCAGACTCTTCGGAATCGACCTCGGGCTCTCCGTACGAGCGGCCAGAGTATACATTCCCTCTGGTAGTTGCGGGTTGGTCTTTGTACTGTGTCACTAGTTTCTCTCCGTGCAATTGCGAGGTTGTGGTGGTAGCAGTCAATGGCCGGTCCTGGACTTCGGGATAGAGCCCAGTCCGAGTTTGCGGTGAAGTTGTGATGCCCAGCCCAGTAGTTCCAGTAACGGGGCTTTCAGGCCGATATGTGTTTGATGAAGGATACCATGTGTCGGCCGAGGTAAAGGGGCTAGGTGCACGTAGACTCTGTATACTGCGCCGCCGAAGGTGATCTTCTTGTGCTTTCAGCTTCAGACTCGAGATTCTACCCCTGAGATCATTCATCTGGTCACGAAGGCCACTAGCTGCGGATGTAGATCGGTGTATCCTGGCTCCATCTTCGTCTTCGCGTAGAGTTTCTAGCACGGGCGGAGATTTGGAGCTTCTCGAAGCAGATCGTACAGCTTGCTCGCGTTCTGAGGTATTCCAGGTATTACGTGCGTCGCGAAGTTGATCTACGCTTCGGGATTCTTTGATGGGAAAACGCCCCTGACCATAGCTCTCTGGCGCCCATGGACCACTGGTATGACCGAATGCACTCGAGGCTCGTTTAATTGACGAGGCTCTCGACACGTACGAGGGAGTAAAGGGAAGCGGCACTGATGTTTCACTCAGGTTGCGCGAATGGCCAGAGCTGCCATTGGGGGTGAGTAGCGACTGTCGGTAGGAAGAGAGGCGCGGAGGGATCGGTCCCATGCCGGCATAAAGTCGTCGGTCACGCTCGCGGCTGGCTGCCATGTGGTGTGAAAGGTCAGAGGACAGGCCGCCCTTAGGGCTAAAGGTGGGTGAGGTGACCAATGACTCTCGTGCTCCCCGGAGGTTTCCCTCCATGACCTGTTATGATAAGCATTGGCTCAATTGGGATGCAAAACCGCATAAGTTGGGGACAAGGCGTACATTCAACCTCTTTTTGGCATTAGCCAGGATGATCTCTGCCCTTCTGCTGAGCGCTGCTGACGAATAGGGATCGTCTTCATCGTCACTGATATTGGCTGTCATTGCGTCGCCAGTGTCGGTGTCAGCCTTTGAGCGGTGTCGTCGCTCCTGCTCTTCGAGATCTACGCCGCTATCGTCGAAATTGTCGTGGCTGTCGAAGCCGGGCCAGTGATCGAGATCCTCGGTGAAGATTGAGCTGGACGAGGGACTGACTTTGCGCTGGTCGTGGCCGCGCCAACTGCCGGGCGAGTGGCTGCTGGGAGCAGTGTGGATGGTAGGCGACGAGGCCAGAATGAGATCACGGGTAGTCATGCTCCTGGAGGAAGCGACTGAATCGGCTGCGTTGCGAAGCGTCGAGCGCGAGGACTGTGCGGAAAGCGAGGACTGTGCTGATAGTGACGGGAAACTTATTTGTTGTGAGGCGCGGCGCCGGCTGTGGAGTCCTGAACTTAATCGGCGAGGACTCGAGTCGGCATGCCGGTACAGGTCGGATGGCGAAGGCGGACGCTCAATCAAGGGAATGGGCGAGGTTGCGCGCTCGTAGTCGGCCTCGAGGGCGGGCAGGATCATGCCCGCATCGCTGAGCGTCGGGGAACGCTGTCCCCTGGGGGGAGCAGGACGGGAGGCTGCAGTGACGGCCATGAGTGGGTGCAGGGGGGGCGGACGGGCTGTTACCTTGGCTTGGCTGCAGTGCTGATGAACATGTTCGTCGAGCAGACGGCGAGGGAGAGGGGAGGCAACGTTTTTTTTTCTTGAGCGCGAGACAAGACGCGAATCAAAGGCAGTGGTTGAGCAGGTGGGACAGGACTCGAGAAGCGGAAGATGCTGGGCGCCTGGGCTTGATTTTCATAATGTCAGCGTGATTAGGGCTGTGGACGGTTTGCGGCATGGGCCAGTCTACGCCTGGAGACATGTTTAGGGGCAGCTTGCTAGGGGTTAGCAGTGGATTGATTCCCCGGCCAAATTGCACGGTTGCGTCTCCCCTCAGCCGGTGAGGATTCTTTGTATGATTCGTGTGATTCGTCGTGGGCAGGGCCAAGCTCCCAGGGGCACGTGCAAAGCTGCAAGGCACCCTCTCCCCATTGGCGCCACCCATGCTGCTCATTTTGCGGGCTGTGGGTGCATTGCTGCCGCCCAACGCCTCCCACCATTCATCCATCCATCCATCCATCCAGGGCCTCGCCTCGCCTCGCCTTGCACCCACCGCGACAAGCCAGCCCACCCACCCGTCCGTCCGTCCATCCATCCAGCCCTCGAGCAATTCGCGACTACACACCAGACGACCATTGCCGGGCGCGCACGCGGACCGCCTCCCTTTCGGGCCGGAGCTCCACGATCAACGCCTCTCGCTACTGTCGACCACGTGACCCACCGCTGCCTGCTAAGCACTCACTTCCACATACCCACATGTACTACACACTTCATACGTGCGTACACATCAGCATGTATGCACACATCCTCCCCCATGTCCGGCTAATGCAGGTACCCCCGCCCGACGTGCAGCAGAAACAAATCTCCCCAAACACTTGCATTGCTATACAAACCCGTTATCATCCTCGTCGTCGTCATCGTTCCAGCCCAATGCATCATAGATGGATGGCTCGCTCGCATCATCACGTCCCCGCACGAGGAAGGGGACTGGCCCGCCCTCACTGGCCAGCTTCGAAACAGACTTTGAGGGCATTGTCGTAGCTCCTAGCGGCGCGGCCTTAGTCTCTTCCGGCGGTGACATCCCTACTACACCTTTGGCTGGCGTCTCGAAAATGTGCAACGCCCCCTCATCCCCTCTGCCCTGCGCATTCGGCTCCGCCGCCTTTGCCGGCGTCGCAAAAATTCTCCTGCGTACCGCATCCGATGAAAAGGTCTTGCCCGCTGGCGCCTTGCTTGGTGTCTCGGCAATGCTCGATTGCCCAAGACTTGGAGCCGTTGCATGGCCCTGGTCCCTTGCGGCTACCATCCCAGGCCGTGGTCTCACGCCTGACGAGGGTACACAAAAGCCGCTCGAATGAGGCGCTTCCTCCCCGGGTGAACGAACAAACGGGTCGTAGTGCTGTTGCACAGGCGTCTGCTCAACCATGTTCTTCGTCCTGCGACTCACTCGTGGCGTTGCCGTTACCTGAACATCCTTGATAGTCTTCCTGACCGTTACCGTTGGTTTCCTGGATTTGCTCGGCTGCCCGACACCACGTTGCTCCTTATCGGCAATGTACTCCCCAGCAGCTAGTCCCCGATTCGGCCTCTTTAGGGCTAGGATAGCCTCTTGCAGGTCTTCCTCGACTCGCTGCTTCTGCTTCATCTTGGCTGATGCAGCTGCTGACGGCTCAGCCAAATCAATCTGACGCCCCTGCAAGTGTCGAATCTGCGACATGGATTGTCTTGCTCCCTTCGACGGACTGCGACGAAAAGGAATTGCAGACAGAGGCGTCTCGCTTGCTTCTCTTTTTACGCCTTCTACCAACACCGAATCCGTAGCTGATCGGCCCAAAGATGGCGTTGTCCGCTCGGCAATCCTCCCTGTATTGTCTGTAGCCACGCGTGCCAGAGATCGCCGTGATTTCTTTGCATCCGGTTCCTTCGAATCTCTTGATCTACGTGAGCTGAGTGTTGGTCTGTTTGCCTTTCGCTTGGCTGGCAAGCTGTGCGCTGGTCCACCGAGCTTCTTGTTAACCATTAGCGCCTGTTCGGGAAGTCGGTTAATGTAAAAAGGTATTATGACTTCGACACAGAAGCTATGAAGGCGATCACTGGATCCATTGCGGCCAGTGCCATCCACGTCCTCATTTTGTTGCGATGGCTTAGCGTCAAAGTCCAGGATTCCAAGTTCTTCGGTAGCGTGCCATATGCAAAGCTTATCCAGCGCCAAGTCGAGTTGTACGTTGATGTCGTCTAGTTTCTTCTTGCGCTTCTTCGGTGCAGATTGCTCGCTTTGGTCCTGCGTCTCTTCTTTTGTGGGCTGCTGGCCAGTAGTTTTGCTCGTAGACATTGCTTCGAGTGCGATAATCTCAAGCATGAGTATCAGTTGCGCTAGCGTCTCGCGAACTCGTAAATCGCCAATCCGCCTCTTGATACGCTGGTCCATAGTCTCTGTAGCCATTGCATCACCACTGGGTAACTCGGACTGCCACCATCTCTTGACCAGAACCTCTTCTTGTGGATAGACACCATCTCGGCTGAGCTTTGCCTTTTTCTTTGATTTCTTCGCTTTGCTGGCTCCTGCCATGGTCTCATCATCCGAATAGCTCCCTGGTGCCATGGCCTTGATGAATGACGGTAATTTCTCATAATACTTTTTTTCACTGGCCTTGGGACTCAGCAGCATGGCTCGTAGAGATGTGATAAGATCATGGGTAGGAGGTGCGCCTTCTTCAGCCAAGGTGAAGGCATTCCGAATTCGAGTGAGGGGTCCTTTGGCAAAGTATGCGAGCGATGTTTTGGACATGTAAACTGCATCCAGATATTGCTGCACCAGTAAATCAAGCTGTTCTTGTGGTGACAATGGTGCTGGTAGTGGCTCAAGCAGGGACTCTGTTGGTACATTATCCAGGCTGTCCATATCCTGCAGTGCTGGAATTCCTTGTGGCTGCTGGGCATCCATTGCGTCAGGCACTTGTGTGGGCTTTGATCGAAGCATACCCATCCTGGTGCGTCCTATTAATGGCTCCACGGCCTGTGTCTCTATTGCAGCATGCTGCCACCATTCCCCAGATGTGCTTGTGCTTGTATCCACCCTGGTTCTTATAGGAAGTTTATGCAGATTGCCTGGATCCCACAAGTCGGCAACATCCTTCTCTTTCAACCAGCTTACCAGCTTGCAAATACTGTATATGCGTGCTTTTACCCGCTCTATGGCGTATAGACTCTTCTTCGTCTCCAGCTGTGCAATAAGCACCCTCAAAACCCTATCTTCTTCCTTTTCCAGTTCATCCTGTTCCAAGATATCGACATGAGCGGCGAAGAGGCTGTTTGGAGCGAAGTCGTCGTCGGCAGAGGTATCGAGGAGTGTAAGAGGCAGTTGAGAGCGCCCAACCACCCGGACGGGCTTGAACGTCACAGTCTTAGCGTGCGGTGATCCGGAATACGACCGAATCGTAAAAGGCTTATTGAAGGCTCCGAGGCCACAGAGAGAGTCTCTGGTGAGTTTCGAGGGCAGTTGGGGTTTTGTTTCGTCATGTTTGGTGGCTAATCGCAGCAGTTGTGTTTGCGTATCTGGAACAGGTTGTAGCATTGTCTTTGTTTGCAATGCGTATGCCGACATTGGACCTGGGCATGGTTGTTGGTGGGCTGTCGAAGGCCGTCGTCGATTCTCGAAACGGTTTGGGTATGCCCTCCGCCAAACGCGTGTCACGAATCACGAAGGCTCGTGCACTCCATCTCCCGCGCTACCACGTCATTCCCCGATTGCCATCTCAATTCATAAAAGCAACCCCTGCTTTCCGAATAAGAAGAACCAAGTCAGTCACCAGAAGGGTTGATCAAAAGAGGCAGTCACTGTCATACGTGGTAATCCCTGTCGCTATCCCGCTACAACCACGTTTCTTAGTGTCTAATAAAAGTAATCTTTATTGATTTCCACCCCTTGCCGTTGTCCCGCTTTTGCAAGTAATTTTGGTAAGGGACTGAGATTATCAATAGCATCTAAATCTCCGCCATGGCCATGTAAGAGGCAGGGAATTCAGTTAAGAAACGTGCCCTCTTCGTTTCAAAAAAGGTGGTGTCTGTGAGAATATATGTTAGATAATATAGCAGCACTGGACAGCTACAATATGCATGCTTCTAGCATAAGGAATTATGATTGCAGGTTGTGTATTTCTCGCCCCTATGGAAAATGTGTCTCCGTATAGCAGAGGCTCAAGACATGGACCCGATACCCAACCATACCTTTGTCGGCTTCAAACAGCAGGTCCTCTTCCAATCCAAATCCTGTAACTCCGGAACGGACCGCGTCTCTTATCAACATTGTTGTAGTTAAATTTCGGACCCAACATAAGCTGATTGGTGTTAAAGTATAACCATCCATCCAGAATAGCCATTGAGTCAGCATGTTGAATCAAAGCACTCCTCGCCAGCACATTCACTACATAATCCTGTGCTGGGATAAGACCAGGGCCACCAGGTGCGTTGCCATTAATAGTCGTGTTAATCTCAGACTTGAGGGTGTCGACATAGTATATCGCGTTTTGCTCACTTGCAGCAATGTACACACGTCCCCGGTCGTCAGCGGTGAAGCCAGCCTGCTCCGAACCGCATTGACCTGGATACTGTACTGCAACAAGGACCTCCTCGTCCGTCTTTTTGGGGTCGACAAGAACCTCCTGGGAGATGTAGTAAAAGCGTCGGGATGCCAGGACGCCCCAGTAAAAGTTACCAGATGCTGTTTTTGCTGTCAGCGGTAGGATGTTGTTTCGAACCAACAGCACTCACCCAATGCGATTCCGTCTGCTCCGGTGGTAAGATGGCCCTTCTTCGTCCCATTCCAGGTGTAAACAAGCTTACCAGCATAAGAACCAACATAGTTCTCGTCTGCTTGGACAATGCTGGTGTTGAATAGCCTCCTCAGAGCACTTCCATCATCAAGGTTGACTGTTAGAAGCGAACTTTTCGCACTGGCATCTGCAATAAAAGCAAACCCTTCCTTCCCGCCAAGAGTAGTGTTAATGCGTAGGTCATTCATGTCCGTCCGATTAGACAATAGCTTTTCGGGTATTACATAGGTTCGAAGATGCTCGCCCGTTTTTTCATCGAAACTCATCAGCGTTGCACCTCCGAAAATAGCATGGGTTTCGGGGGTCGCGTTGTAAGGAATACCGCTATCAACAATCCAGAGCCGTCCTCGATCATCCAAGATGATGTTCTGTACGTTGATGAAGCATGTGCTTGGATCTTGCCCGGCCGTACAGTTCTGTATGCTTGCGTTGGGCCATGGCTTTTCATCGTTGAAAGAAGTGCAAATCACAATGTTGTTGGGCGTCTGTCCGCTGTTGCGGGGATATGTCAGGTAGAGCTGGTGAGCCGAGTCGATGGCTAGTCCAGTGGCAGGCTTTTGAGAGTCGTGAACTGGCTACAGAGGCGTTCCAATGAGAGTGAAGTCTTGGGGATAGGCGCCATTGGTAAATTCAGATCCAAAAGGGCGGTAGCCACCTGGCTGTGTTTCCCAGTAGTCTGCAGCCGACGCAAAGGTCACACAGGCCAATGCTGCTAGCGTTTTGACCATCATACTAGGAATGTGCCGGGTTGTGTCTGCTTGTTGACGGAAATCAGAGAATTGGTGTATTCAATATACACTTGTTCGATTGATGCGGTCGAGATCAGCACATAGTACGCCACTACTGCAGATGTTGAGGGAATACGGAATACTTAATACGCAGAACTTGAGTACTGAATACAAGATTTCCGGATGACTCGGATGCTCCATGACGCTTGTGGTTGTTACCCGGTAATCAAATTTATAGTTAAGAATTTCTAAAGGACATACTGACGACATGGGCTGATTGCACGATGATCATCTCCTATGCAAGCATGTTGGAAGGGACCCTGCCGATAATCAATAACTTAGACGCGGGGTGATCCCCAACGAGAAGACCCAGTAGGACGGCTACTATCAAAGCTTAGTCAAAGTATCGGTAGTGATGTCTGCTCTGTAGTTGTCCTGTTACTACCCTTCAACTGCTTGAAGAGACATGTGCCTTGGCCTAACAACAACATCAAGAGTGGAGATGGTGTTAGAAGGCGCATCGGTGCGACAATTATGAGAGAAGCAGCCACAAGAAGAAGCTTTGCGTGATGAGCTTAATGAAAGCAATAATATTCCCGATCGTCTCGCCGACGGATATATCCGCATACATGCTGTAACTATGACATCTGGAATCATAGCGCGGCGACTGTTAGTCATCAGAACGCACAATGACATAGCGAAAACATGCTGTGTAAAGAATGCTTCTAGAGTATTGTAAAACAGGTTAGGTTCAAGATAATGAGGACGATGCTAGTAGTCCGGAAACGGCGCTGGCGCGGAGTACAGAGGTCTAGGGTCCCCTGTTAGGTAGTATGATGGACATTCGTTCATCTAACCTCTGTCTCCACCATATCGTATCGCTAGTCTTGTTTATAGTCTCTGACTACTTGATTGTGTTCACTGGTTTGATGTCACTGCGATTAAAGTTGTAGAACTGAGTGGGCTCTTGGTCCATCGAAATACGTAAACAAATACTTCGAACAATTCGTTAAGCGGAATTTCGCACAAAAGAAGCTATCTTTGATGTGACATATTTGCACTGGAACATACTTGTTTGGTACGGAAAATTTATAGAGTTCGATGCACTTGCTCTGGTTCTGTCAGATGTACCCAGGATGTCTGTCCGTCACAGGTGAATTTCCAGAAAGACGCTACCTGCTGAGGTGCAACTATGTATAGAGCTGTACAACTAGATCACAGCATCCTATAACGGTACTACGCGCCCGGTTATATCAATTAACGCTAGGACATAGCGGTTATGGGGTATGTGATGTAACCAGCTTGGCTCGGGGATTGGAATGTACCTCTGTTAGCGTTACCCGCCGCTAACCGGTCGGCTTAGAGCCCTCACAAACACCACACCTCGGCGGCAGCACTTGGATATGTTTTTTCCACTGAGAAGATTTGTTGACACACTCTATCCACCATGAAGTCCTTTGCAAGCAGAGAAGCGTCGCGCCTCTTTTCCCGACCAAACCTTGCCCAGCGAGCGTCAATTGCCGGACGGAGGAGCGCCAACATCCGCGTATACGAGCAAAGAAGAGGATTCCGGGAAACAAGAGGGCTGCTGGCGGTCAAGCCATACTTGCTGGCGGATATTGGCGAAGGTGAATATGCTAACGAATATACACATTGGTCAAGGCTGAGCATGTTGCGTCTAGGTATCACCGAATGCCAGGTTATCCAGTGGTTCGTCAAGCCTGGAGCGCGCGTCGAGCAGTTTGACCCCATTTGCGAAGTGCAGTCGGACAAAGCGTCGGTTGAGGTAAAAGAAAGTTCATTTATGCGCTGAGCAACGGCTAATATGAGTAGATTACCTCGCGATTCGATGGCGTCATTAAGAAGCTGTACTACGAGCCGGACGACATGGCCAAGGTTGGAAAGGTAGCCTTGTTCCCCAAAACCTCTTCCAAAGCTAAGCTGACTTTCAAAGCCATTGGTAGATATTGATATTCAGAGCGAGATCTCTGCTGCAGACGAAGCCCTGCTTAACGGTGGTTCAGGCGAACAACCAAAGGAAGAACCATCAAGGGCGACAGAGGCACAAGAACAGGGGATTGAGATTGGTCGCAATGATACCAAGGCTGCTACCGACCATATCCCAAAGTCAGATCAGAGCGTGGCTCTGCCATCAGAGTCATCTCAAGCAGCGGCGTCGCCAACACCACGGCAACCGGGCAAATATGCGTCCCTTGCTACACCGGCAGTACGGCACATGATCAAGGAACACAAGCTCAAAATTGAGGACATACAAGGCACAGGAAGGGAAGGCCGTGTGCTCAAAGAAGATGTCCAACGGCACATCGAGTCTGCTAAGCAGACTGCAAGCGCACCACGCGCAACAACAACGCCCACGCCCATCCCAACCCAGCAAATGGAAGACCAGATCAAACCCCTCACACCCGTACAATCCGGAATGTTCAAACAAATGACCAAATCCCTCTCAATACCACACTTCCTCTACACCGACTCAGTAGATTTCAGCTCTCTCACCTCGCTACGCAAAAAATACAACGCAGGCCGCGAAAAGGCAGACAGAATCACACCACTACCGGTAATCATCAAAGCCGTGTCCCTAGCATTCCAGCAGTTCCCCTTGCTCAACTCGCACCTTGACACGAGCACAAACCCCGACAGGCCGCAGATGATCCTAAAGGGAAGCCACAACATCGGCGTTGCGGTCGACTCACCTTCCGGCCTCCTCGTCCCCGTCATCATGAACGTGCAAAACCACAGTATCGCATCCCTCGCACAAGAAATCCAACGATTGAGCTCTCTCGCCCGCTCCGGCAAGCTCACCTCCGCTGATCTCACCGGCGCCACGTTTACAGTCAGTAACATTGGCAGTATCGGTGGCGGTACCGTTGCGCCCGTCATCGTAGGCCCGCAAGTGGGTATACTGGGTGTTGGCAAAGCGAGGGTTGTGCCTGCATTTGGAGAGAATGGGGAGTTGATCAAGAAGGAGGAGTGCGTGTTTAGCTGGAGTGCGGATCATAGGGTCGTGGATGGGGCGTATGTGGCAAGGGCGGCGGAGGAGGTGAGGAAGTGTATTGAGGGGGTGGAGAGTATGCTTGTGAGGATGAGGTAGGTTGAAGACGGAGATTGAAAAGTTTGATATAGGTGCATATATGCGTTATGGGTGTGATAGATGGGTGCCATCTGCAGGTTTTCAATGGTATGCATTCAGATATACAATGGAGTCGTACATTTCTAGCATCATCTTGTGTTCTACTCATTGATGAAAGCGTTCATGTCGAGAGCTGCTGCAACGGGCATACCAATGCATCCTCATACGCTCTCTTGCTTTGACCTTGGTAGTACTTGAGGCTTCTCATGGCCTCGATACGCTATGCAGATAATGATGAAGCTCAAGCCGCTCCCTTGAGCACCTGCTCAAGACTACTCTTACTATTCGCATACGTCTTCTCCAAATAATCCTCCTTCTTATCCAAATTCGCCATCTCTTTAGTCAGCGCCTCACTCTCCTGCTCCAACCTCTTTTGCACATCCGGGATGGGCGTGCAGACGAACCTTTATTCGAAAGATTAGCTCCCTTCTTATCTTTTCTTCATATTCTTCCGACGCCCCGCCGTCACGAGACAAAACAAGGCATGATGATATATGTGTGACTTACATCTTTCCAACACCCTCGTACACCTTTGTGTCTGCAGGCAGCGACGACACCTCGGACGAGGTAAGCTGCAACATGCGGCTTTCTCTTGCTCGAGCTGCTTTTTGCTGCTTGACGATGACGAGTTGTTGTTCGGCAAATGCCTTTTTCTGGCTGATTTCCTGTAGGACCTGTGTTTTTTGGGTGTGTGTGTCAGGTACAACGCACGAAAAAACATTATTTCCTCGGTGTTATGCTTGTAGAAGACTAAACGCACCTTTTGCAAGGCCTCGTTGGGCATGGACATGTTTGCGAGTGTTTGGGGGGTTGGGCTAATGGGGACTGCCACGACCCTGACTGGGGCTCGTGAAGTAAGGGCGACGGGGGGAATGGGTGGTTCAAACTCGGTTCGGTGGGTGGCGGGGTTGTGATTGGCCGGTGCGGGTTACGCTGGTGCCCCTCATAATAAATGGGCTAGGATGAATGTTGACAGTATTTGGGAAAGGCTAAGGTTGCAGGTAGGTTGTAGGAGATGCATATTTTATAGTACTACAATTCCTTTCATCGTATACTTGCAGCAACTGTCGCCTCGGTTGCTGTCGTCGTCACATTGATAGGCGACCTTGAGGGCTACAACAACGCGGGGTCATATCGAGGATATTTGAGACGAAGCATTCAGAACTCAATTGATTAAATGGCCCAAGTTTTAAATGTAACCTTGCGGTCGTTTCGCTATTTCGTATCCAAATTTCCTTTTTCTAATGCTGTGTTGTGTTGTAACCGGCTTTCGGGAGGCTCCCACTTCCGGCAAGTCCGAGACTAGATACGTATAACTGTGATCATCCAGCATTGAACGCGTGGTAGCTCATCCATTTTTTTTCATTCTTTTTTGTCCATCTTCACGATTCCCTTTCGGCGCCAATATGTCTGGGTTGCTCTCTCAACTACCGTCAATAGCGTATCCGCCTGAACAAGATGGCTACTTTTCTCCGGTAACAAGCACACTGGACTGGTGTGAGGAGGTGTGTTGATTGCATCTGACGAATACCTTTAGCAGTGTGCGTTACTGACAAGACTGCATCAAGAACTATGTTGTTACACATTTTGTCGCTGAAGCGGTGAATACCTTTACCAACCTCTTGTTCGTATACCTAGCTACAAAGGGCATTCGCAGCTGCTTGAAGTATGGACACGATACAGTCTTTCTTGTTAGCTTTGTTGGCTATTTGCTTGTCGGGAGCGGCAGTTTATTGTTTCACGCGACATTGAAGTGTACGTCTAGCAGCAGAGAGAAGGGGAGAGAGGGGGGGAAGGAACGCTGTGAACCCATTCCTGATGACGACAGACCCCATGCAGCTTGTCGATGAGCTTTCGATGATTTACACGACATGTCTAATGAACTATGCCACGTTCTCCTACGGCAAGTCACGACTGTATTCCACGGTACTCGCCATCTGCCTCACGTCGCTTGCCGTGTTCATCACGCTCTACTACCACTATCTGCAAAATCCAACCTTTCACCAGAATGCATACGCAGTTCTTACAGCAGTTGTGTTCTTTCGCGCCCTCTACGTAATGGAGGTCAATATCCGACCGCGCTTCCGGTCGCAGGAGAGAGAGGCAGCGAACCCGCGTCTGGATGGGAGTGCAAAGGCAGTGCGACAGGAAAACCAGCGAGACGAAGAGATTCTGAGCACCATGTGGAAGATGATTGCATTTGGCCTCAGCATCTTCCTGGGTGGGTTTGCCATCTGGAATCTTGACAACGTGTTCTGCTCGCGGCTGATCTGGTGGCGGAGGCAAGTCGGCATGCCTTGGGGCTTCGTGCTCGAGGGGCATGGATGGTGGTGCGTATGCGCAACGTGCTTGCAGTGACACAGACTGACACAGACAGGCACTTGATGACTGGGCTTGGGGCATATTTCTACATTGTGTGGGGCATTTGGCTCAGGCACTGTCTTAATTACAGACAGGACGAGTACGAGTTGCAGTGGCCAAATGTGTGGACGGTGCCCGAGGTAAGGGCTAGAGGAAGAGATGCGAAGAAGGAAGCGTAGCATGCTGGGGTTGCCATGGGCGTACTACTACATGCAACTACTGGCTGGTACCTGTCGGAATGCTGTTAGTTTTTTTCTTTTTTCGGCATGCGCAATGAAGCCAATCTATAGACGGATAGATGTAAATGTAGGTGTAGATGCAGGTATACGTGTAGATGGACACGGTGCAGCGCTCGACATGGCCTTTGCTTATGCCCTTTGTTGTGCGTGGACATATCGGTAGTAGCACCAGATTATGTACAAAGCTGGTGCCTGTTGTGCTTAGCGCCGACGCGAGGGGGCCTGGCCTGTGCAGACCCGCACAGTTTGTTTAACTGCTCCCCTTCACACCGCCTCTCCACATCACCAACACCCATCCACCCGCCCCAAACACAGCTCCTCACACTCTCACCTCTCTACTTTCCATATCCCACACCCCAAACCGCCATCATGCGTGAGATTGTACGTATCCGACCCTCCCTCGGGTCCAGCGCGTGGCGCAACCTTGCCCCGCGATCTGCATTCAGGGACAACACGAGATTGCAAACAAGACAGCTAACAGCCATTCTCTACTACAGGTTCACCTTCAGACCGGTCAATGCGTATGTTTTCGCTCCCAGCAAAAGTCGTCGACGCGGCTTCTAACAGACTCTGCAGGGTAACCAGATTGGTGCCGCCTTCTGGCAGACCATCTCCGGCGAGCATGGTCTCGATGGCTCTGGTGTCTACAACGGCACCTCTGACCTCCAGCTCGAGCGCATGAATGTCTACTTCAACGAAGTGCGTCGCCCCCTGAAGGTCCGACGGAAAAAAAGACCAATACTGATCTGCAGCAGGCCTCCAACAACAAGTTCGTGCCCCGTGCCGTCCTCGTTGATCTCGAGCCCGGTACCATGGACGCCGTCCGCGCTGGCCCCTTTGGCCAGCTCTTCCGCCCCGACAACTTCGTCTTTGGCCAGTCTGGTGCTGGTAACAACTGGGCAAAGGGTCACTACACCGAGGGTGCCGAGCTCGTCGACCAGGTCCTCGATGTCGTCCGTCGCGAGGCTGAGGGCTGCGACTGCCTCCAGGGTTTCCAGATCACCCACTCTCTCGGTGGTGGTACCGGTGCCGGTATGGGAACGCTTCTCATTTCCAAGATCCGTGAGGAGTTCCCCGACCGCATGATGGCTACATACTCTGTTGTGCCCTCGCCAAAGGTCTCCGACACCGTTGTCGAGCCCTACAACGCCACACTCTCCATCCACCAGCTGGTTGAGAACTCCGACGAGACCTTCTGCATTGACAACGAGGCTCTCTACGACATCTGCATGAGGACTCTCAAGCTGAACAACCCCTCCTACGGCGACCTGAACCACCTCGTCTCCGCCGTCATGTCGGGTGTCACCACCTGCCTGCGTTTCCCCGGTCAGCTCAACTCTGACCTGAGGAAGCTTGCCGTCAACATGGTTCCCTTCCCCCGTCTCCACTTCTTCATGGTTGGTTTCGCTCCTCTTACCAGCCGTGGCGCCCACTCCTTCCGCGCCGTCACCGTTCCCGAGCTCACCCAGCAAATGTTCGACCCCAAGAACATGATGGCTGCTTCCGACTTCCGCAACGGTCGCTACCTGACCTGCTCCGCCTACTTCCGCGGTAAGGTCTCGATGAAGGAGGTTGAGGACCAGATGCGCAACGTCCAGAACAAGAACTCTTCCTACTTCGTTGAGTGGATCCCCAACAACGTCCAGACCGCCCTCTGCTCCATTCCTCCTCGCGGCCTGAAGATGTCCTCCACCTTCGTCGGTAACTCGACCTCGATCCAGGAGCTGTTCAAGCGTGTTGGTGACCAGTTCACTGCCATGTTCAGGCGCAAGGCTTTCTTGCATTGGTACACTGGTGAGGGTATGGACGAGATGGAGTTTACTGAGGCTGAGTCCAACATGAACGATTTGGTCTCCGAGTACCAGCAATACCAGGAGGCTTCCGTCTCCGAGGGTGAGGAGGAGTATGACGAGGAGGCTCCTCTCGAGGCTGAGGAGTAGAGTGGTCAAGACTAAATATCCCTGCTGGGCTTGGCTGTTGGATCATTGCGAATGCGGGCCAACAACCATGTTATCAATTCGATTCGTACTGTGAGCAATCGGGCCGTGCCTCTATGGGGGGTGCAATGATGCGGGAGTGGTAGTCTTGATTCCCGCGACAAAGCATCGTCACGGGCAACGGCACCATTCTCCTTGAAACTTCTTGTTAGCGAAAAGATGCTGTAATCAATTATCATATGTGGAATAAGTTTCGTGCTGTGCTGTGCTGTGAATGGAGCGACGAGTGAATTTGACGTTACTAAACTACTTTTGGCAACATGTGTGTGTAGATGCATGTATGAGTGTTTGTCTGGTATGTTTTGACAGGCGGGGTAGACGTGTAAGTTTTGTTTTTACTCTGATTATTTTTTGCTTACTGGTTGCTTTTTTGCGGGGTACATCCATGCATGTCATGCGATTAGTCTTGTATTTGTGACGAACTGCTATGGTGTGATAAAAAAGCCTCATGGGGCAAAAGTAGAGAAGAAGAAAAAGAAAGGACGCGTTAGACGTCTGATTGTAAAGGGGAAAAACGGCAAGTCACAACACTCCATACACTCGCGTAGACCCATCTTCCATTAGACCTTCAAAACACAAGAAAACCAAAACCAAAATAAGGGGATAAACTCATTGGAAACATGTCTCAGCTACATACAGTAATCGTATAACCCTCATTCAATTCCTTGAACCTAGCCTGGCCTTGAAGAAAAACCGACCGCCAAAGATCTAGTAGCCAGCCTAGATGGGTGTACAGTGGTATTACATTCCCCCCCCCCCTCCCTTAAAACCTTCTAACCGGCATACAAAGGAAAACAAAGGGACTACAGTCGCACAGAGTGTAGTGTGGAAGCAGAACAAAGGCAAGTTGATGGGTATTGAAAAGGCAACCTGCTCAATGTAGTGCAAGGGCGGTAATTGTGTTACATATATAGTATTTACGTCTTTACTGCTTGGTAGCTAGAGCGTTGGCTTCGCTGTGATATTTCTGATTCTCACATTAGTACCATGATTTGTACGCTAACTTTTCAGTTGGCGAAAAAGAACGTACCTGCTTCTCACTCTCGTTCAATGCTTTCCACTCAGCACCAATGAGCTTGGAGGCATCGACAGCGGAGATGCCCTTGAAGTCACCGCTGGCGTGTCTGGCTCGGAAGAACAAGGCGTAGGGGTTCAGCGCGGCCTTGACGCGGCGGGGATCGTGTAGTTTGGCAGTGTAGGCGGGGTTACCCTTCTGTTTGCCGGCGAATCTCCTGCGCAGCTGGGCGCGAGCAAGGTTGGCAATGCGGATCTGTTCCGGGGTGTGGGACTGGATCCATTTGTCGAACTCGGCCTTCCTTGCGGCACTTTGCTCGTTGGCAAGGTGGTTGTAGTGCTAAGCATGGCCATTAGTACACACGTGTATGAGGCAGGTGTTGGCTGGAGCTGTAGTCTCTTACCTCGAGCTGTGCAGGTGATAGGTTGTTGAATTCCTTAGTAGCATTTGTGATCTTAGCCGTTTGAGTCTCGCTACCTCTTGGCTTGCCCTTGAGGAGCTCAGCAACAAAGACATTGTAGCCCGAGACCGGCCTCTGCCCGACGGGCTCCTTCAAGGCCTTTGCGCGCAGCTCACGGATTTTGGCCTTCTCCTTTTCTTCCTCGGTCAGTACCTTCTTCACACGCTTCGGGGCCGCCTTCTTGGCCGCTGGCTTCTTGGCTGCTGGCTTCTTCTTTGTCTTTTTGGCTGCTGGTTTCTTTGCAGTCGTCTTTGCCGGCGCAACCTTCTTCTTCTTTGGCGGGGTCTTTTCGCTTGCGGCCGCCTTGACCGCCTTCTTCACCGTGGCCGTGGGCTTGGTTGCGCGTGTAGTCGTAGCATAGGAGCGGGCATACGCGTAGGCGCGCGACGAGGCGCGGGCGGGGGAGGATTCAGCGGCGCTGCGAATAACGAGCACGCGCTCGAGGTGGCGTGCGAGTTGCGGCACATTGTGTGGGGACGCCCTGGGGACGTCGGCTGCCAAGCGGCAGAGTGCGCCGGCCAGCATTGTGCGAATTGCGCGAGGGGGGATACAATGGGACGTGTACTGGCAATGTCAAAGGGGCGGGCAGCGCAGCTCTGGCGGGCAATTGGCGACAGTCGGCGGTGCACTGAGCGTGTGGGCGGAGAGCAGGCGGCAGAGGGCAGCGGGCGGAGAGGAAACAGCGTGCAGAGGAGCTCGGGAGCTAGCTGCATGCTAATAATGCCCCATGTGGGAACGTCATACATACATTCATCCATCCATCCAGGTACATGGGCTCAGCGTTCACCCTCATATTTGACACGACATTACTTCGCTCGCCCAGTCAAGACTTGGCTGAATTGGCACAGATACAAACGCGTGGTTGAGGCACCTCTAGTCTACTGCAAGGACATTGCCTTCTATAATTCTTCGCATCACCCCACGCATCCATAGCCCCGCAATGTCCTTCATCACGTCTATCCGTCTCATGACCTGTATAGAGAAATAACGCAAAAGACAGCATGACTTTTGATCAGCCTCTCCTTGTTTAAAGGACCTTGTAGCTGTTGTGTGTTAGCAATTGATCGACATCGGCATTGTAATTGCAGTGCACATACCTCCATGGGTGGTCCTCGTCACCATACTGGATCGCCTCCATCCATTCCTTCATCTGCTGAGCAACAGGTCCAGCTTCAACGTGATCCTCGAGCCCGCAGTCGATGAGACGTCCCTTCCAGCTGATCTTTCGGACTGGGGCGACAATGGCCGCGGTTCCTGCGCCAAAGATCTCCATCATGCGTCCCTCGTCAGCGGCATCGGCCACTTCCTTCATTGTGAACTTGCGCTCAGTCACAGTCCAGCCCTTGGGCACCAAGCGTTCTCGCGCAAGCTCGAGAATAGAGTCGCGTGTGACTCCCTCGAGAATGGTACCGTCGAGCGGCGCAGTGAGCAGCTCTGGCTTTCCAGTCTCCTTGTTCTTGATCGCAGCGAACAGGTTCATGGTGCCTACTTCGGTAATGTACTCCTCCTCACCAAACAACCACAAGTTCTGGTGGAATCCACGGCTTGCAGCCTGCATTTGTGGTACAATGCATGGCGCGTAGTTGGCACCAAGCTTCTTGTCACCGACACCTCCTGGCCATGCGCGCACAGCATAGTCTGTGGCTTCGAGCGAAATGGCCTTAAAGCCGGTGGGATAGTAGGGGCCAACTGGCGAAGCAATCACATAGAGCAGTGCCGAAGCCGGAGGGCCTACACCGAGTGTGCGCTGAGTGCCGATCATGGTGGGGCGAAGGTAGAGAGAGTATCCTCGTGCACTGCCATGTGGTTAGTTGTATGCGTGGTGATGTACACAGGGCTCAAGAGCGAACTTACTCGGGAACGAACCGCTCGTCCTCCTTGACAAACTTGCCAATGAGCTCAGTCAGGGCATCTGGGTCAAATGTAGGCAATGCAATTCGGGCAGATGACTTGTTCAGCCTGGCCATATTCTTATCCGGCCTGAAGAGCCGAATGTTGCCGCTCTTATCCTTGTAGGCCTTCATGCCCTCGAAGCACTCGAATGCATAGTGGAAGACGCAGGTCGCGGGGTCGAGACTGAGGTTCTGGTAGGGCGTGATGCGCGCTGGAAGCCATCCTTGGGTTGCTGTCCATTCGAGCGAGAGCATATGGTCTGAGAATTGTGTGTCAGTTGCAGTCTACTACATGGTCTACTGCGGCAGGGGCTCTTACCTGAGAAATTACGACCAAAGACGAGTTCCTCTGGAGGCAACAGGTCCTTTGGTGTGGTCGTCCTGGTGATGCTGAGCTTGGTGGGATCAATGTCCCTGATCTTTTCGCCAACAGATACATCGGCGTGTATGCTGTACGGCCTGCTCGTCCGACATCGCAGCGAGGCGCTGAGCGGTGCTGCTGACGAGCGGAACGCACAATGGGACAGCGAGGAGATCAATCGCGAAGACTGCTGCTGAAGCATTGTGATGTATGATGCACAAGCCGAATAGATGTGAACGTGGATGGGAGTTGCAAGTCGTGTCAAAGGTTTATTCTTTCGGACTATGCGACCTGACTGGGGTCTAGACGTAATCGGAGCCCCTACCAGCCAGCGATGCGAACAGTCATATCGAATTACAAACGCCCGGCCTCACCGCCACATGCGAAAGGGCGTGGCCGAAGGATGGAGACTACCAAGGCGGATATTTGAGGTTATTCGCGTCATTGCCTAGAGTGCTGATGCGTCTGTGGCGGCGGCGGCATACCTGTACACACAGCGTCGTGTTCATGCACGCGACGTACACTAAAAAGACACCCCTGGACCGTGGCTCGCGTGGGGTCTAACACTTGGCTTCAACTATCATTCAACGTGCCTACATTGACGATCCGCTAGCAGCCGAGACGGTTCGGAGCGCCGCGTGGAAAAGAGGGTTGCCATCTGAGATGCCTGGAATTTGATCTCTCGGGCCCAGCTGTCTCAGACTCTTACGCGAATCCAAGCCTAAGAAGCCACAGTCCATGACGCCCTCGCCCTACACCCACGACATTGCCGCGCGGGCGAGACTACTGGCACCATGTTCTCCAACGCCCTAAAGTCCTTCACTTCCAACATCTCGAGCAACTACACCCTCAGTCCGCAGCCCACATCCTATTCAGGGCCATGGAAGATATACGACGCCAAGAAGAAATCAACGGGCAAGGCGGCCTCCGTCTTTATCTTCGACAAGAAGTCGTTGGAACCGCCTGCTGGCGCCGGCTTCGGCGGCCGCTCTGCAGCTTCGGGGCTCAAGCGGGCGCATGAGGAGGTGGTTGAACGGCTCAAGAAAGAGGCCAGCTCGCTCGCTAGATTACGGCACCCGAGTGTCTTGGAGTTAGTGGAACCTGTTGAGGAAACGCGCGGCGGAGGCCTCATGTTTGCAACGGAGCCTGTCACAGCCTCTCTTTCTGGCCTGTTACTGGAAAAGGACGAACAAGAGAAGGCTGGTGGTGTTGGAGGACGTCGCAGTCGCTATGTCATCGAAGAAGCAGACGGCCAGAAACGCAGGCGCGAACTCGAGATTGACGAACTCGAGATACAGAAGGGCTTGTTACAGATTGCAAAAGGACTGGAGTTTTTGCATGAGAGCGCTGGTTTGGTACATGCCAACCTAACGCCTGACGCCATCTTTATCAACGCTAAAGTAGGTAGTCGCAATGCTATACATGCCCCAAATTACTGATCGCGGTGATAGTCTGATTGGAAAATATCAGGTTTAGGCTTCGCAACGCCTCCGGAGAACTCTACGAAACCCACGTCCGTAACGCCGATTTCACTTGCCGAAGTCCTCAACTACGATGCCCGACTCCCTCGACACGTTCAGCTCAACCTCGATTACTCCTCGCCTGATTTCGTCATGGACAACAACATAACACCTGCAGCAGACATGTTCAGTCTGGGTATGCTCATAATCGCGCTATACAACTCGCCGCACAAAAGCCCACTTGAATTCAATGGAAGCTCTTCCTCGTACAAGCGGGCTTTTTCGTCGTCGTCTTCAGTGCCCAGCAAAACCAACAACTTCATGTCTTCACAGCCACTGCCACGGGATCTTACCAACGGGGTCCTGGATCGCCTGATTACAAGGCGCCCTGCGCAACGAATAGACGCTCGAGAGTTCCAACAGGCACAATACTTTGACAACATCTTGGTATCTACGATTCGATTTCTCGACTCGCTGCCAGCAAAGACTCCCAATGAGAAGTCACAATTTATGAGGGGCCTACCACGCATTTTGAACCAATTTCCAAAATCCGTGGTAGACAAGAAGATACTCCCGGCTTTGCTCGAGGAGATGAAGGACCGCGAGCTCCTCACGCTGATCCTTCAGAATGTATTCAAGATCATCACCATGCTTCCGTCTGGTAAAAAGGCTTTCACCGAAAAGGTCATTCCCAAGTTGCGAGAGACATTCTTGAATCCGGCGGCTACAAATACAAAAGCACCAGGTCAGGAAAGAGACAGTCTGAAGGAAGCCGGACTCATGGTTGTGCTCGAAAACATACAGGTCGCTGCGGATAACTGCAGTGGCAAGGAGTTCAAGGATGATATCCTTCCTATTATCAACTATGCTCTTGAGTCTCCTACTCACTCTCTGGTCGATGCGGCCCTGCGTACCCTACCTGTCGTTTTGCCGATTCTTGACTTCTCGACTGTTAAGAACGAGCTGTTCCCTGTTATTGCCAGCATATTTGCAAAGACCAGCAGTATGGGTATTAAGATTCGTGGTCTGGAAGCTTTCAAGACTCTTTGTGGTGGCGGAAATGAACAGCAGGACGACTATCAGGGTGACGGCCTGACTGGTGTGGTAGCGGCCCCCAAGACCAAAAGCTCCAATGTATCAATCCTCGACAAGTACACCATCCAGGAAAAGGTTGTGCCGCTCCTCCGTGCTATCAAGACAAAGGAGCCTGCAGTCATGGTATGTTTGACCAAACAAATCACAAAACAGAAAGCTAACTATTACAGATGGCTGCACTAGATGTCTTCAAGGCTATCAGCAATTCAGTTGATAGCGATTTCCTAGCTATGGATGTTCTGCCCATTCTGTGGCAATTCAGTTTGGGGCCCTTACTTAACCTTCCCCAATTCCAAGCATACATGAGCCTCATCAAGTCGACATCAGCACGTGTGGAGAATGAGCAGACCCGGAAACTACAAGAGTTGGGCGCAAATAGCTCGACAGCAACCACACGCAACGAGTTCATGACGTTTGGAGGCCCATCTACCACGAATGGCTTCGACACCAGCAATGGGAATGGTGAGGCAGACTTTGAAGCTCTCGTACGGGGTGGGCAACAGGGATCTTCTGGTGGTACAGACATGCTTGGAGGAGACGCGTGGGCAAACGCTCCATCATCTGCAACGTCCTCAACAATTCTCCCTTCGCGTCCATCAAACAATCGGATGGGGTCCAACAATGCATCTCCAGGCCCAACATTCTCCTGGTCGACACCTCCAGTGTCTCCTCCACCGATGACGAATCTCTCAGCTCCCAAACCACAGGGTCGTTCTGTCACACCGGACACGACACTCAATTCGCTCAACTCGTCCTTCCCAGCTTTAAGTGCAGCCAATCCCGGTATCGGCAGCCCATCTTTTACTCAACCTCAGCAACAGTCAAGACCGGCAATGGGCATGAACAACGTTATATCTCCCAGTGGTACCTCGACACAAAGCTCAAGTATTGATTGGAGCAAAGCAACAAACTCCATGTCCACGAACTCATCTTCGTTCTCTAGCTTCCCTTCTATGGCACCTCCGCCAGCACAGTCTCAGGCTTACGGTAACCCGTATTCGTCTTTCAGTATTGCACCGCCACCTATGAAATCAGCGGCAGGCAGTGGTGCCGGCACGTTTAGTATAGCACCTCCACCGAGCATGGGCAGTAGAACGGCAAGCTCTAAAAGTGGCATGGGTATGGGTATGGGTATGAACAATAGTATGGCGAGTTTGCGAGCACAAACACAAAATCAGCAGCAGCAACAGCAGCAACAGTCTCAGCAACAGATGAACTGGGGAAGTGGAGGAGATAGCTTGATTTAATTTCTGGCGTACGCGGCGGGAGGAGGTATACCTGAGTTTATAGAATGTTTGTTAGCGAAGGCGTTTTCTTGTCTTTTCTTTTGTTTCACGGTGCGCATTATTGAGAATGCGAGAAGCACCATTCTTGCGCGTCTGGTTTTACTCTTCTTTTTTTTCAGTAGAAAAGAGAGAAGAGAGGAAACGAATAGCTCAGTAATAGTTTCTGAAAAACACATTTCAAAGTCTAGATGTTAGCAATAGAATCCGCAGATGGAACGCCACCCGCCACCTCCACAAAAAGACAAAGGCGGTTGCCGACAACGGTCAAAAGACGCGATAGTGGGGTCAGTTCGAGCCATCTCTCGCTGTGAAACATACTGAACGTGTCCACGATATGGGCTTTCCAAGATGAATGATGAGTCGTGTGTGCCTATTGCGCATACATATGTAGAAGACGTTGTGCTCCGATGTGCTAAGCCGGATGCAACCCGGTCAGCGACCAGGTGCGAGAGCACGTCATATGGCGAATTTATTGTTCATCAGCATAAATCCCCAACCCGCGACGTCAGAGCCGTCCCGTCAGCCACAGACGCAGATGCGGCACGACTCTGTCCAACTGATAACGGCTCCAGACCAGCCAGAGAGGAAGATTTCTTATGTTCCCCGCGGGAGGATTGGCGAAGCTTGGTTGCGTCGCATGGCCCGCAGGTTCGCGTAAGCTAAGCAAGCCAAGTCGAGGGGTGTGGAGCTTAGCCACAGTGCTTATTGGACGCACTGTGACATCAGGATGGCTGTTCTCACTTTTGCCGCGTGTAACAGGCTGCCGGCCTTGCAGAAAGGGTGTGAGGGTGAAATCCTGGTCGTGAGAGTCGCTTGTCAAAGCCATCAGGCCGAAGATCAGGCCTCGATTAATGGTCACAAAGTAGCAGTCTGAGGAGGTTGATACATATGAACATGGTCTCGCTGACAGGAGCCCCAGCAAAGCAGCACTGCCGATCATGGGCCTAACGCGGAAATTTCATGGAGGCGAGGTTGGAGGGTGTCGCAGTCATGGCGTGGCGCCAGCAGACCGGAAGCGATCCACTCTTATGCTCGCTGTTCGCTTTCACCGAACCTCTCCATCCCCCCACTAATCTTAGCCTAGCCATCCTGGAGCAGTCTCTTCGCCATCTCTTTCCCTCACTCAGGATATATAACGATCGGCTTGCCGGGCCCTTTTACCTGTGGTACAAGTTGCTTCCACTCCGGAACATCCACGTCCTACCTGCGCAATTAATGCTCCCGGAACCAACCTCCCCTTGTCGTTTTTACTACACACCTTCTAAGAGGTGTATCCGCTGCCTGAAATGGCGTTGAAAGGTCTATTGGGTCGCAAGGTCTCACCATCCGACAACATGAGCCACAGCAGCAGCGACAAAGTCGCCAATGACCGAGAGAAGAATTACGACCCCGAAGCTGCCGCCGCAAAAGGAATTCTTGCGCCTACCAACGATGACATTTCAGACGCCAGCATAACGATCGGCAAACAGATTGAACTCGAGGCCAACAACGTTTTGAAATATCGCACCTGCAGCTGGAAGAAGACTGCAGCTCTCTTGTTCTCAGAATACATTTGTTTGGCTATCATGAGTTTTCCGTGGAGTTATTCGATTTTGGGGTTGGTACCAGGTCTTATACTCACAGCGGTGATTGCGGGTCTCGTCCTTTATACATCCTTGACGACATGGTGGGTTTTATCTTTATTGCTCATGATAGCATGCACCTTCTAACGCTATTCCAGGGAGTTTTGTATGCGCCACCCCCAGATCCGAGATGTCTGTGACATTGGCCAAATGCTTTTCTGGAACAAGAAGTGGGCATTTTATGCTACCGCAGTCATGTTCGTTCTAAACAGTAAGCCAATCTCCATGTTGTTCATTCGCTGTGTACTCGACTAACGCCTCGTATAGACGTCTTCATCATGGGTCTGCACTGTCTTGTGGGAGCCAAATGGTGGAACACAATCACTTCACATGGAACATGCACAATTACATTCGCTGCCATCACCGCCATTATCTCGTTTGTGGCTTCTCTTCCCCGTACATTCAACACTCTAGCCACAATCGCAACCGGCTCCGCTTTGTTCACTTTCGTCTCCGTCATACTCGCAGCAGCCTTCTCTGGAGTCGACGGAAAACCTGCAGGTTACCCAAGTAAGGGAGAGCTCGAAGTCCATGCTGTACCTCCGCCTGGAACCACCTTTATCCTTGGAATGAGCGCTTTTATGAACATTTCTTACACCTTCATTGGTCAAATTACTCTTCCCAGCTTCATTGCTGAGATGAGGGAACCCAAGGATTTCCCAAAGGCGCTCTGGGCTGTCACCATCTGTGAGGTCATCGTCTTTTCCCTCGTGGGAGGTGTCGTGTACGGATACACAGGCACCAATTACATGACCTCTCCAGCGTTTGGCTCGATCTCCAACGAAGTCTACAAGAAGGTATCATTCACGTTCATGGTACCTACGATCATCTTCCTTGGTGTCTTGTACGCTTCCGTAACCGCACGGTTCGTACTCTTCCGCATCTTTGGACCTACATCGCGACACAGGACCGACCATACCGCTGTTGGTTGGCTCACATGGACCGGAATTCTCGCCGTCATCTGGGTCCTGGCTTTCATCATTGCCGAAGTCATTCCGTTTTTCTCTGACTTGCTCTCCCTCATGAGCTCGCTCTTCGACTCCTTCTTTGGCTTCATTTTCTGGGGCGCTGCGTACTTTCAGCTTCGCTCGGAAAAGTACGGCCCAAGATACTGGAGGACACGTGGGCTCCGCGGATATTTTGGATTCTTCTTCAATATCCTACTTTGTCTGATTGGACTGTTGTTCCTCACTGCGGGTACCTACGCTACGGTTCAATCAATTATTGATGGGTACAAAGCGGATGGATTTGGTGGACCATTCACGTGCGCCGACAATGGCTTGTAATTGTCTTTTTTCTTTGCTTTAGGACGGCAATGTCACCTCTCTTATATGTAATTGCGAGAGACGAACGCCACACCTGGACCCCATTAAGTAACTGAGATCCTGCATAAATTAATTGTTCGCTATCGTTTGTCCATCCCTAGCTTTTTGGAACTTATGAGCCTCTGTAGTGCGCGAAAGACAGGTGGTTTGTTTCAGTGTGATAGTGCTAAAATTTGTGATATTGATAGCATCCTTTGAAAATTGCAGATTCAGTCCGCGAGCACCAAATATCTACGGATATAATATATCTATCCCTATTTTTCTGGCACATACGGCCATAGATTCAAGAAATTTAGCCATCCCGTTCGATCTGGCCTATACAAGCTTGAAATCGGCGGATTAGTAGTCAGGTGGGTGACCACTGGCGAATCCCCGCTGTCGTATGTTTTTTTTGCAGTTTTTGCATCTTCCTCGGTTTTTCTGAATCACGTGACGTGTGTCTTGCCATATTCCTTCATTGCATTTCGTAGGACTCTGAGGAATTTCCACATCTACTGTCATATAGGTTGTAACAACGCGACTAAATTATGGATGTCGACATATTACACGTGACGCTCCTCATTCGGATGGTTCGTCCGCAAAGCCGAGCTATGACGTTCAGTAGCTCCACATCTGCCGAGCGACACATGCTCAAGCTCGGTAAACTGACAACATCCCCAAATCCCTCTTAACACGGGTCACTTTCGTCTTTTTCTTTCATCTTTCTAGTCGCTATTCGTGCAAGCTCTACCTCGCCGTCCTCGAAATCATGTCTGAATACATCGATTTCAGCAAGCCCAGTCTCTGGAGTAAGTATTGCGATCAAGCCTTGCCCCACTTGTAAACATAGGCTTACAAGGCAACAGTATCTGCGGCCAGCATTGCGTTCAACCCTACCTTTTGGAAGTGAGTTGGCATCGTCAAACTTTCGTAGAACATACTGACATATGATATAGCATTGCAGCTCAGCAAGGTACGTATTGGACAGTTATTGCTGCGGACAGCTATGAAATCACCCATAAAACATAAGCCTAACTAGTGACAGAATACCACAACAAAGTCATTACAAAAATCTTCGGTGGTAACTCGCGACTTGGTTGCTATGCACTCGCTGTGACCATCTTTTCGCTGGGTATCTTCAGGGACTACCTGTACGTGCAGAGGGTGAAACGTCATTCGCGGGGCACCTCAATCCTTCGCCTATTGACTTCGACCGCTAACAAAGCCCAGCTACAATGAAGCTCTTGCAGACCAACCCACACATCCAGCACTCCTGTCTCCTGTAATCAAGTACTCGGCAATTCCGCTTTTCCTCACTGGAAATGTCCTCGTCGTAACCTCCATGTGGGCCCTTGGTGTCACTGGTACTTATCTCGGAGACTACTTCGGAATCCTCATGGATGAGCCTGTCACGACCTTCCCTTTCAGCGTCTCCAGCTCTCCCATGTACCATGGCTCTACCATGTCTTTCTTGGCTACTGCAATCTGGTATGGCAAGCCAGCTGGTATCTTCCTTTCTGGGCTGGTAGCAGTTGCCTATTCGATTGCATGCAAGTGGGAGGACCCCTTCACGGCCATGATTTACCGCAAGAGGGACGAGGAGAGGTCCAGGGGAAAGAAGGGCCAGTAGAGACCTCAGCTCTGTGGCTCATACGATGGAACAGAGCAGTGTTAGGCCAGAGACATCCTACACCGCTCAGAATATACGCACTCTGATAGCCATGCTTCGGCTGAAGAGTAGTGGAGAAAGAGTTGGAACAGCACGTCTTTTCAACACCGGCGTCCAGGTCTACCTTGAAAGGGTATTCAACTGCCAGCTGGTTGAGAAACATATATAGGAGCATTGAAAGCACATTTGATTTGCCATGATACCGTAGCCCAAAGCGACAAGACCCAAAGCGACACCTCCTTATATCTCCCGCTGGTAAGTAAGGTACCGTTGGTTTGATGATGACACTGGTCCCACGTGGAAGGACGTAGTTGTTATTATGCCTCTTGCTAGACTACGGGTTTTCTCATATGTGTTTTTCTCCAGTTACTTGTGAACCTGCGGGTGATTGTGTGGTTCACAAGTGTATTGATTACTACTTGCTTGTAATAAGACGAACACGACATCTTACCGTTCAAAATTCTTCCTAATCCATGACAGAAGAATGGCCTAGTGAAAAGCACGCTGAGCAGTTACGGTAATTTGACAGTGACAGTGACCACAGAGAAAGTTCAAGTACATCATATGCAGCCGACATGAACACCCTTCCACACCAGACTTGCTTGCCTAGAGTAGAAGAACAGGACACACTCATCGAACTATCGTACCATGACACAGAACTGCAAGGCAAGATTAACGTTGAAAGCAAGATCTGACGTAAGCCTACCTATTTATACATATAGTCCGTGCGACTACTACTATATCCTTACTGCACTCCTAGCTGAAAGGAGAGTGTTACTGCTATTCGCCAGCCAAGTAGATATGTGTTCTGTAAGACCCAGAGGTAAAAAAAATACAGTGTTTGGTAGATATGCCAAGTACATTGCATCCGCATTATTTTACTTGTTCGGATCATCATGCGTAGTGTGTTCTTTATGTGCTGTGGATCTGGGGTGTGTCTGGGTGGGGTTTGGGCTAATGCAGGATAGCACAATCAGTATGGTAGATCAAGGTTAAGCGGGACGGAAGGGACGGAAGGGACGGAAGGGGATCAGGTTTTCACTAGGATAGCACTAGAACTATGCAACGATGACTGCATATTCAGATACAGGAATGTTGGTTGGGGATTTTAATTGGTTGTGACTTGGGCGGTAATCATGATTTAAATTCTATATTACTGCTTGGTATTTGCGAGAGGAGGGAATTGTTGTCAATAGTAGATAGTTAATAGTGTTAATACGACAAGTGATAGTATAGCCAGCGCTATTGTCTCCAATATTACAGTCTATTGCAGTAGGAGAAGAAGAAAAAAAAACATAAAAGCAGATGGGTATGATACTTCTCTATGTACAAAGTGCAGTAAAGACAGTCTAAGCTGCTAGAAAGCGAGTGACCGTCATGCCGTGTGTCTCATTAGACTTGTTTTGACATTAAAAATTGATGTAACGTCCTAGGTGGAAAACAAACAACGCATTTACATATCACGGGATGCACCTCCCCTTGAAGGCCTTGTGCTGGGTGGGTTTCCAGCATGTGGCACACCGTTATGGTTAAGGACACCCAACTCGCTGTCGTCCACACTGTGTGCACCCATTTGGGCGTCCGTCCTCCTCCTTGCACCTGCACCCGCCTTACTCCATCCCTCTGTGCCAACGTAAGAACCCCTGCCTACGCCAATGCCCCATGCACGCTCGTAGCTTCGTGGTCCCCAGGCCCAGCCCGCACCTCGCGTGACGGGGAGGTGGTACCAGCGGAAGGAGAACCACGCACAGGTTACGCCGATCAATGTGCCAAACAGCATGTCGAAGCCAAAGTGACGGTAGTCGGTGTAGCGTGTGCTGGTAATGTAAATGGCAGAACCAATAGGTACGAGAATAAGGACCAGAGTGTATACGGGCGGCGCAGCGTTCTGGTACCGAATGGGGACCACAGCATCGTCGCTGTACGCTGCGGATGAAAGAGAAGTGTCTTGCTTGTGCACTGGCAGCGTAGCTTGCTTCTTGAGGTTGGATGGGGTGACGGCCGAAGTGTAGGCTGGGTTTGTTGAGAAGGGGCGGGGTGGAAGAAAGGGGATTGCAACGCTGAACTTGGAAGCCAGAAAGAGAGTAAGGTAAAGGAGACCGGCCCATGAAACTAAAGGGGTGTTGGTTAGCAAAAGTTCATGGCAAAGAGAGGCGTAGGAAGTGACTTACAGCTCGAGTGTCCACTTGGGAAAGACTTGAAGCCGTCTTTGAGGCGATCGTTGTCTGTCTGAGTGCAAATACCAGAAGTGACGAGTACCCAGGCTGGATCAAAGATATCTCCAACAACGGGGTTTATGGCGAAGTCGGCGATGCGGTTAAGATCTGGCTTGCACCTCGACAGCAAGTCTGGTCTCGGCTTTCCAAATAAGTTCTTCATGCCCTGAGTGATCAAAAAGGCCGTTGCAAGTGAAAGCGCAAGGCCCATCCATCCCGTGTTCCACTCCCAGAGCTTCCTCCTCCAAATCAGCGCCTTTGGTGTTCCGCGTTCGGCCGTGGGCCCAGGAACAAAGACAAGACATACTATCATGATGATACCAGCAGGCGCAACGAGCGAGACAACAACCAGAAGCCAAGTGGGGATCATTTCGCTCGTCTGGTAGGGGTATGAGATGTTGAGGTCGACGGGCGAGAAAGGTCGGCGGAAAGGTTCGACATACTCCCAGCCAGCGGCCACGGCTGCGATGCCGATGATGACGATCCAGTCAAAGATGTAGGATGCGACCAGTCGTGCCGACGGTCTGCTAATTCCGTTGAAAGCCTGCATGTTTACCATGCGAGAAAGAATGTGTACGACGCAAACAAAATGGAGGTTTATGGAGGTAGAGGATTAGAACCAAGTAGTGCGAGTGTCAAACGTTGCAGACGGCTCAAATTGACAGGCGCATGGACGGGTGCTTTGAACTTGTTGATCTTGGCGGGAGTGTCGAGTGTTTTGGGTATGATTTGAAGTGCTAGTGCGTGTCACCGAGAAGAAAAGTAAGCGTGGTTTGACGTGTGTAGTGTGGAGCGTGTGCAAGCATGAATGGTGCTACCATGGGCGAGTAATATGATGATTGAGAGATCATAAGTGACGGAGTGAAGGGTTCAAGGGGTGAGGCAAGAGGGCACGCGATAACTGCCAAGTGCCCAGCGGGACGGCTTGAGGCTGTGAGGGCAGGGCTCAAGGCGGTGGCCTGAATGGACACGGCGGCGTCTCAGCAGGCGCCCAGAGCGTGGCCAGCCTATTGCGTTTGCGCCGGCGTACTGGCGTATGCGCTGGGACTGGATGTCGGACGGACATGGACGTACGCTATAAGTTCACTATTGCCCATACGAGAAGCGATGATGATGGTCATGAGAATGATGATGAAAATGGCTGTCGAAATGCGGGTGCTAGGACGGCCAGGGTTTAGTCCAGGACATGATTTGCGACGGTAGGGGGAAAGTCTCCACACCTCCGCCCACGTCATCTTTTGCGCTTGGTTTTTCTTAGCTGTTAGGGCTGGCCCGGAGTTGTGTGTTGTGCCTATACGCAGACGCATACGCACGGTACAGTCAGTCGTGCAGCACCGAGGCTCAGCCCCAGTGACTGCGTCTCCTGCGTCCGAATACGGACAAATACGGATATCCAGCACGCCCGAAAGCCGGCCACCGTCAGACAAGCGCAGCAAAGCCAGCCAGCCCACCATGGCGCTACCGCCGCCAACCATTGACCTGTTGCTCAACCTCATCGACACCCGCCCGCAGTCCATCCTCACGTCGCTGGCGCAGCATCCACAGCTGGCCTCGGCGCGTGATGCTCATGGCTACTCTCTGGTCCATGCTGCCGCCTCCTACAACCAACTCGCCGTGCTGCGCGACCTGATTCAAAAATTCAATGCCGACGTCAACATTCTAGACGAGGACGGCGAGACGCCCCTCTTCGCAGCCGAAAAAATCGAAGTCGCAAAATGCCTGGTCGAGGAGCTGGGTGCAGACACTAGCATACGCAATGGCGATGGTCAAACGGCCGAAGACAAGATTGGCGAGGAAGAAGGCGAGGCACACGAAGTATACCAGTACCTGAGGAGTCGGAGAACTGGTTCTGAGCCAATACCAGCGGGTCTTGTAGAAACTGAGAGTGTACACCCCCCGCCACCATTACCCGGTGGTGTCAAGGTCAATATGGGCACTATGGAAGAAGATGCCGCTGAGGCACCAGATCCGGAGATACGGCGGCGGATTGAAGAGTTGGCGGCGAGAGACGACTACAACTCTGAGGAGGTGCAGAGTCAACTGAGGGAGCTGGTGCAAGACGTTGTCAGTGGCATTGGAGGTGAGGATGGAGGAAGAAGCGTAAAGAGAAGGGTCGACTGAGGACGACAACAACAAACAAGAGCAACGAACGCCGCACCAACCAACCGCACATCACGTGCTTGGAAGGTGCCTAAAAGAGATGCAAAAGGGATTTCCACAAAAGTGTGCCAGCAACAAGTCTCGTCGGTTGTTATTGTCGAGCCAGAATGAGGGCGGCTCCGAGATTTCCCACTATGTGACTAGAGAACAGTCCAGACCATCCAGGTAGTTCTAATAAATCACAAAACCAGGTCGTTTCACCATATCCTTTCCTCATTCAGGTACTACTCTTAAATTGATTTCGTGGACCTTTCATCTCCCCGCATCTCCCCCGCATCTTGCATTCTCACGTCAGTTCACCAGCAACGCCTGGACGCAAATCATGCAAGCAGCACCCAATCAACCTGCCCTGACTGATACTATCAAGCAGCAGCCTCATGAGGCCTTGCCAAACTCTATTTTCCTTGTGTCATTGGTGTCGGACCAATATGTTCAGCATCTTGTTGTAACCTTAAGTCCCCTACCCGACCTATCGGATACGGTCCCGTTGTCGATTGGCCAGGTCCGGGTTAATCACGGCCCCATGAAACCGGCGATACTTGTACTCCACCCTGCACGATTCACAAATCGTCTTCTGAAAAGGGTTATGACTCCGTGGATACTTATTAAGCATGGAGACTGTGAGGTTGTGTAGGTTGGGCGCTTAATATCATAGCGGCTATTCGTACTCGTCGTGGTGGTAATGGTGTAGTCGATGCTATCTCAAAACTGCTGCACTGTAGTGTAGTTACTATACAAAGTCGATAAGCGTAGTTCTCTGGGCTACTTACTATGCAGGGGTGCATGTCAACGATCATGTCCATCACCAACCCACAACCTGAATCAGAGTAAGAAGATCAACCACGCATTTGCCTCAAGAGCTTGACTCAGTAGATGCGGTTGTTGCATCACGCCTTTTATCTCCGCCCTATCCCCGGGCACCCGCCTAAGTCGCAGTCATACCAAACCTACCGTTAACGGCAAAAACAACGTCCAATCTCAGTACAACCCGCCCGTTGATTGCAGTCGCATTACTTCGGACTTTCTCTGTCGGACGTACTTCCCTCTTGGGCCGACCTTCGACCCTTCTATGGCTCACATTCGCGCCGACGGCATCGGTCGCCATCGGCGTCGGCCTTTTCTTCTCTCCTTCTTTTTCATTCGAGTCCTCTCTTTTCGGCACAAAAAACAAAACTAAGCCCACGCCGCCTCGGCGGATTTACATCGCCACTGATGCTTTCAGGCCCCCCCTCTTCTTCTGCCCTGCCCTCCAGCCCCCGTGCTCCACCCTCCCCCCTTTGATATTTCCAACCACCTGGTTGTTTTACTGCAAAGGGAAGGGAATCTGAAAATGTGTTGATTCTAGTCGGTCAATTACGCTGCTTTTTCGGCGCTGTTCGGTCTGTAGAGTGGGTTTTTGCTACTCGTCAACTGGGGTTGACCACGCTTACACAATGCTTGCTCAGCACAACATGTGTTTTCGTACTTTGAGTTTGGAGGTAGTGGGATGATGAGAGCCAGAAAGGGATCATTGGCCCATCCATGGTGTTGCGGTACTGTTATCGTGATTCTACGTAGTCTGACTTCTATATGGTGTTTGCCTATATAATATAGACCTATTGCATGATTGAACTCTATATCAAGTCTTCAGACCCCCAATGATACCTCTCAAACAACTCAATTGATTGCAAATTGATACACAAAGCCAAATCACCCAGAAATCTAAAAAATTGAAGCCATATTCACATGTAGATGTGGCGAAGACGAACCATGAGCCGCACCCACAAACCCACCTTGGCACGAACCAAGCAGTCCACAAAAGAGCCCCATCCTCTCCCCTCCCCACATGAGAACCTCTTCATCCACATGAGGAAATTAAACGGGAACAACCTCTCTATTCAGTTAGCCCGCCCTTTCACCACAACTTACCTCCACCTCCTGAACAAACTCGCCCCAAACACTTACGACCCGTCCCGCCACCCCCTACCCTTGAAACCTTAATCTCAAAAACAAACAAAACTCCACAAACGTAACGCCATCCTCCCCCCCTATATATTTCCCCAATCAAACAAACCCCAAACAGCAAATTGAAAAAAATACTCTGTTACACTCAATTCAAACATCTACGAGATCAAGACAAAGAAAAGAAAGAAACTAGATTGTTGGGGAGAAAGAAGAAGGAAAAAAAGTAAAACAATAAAGCCCCACCCGTGTCCCTATACTCGATCATTTAGGTGTTAATTACCCGTTTGGGAAATTGTGGCGTAGCAGAAAGAAGCAGAAGGGGAAAAAAGGTGGGTCAAAGGGAAATAACGCGAGAGAGAAAGAGAGCACGTATGGTAACAGTTGAACTTGGTTGTTATAGCTTGTTGAATCTCCCTCCCTTCTAACAGGTAACGCTACTATCCTATGTGTATTGAATGTGGGAAAAGTTTGTCGAGGAACGAAATCGCCTTATCTAATCGCCGCAAGTTCCCAAGATAATACATATACGAGGATGTCGTGCAGTAAATCACCTTGCATATGTACGTGAATATGTACGTGATTTCCCCCCACATATAAAAGTGCTCTAAATACCGCCCCAGTCTATACCATGTTCCCATAAGTCCACCACCCCGCCGGTCCGCCATAATCATCAACACTGAATCCCGTACTTCCTCAGCGTCTCCTTCGCAGTCGTAATCCTTATTCCGATTCTTTGCAAAGAAGAAACATGTTAGTTCATGCGCAAAAGAAAAAGGAAGAAAGGAAAAAACGTACCTGGCATCTAAATCGTAGCTCCCCCACTTGGTAACTTCATCCAACCAATCCCTACACTGCCCTAGCACCTCAACATGCTCCTCAGGATGCCCCTCTGCATCCGCCTCGCGCCAGATGTTCGCCGCCATTTCGTACCGTGCGCACGGCGCCGTCCAGTTGTCTTTCAGGCCTCCAGTCAGTAGCGCACGATCCACGGACAACACTTCCTTCTCAAGAAGAACCTTGGCTTCAGCCGGCTGCCCCATGTTGCGTAGCGTAGCAGCGCGGAGAACATGTAGTATAGCTTTCTCGTCGACGTTTTCCTTGTCCCAGTGCGGGTTGGCGGGAGATTCGCTCCAGGCGAGGTTCGCGAGCGAGACGGCGAGGTGGTCGTTGCGCATGCGTTTGTAGCCGTTCCAGAAGTATATCATCTCTTCGATGGGCGAGATGCCGACAGCGTCTATGAGGCCGCACTTCCATTCTTTGGCACGGGCTTCCCATTTTTGGATCTTGCGGCTGACAAAGACGTCAAAGGGGAGTTGGCGGGCCATGAACTTCTTTTTGCCCGTGTTGGGGATTACCTTTTTCATGATCTCTTCGGCCTTTTCGCCGTACTTCTTTGCTTCGGTGGGGTTGGTGGTCTTGTTTTTTCTGTACAACTCGATGTAGGACGCGGCGATGATGTAGTAGTATAGTCCGTGACTCCAGTTGTTCAGGGTGACGCATTTGTCGAACCCAGCGGCAGCGGCCTCGTAGTCGTGCATATACATGTTGTTGAGACTACGTTCGAACCAGCTCAGGGCCTCGAGTTGCTTGAGCTTCGTCTCGCCCGCCTCGGCTATGAATTGAACAGCCTTTTCGAGCTCTTTCTCAGATGCCAGCATTCGTGATTCCTCAAGAAGCCACAGATGACTCTGGGGATACCTTTCACGCATGTAGCGGAGCAAAGCCATGCATTTTTCCTTAGGATATGCACCCTCTCCATGTGATGGGAGAATGTCGCAAAAGTTTGTAAACCCATTTAGATATCCCATCAGGACCACACCGGCCATGGCACCATGGATGTTGTCAAACTTGGTCGCCTGCCACAGCATTTTCATGCCTCGTTCTCGGTCACCCTTGAAACCGACTACCTTCAGCAAGGTAGCAAATGAGGGCGGTATAAATGAGAGAATGAGTAGTAACATCCCAAAACAAAAGTTAGATCCAGACAGAACAAAAGTATCTACTGGGTGATCGCTAAACGAAGCAATGTCCTGGCCCTCATCGCTTAATGTGAGCTGCTCAAAATATTCGATGGCGTTCGATATTGAAGATGAGTTTTCACCTGCTGTAGGTAGAGCCGGTGCTGAACTAGATTCCACGTCAACTCTCTTTTGGGCATTGTTTAGTTCCACTGAAGCATTCTTGTCAACAGGGACATTAATGTGACCTGTATATTCAAGAGGTGTTGCAACCTCCGACCGGTCTTCTGCAGCATCCACGAATTCAAAATCATCGTCGTTGTCATCGTGTGCGGCCTTTTTTGTCTCCGGGGTAATTGTCGTAGTCTGCTTAAGATCGGACGTCGAACCTGCAGCAGATGCATTCGCAGGTGCAGCAGCCTTGGAGCCCTGAACCTTGCTACTCTTCAAACTCCAAGGGCCTGATCCACCTTTTAAAGAGCTACTCGACCCTGAGGAGTTGAGACTGCTTGTACTCCTTTCCTTGAGGAAGTTCTTCTCATTCTGTATCACACCCTCCAACGCAATATATGCTTTCCTCAGCTTGTAGAAACTCTTGATGGCCTCAGTCAAGCTCTCGTTGAGCACGCCCACAACCGCACTCATCAACTGTGCTTCCGCCATGCATACCGCATATTCAGTGCCCGGGGGGTATATCGACGACCGATACGAGTTTGGGTCTTTGCTAGCGCGTCGCTGTTGTTCGTAGGCTGAGTTCTCGGCTACATACAAGGCATTGGCGGCTGTGCCTCATGTCAGTCTAAGTTCGGAAGACCGGGAATGGGCATCTGACGAGACCTTCGCGGACGATTTCCGGTTCAAAACCCAACGTTGCCCTTATGAAGACGCATACACCTGCTCCAAGCTGTAGTATGTAAGCTCAACACTCCATGGAATATGTCTGCAAGTTGAACGTTAATACATACCTGGTGAAATGGAGAACTGCCCTTGTTAAGGTGAATTTCGGCGTTTTCGATATCGTCGGCCATGATATAGTTAACAGCTACGTTGGCACGCCATTAGTTCTGCATGCCACATTGCCTGAAGCAAAATGATCCGTAGGATTCCTACCACCCATAGCTTCCTGAACTACCGAGCGTCAGCAACCCATTTTGCCTCACGAATACCACAAGCCTCACTCTGTGCAAACTCATCCAAAGAGTCCAGACTCTTTGAATGCCCGGGTGTATGGCCCTTGAGCCACCCACCGACTTTGAACATGTTGCCTAAAAAAGAAAGTCTGGTAGGCGGGGGAAAGAAGATCGAAGCCTCGCCAGCAAAGAAGTTGAGGAAAGGGAAAACGGAGCAAAAGCTGGGGGAGGAGAGAAAGAGAGAAAGTATAGTATATTACAAGGGCCCGCAGACAGCGGGATAGCCCCAGCAAACGCGATGAGCGGGTATCTATGTATGCATTAACCTAGTAAGCCATCCAGACAAATGCGCCTAATGCGTCGGAGCTAAACGCAGTACGTCATGCTCTGCGGCGGGCGGTCAGATAGGTACATTTTCGTCCGCAAGCCCACGCATGCTTACACCCAAGTCTTACAAACATAGCAATGGGCAGCCTAAGAAAAAAGGATTTAGTTCCTCTAGGCAGACATATTGTACCTGGGAAAGCCAAGCAGCGGGTACAGCTGGAAAGTTAAAACCCCACCCGCGAAACGCGAACCGGGGTTGCCAATGAGCGTCACGTGATTGTTAGATCTGCGGGTAAGTTGCCCGCCTCCGCCGCCGCCACCGATGCTAGAGCCGCGACTACTACCAAGCCTACGGAAGCACAAACACCAACGCATCCCTACCCATCGGTCCAGATACTACGAGATTATCTTGCAGCATCAATCGCACTACACAAATCTAGCACGATGTCCGGCTCAGCGCAAGGAAGCAACGATATGAAGAAGGCCGTGACCAACGACTCGAAGAACGGCGAGCAACCGCTGGCACCGGAGAAGAAGCCTGCGACACAACTCGAGGAGGATGACGAGTTTGAGGACTTTCCCGTCGAAGGTAGGGCAGCAAGATGAGTTGGCTATAGGATTAGCTGACGGTAGGGCCAGACTGGACAGAAGAGGAGACACAGATCCCCAACGGCAACACACACCTGTGGGAGGAGAGCTGGGATGATGATGACACGAACGATGACTTTGCCGTGCAGCTGAGGTAAGAGGTCTATGTTTGGTATTGCGTAGTGCCAAAGCTGACAACATGCAGGGAGGAGCTGAAGAAGCTGGGCAAATGATGAACACACCACCACGATGTTACGACACGATAGCATTTCACCGGGAAGCCGCGATGGTGGTCAATAGAGGGTGCAGTACGACACGGTCTAAGCGGCCAGGGCATATCACAAACGGCATCACAGCGTGTCTGAAGCTACAAACAAAAGACTACAATCGAAGCATGGTTCATCAATATTGAAACCACAAAGAGCTATATAGCTACATTATCATAACTTCGAAGATATACCTTCCCTGTTCTTGAGCCACCGTTCACCTCTTTGAGTGACTGTTTTACTTACTTGACAGGGCAGAGACACCGGGCAGATCCTTACCCTCGAGCAGCTCAAGCGACGCGCCGCCTCCGGTTGAGACGTGGGAGAGCTTGTCTTCTACACCGTACTTGGCCGCCACAGTAGCTGTGTCACCACCACCGATGATGACAATCTTGCCGCTCTGTGCAGCGTCAACAGCGGCGTCGAGTGTCGCCTTGGTACCAGCGGCGAACTTGTCGAACTCGAACACACCAGCAGGACCGTTCCAGAGGATGGTCTGCGCCTCATCGATGGCCTCCTTGTAAAGCTTGATCGACTTCTCTCCACAGTCGAGACCCATCCAACCATCCGGGATGCCGTCCTTGTCCTCGGCGTAGCCAGTTTTGGCGTCCTTGTCAAACTTATCAGCAGTGATGTAGTCGACGGGGAGCACAATCTTGACGTTGTTCTTCTTCGCCTTCTCGACAAGGTCCTTGACGGTCTTGCTGCCAGCCTCATCGAACAAGCTGTCACCAATCTTGACGCCCTCAAGAGTCTTCTTGAAGGTGAAGGACATGCCTCCGCAGATGATCAGGCTATTGACCTTGCCAAGCAGGTTGTCGATCAATTGGATCTTGTCGGAGACCTTTGCACCACCGAGGATGGCGAGGAAAGGTCGCTTGGGCTCCTCGAGAGCTTTTGCGAAGTAATCAAGCTCCTTCTTGACAAGGAAGCCAGAGGCCTTTTGTGGAAGGTCGACACCGACCATGGAGCTGTGCGCGCGGTGAGCAGTACCGAAAGCGTCGTCTATGAATGATTAGCTTTGTGTTTTCACCAACGCGCTCATTGTATTACTCACTGATGTAGACGTCACCCAGAGCAGTCAAGCCCTTCCTGAACTCGTCGACCTTGCTCTTGTCTACCTTTTGCTTCTTGCCATCATCGTCCTTGTAGCTACCCTCCTCCTCGGCGTGGAAGCGTAGGTTCTCTAGTAGGATGACTTGGCCACCGCTAGCGCTGTTGACGGTATCCTCGACCGACTTGCCAACGCAGTCGTCGGTGAAGGTGACGCTCTTGCCAAGGAGCTTCTCCAGCTCGGCAACAACCGGCTTGAGGCTGTATTTTGCGTTTGGCTTTCCGTCTGGTCGGCCAAGGTGGGACATGAGGATGACAGCTTTGGCGCCATTGTCGATGGCGTGCTTGATTGTGGGAAGTGCGCCGACTATGCGCTGGTTGTTGGTGATCTTCTTGTCGGCGTCCAGAGGGACGTTGAAGTCGACCTAGAGATTGTCATGGTTAGATGTGACCTCTGAATTGTACAAAGTATCATAAGATTCACTTACTCGAATCAGGACGCGCTTGTCCTTGAGATCGACGTCGGCGATCGATAGCTTGTTGGAGAGAGACATGACGTGTGTAGGGGGTGTACTGTGATGGCGCGTCAGTGAAGCTCTTGCTCTTAAGCTGTCTGAATTTGGGCGCAATTGGTAGTTTGTATTGTTTTAAGGGCTCACTTACAGGAGAAGATGTGGATTAAGGAAGAAGAAGGAGAGAAAGGGGTGGTGTTTGGTCTAGGTTGTAGTATGTTGCTAAGCTTGGTGGGGGTGGTCGCAGCGGGGCAGTCAGTCCACAAGTTCCTCTCCTGCATGCAAAGCTTCTTGCTCCTTATCGAACCACAAAAAGAAAACCGGCGTGACTAAAACCAAGCCTCATTAGCTAAAGTAAAATGTTTTAGCTGCCCTTGTACTGCGCAGGATGCGCGAGTGAAGCCCCCCTCCCCCGCGGCCGAGAGTGACGGCTGGTTTCGGAGAGCAGTAGCTACAAGAGCTTGCAGCTCCTAGCATTTCCTTTCGCTCTCCGATGGTACATCGACGGTCCCCAGTGTCATCAATGTTTCAAACTGAACAAAGTCATTACGAAATGCCCTCATGTTAAACCAACAACATAATAAAATAGAAAAAGCATTTCATTCTCATCTAGTTGACAGTTGTATACACAAATCTTAGTTCCTCTGAACAAAAGGTCGACAGACCCAACGCCGCGCAAATGCCCATTCAATTGTAGAGACGCACAAAAAGGTCAAGGGCAGCAAATCGAGATCGTCATGATCCAGCTTACGTGTATCCATGATAGTTGTACAAGGAAAGTCTGTTTGTATAGTGGGAGAGACTTAGGCGTCTTCGGCGGAGTTGGTCAAGGAAAGGTAGGCAGTCCAGGCAATACCCACACTGGATACAAAAGGCTGGCAGAGAGTTAGTCTCGCCTAAGTTTTTCGAGGCCGGGCAACTTACAATTTGGTATTGAATGGGCATGACACGGAAGTTGATGATTTGCACTGCTGGCCAGACCATGTAGTTGGCCTTGAGCGCAGGCACATAGACATCCTGGAACTTACGCTGCACGGCTCGCTTACCGCCGCCCTCGGCAATTGTCATAAAGGTAAAGAATGCAGCCAGACCAGCTGGGGCAAACAGGAATTGGTCAAAAGCCACGCGCTTCAATGCCGGCATCCATGTAGCAGTCTTTGTGACGGGGAATGTGGCGGACAGGAACCTGAACCACCTGTGCTGGATGGGCGACATGAGGAAACCGTACGACATGAACCTGGTGGTGCGCTCGAAATCAAAAGGCGGCGGCAGTTTCTTCGAGTCGGGAATGAGATCGTTCTCGTTGAATGGATTGCGCTTGTCGAGGTCGTGAATCTCAATCGCCAGGAAGTCGTCCTTGCCTGGGCCGCCCTTCTTGCGAACGGCGCGCTCTCGCACAGCAGTCAGGGTCTGCGCCACCGTGTCCGCAATACCACCCAACACCTGGTATCACTGTCAGTTCTTGCTTTGTGTACTTCTTGTAGATGTATTCGAGATTGACGTCGAAATTGATGCAGCGATCGCATGGTTCGGAAGGGGGGACTGTGTGCGACATGGGGCTCGCGATGCGCGCAAGTCTTACGGGGAGCGGAGGAGGGCACATACGGCGTTGGTGATCATTGTGGTGAGGACTGGTCGCGCTGCATAGTACTGGTTGTACTTGCGCGTGAGCAGACTCACGGCAGCCATTTGCAAAAGAAAGACAACCGAATGGAGCAGCGGCTGGTCGCTGTCAGTAGATGGTCAGGCGGTTGTCGGCAGTGTCGCTCACAATCTTTCCGTAGATCCAGCGACTGTTTAGCTGGTAAAGCAGTCTGTGCCTGGTGCTGTTCATGGTAAGTGCTGGGTCCTGTGAAAAAGCTCTAGGTGTAGCGTTGCTCGCAGATGGCGCCCGATGACGTTGCTGAAACGCAGCCGAAGGTCCGTGTGCAGCGATAAGTGGCCCTCTTCTATCTCTCAAGGCTGTATGGCACAGGTTGCGAAGGCTGTAGGCGGATAAGGATGCTTTTGTGAGCAGAGGAGCAGTCTACCAGTATGAGGGGGTAGAAGGCGCAGCTTGCCTGGGGTTGATGCACGAATGATCATGGTGCAGTGGCGGAGAGTTTCACGCGCCGCGACCAATGACGGCTTTCATAGACCAAGGGACAGGCATCAACTGGAACCAGCCCAGTTCCGAGCGGATGCGGGCTCGTTCTACAAACTTCTATTCAATACCTATGTATGTCTGATGCCTCACCGTCTATTCACACAAGGTTTCATGGTATGGCCCGATACAGTACCGGATATCTCGGCTCACCTGCTGAGAGGGGAAAGTGATCCTGGCACTCACCAACTTCACAAGTAGCATCATGGGCTGCTACAGACATGCATTCAAGACGAGCGCAAATCCAAAATGCATTCAATCTTCAATAATGTTTGGAAAGACGATCAGGGTATAATGGCTTCTAGAACAAATTCATGGTGCCACAGCAACGATACTGGGCAAGTCGCGGATGTCTACAGCTTCGTTGGTGACCAGATCCACCACCCGTATGGACTCGACCGACAATACACCCGCAGTGAGCGCGAGCAACTTGATATCAGCCGTATAGCAAGACCCAGGCGAAAGTTGTCTGTGTGCAATTAGTATCCTCGGTCCGCAGCCAGTCAGGTTACATTTACTTACCCTACGCGTATGTCCGTCGTCAAACAGATCAAATCTGCCGTCTCTGTCCTTGTACTCTTCTGCTTGGCATAAACGACATTCTCGTCCGTGACGGCTGTTGCAAGTAGCTCCCTTTTTTCTACACGAGGACCGCCTACAGATGATGTGGATGGATGTGATCTGTGCTTCTTCTCACCATCTCTTGGTCGCTTTACAATGACCAAGATTGCTAGCCTTCGCATTTTATCGGATCGGTTGACAATGAATACGTCCCACGTAAAGATCTCGCCAACTTGAATGCTGGGTGGCCCAGAAATCGTAAGTGTGACATTCACCTCGTTACTCGAGAGTGCATGCCCGTGCTGATCTTGAGAATCAGACCCGACAAGAGCATCTGGATTAGATGCGTTTGTCGCTTGACTCATAGAGCTGGTGGGACGGTGAAAAGCCTTGGCATGGCCAGATGCTTGTTCAGATGCAAAATCGACGGGTGTTTTCCATTCAATTGCAATGTCCGGTCGGCAATCGCTGGACATGGTGACATTGGCCTCAACGTTGAGTATTAGATAGTGACCCTTAGTTCCAAGTGATGGGGTTCCATCAGGGGAAAGATCTAGCATAATCTTGTACAGATATGTCAGTTGGTCGCCAGGCTTATGGCTAACTGTTGCGTCTTGTTCCGTGCTCAGCTCTTTGGTTTTGCCGCCATGTAATGCCAGCTTAACATTCTTGATTCTAACGTCATATGTAGCGAACTGGGCAACTTCTAGGTCCAGGGAAGCGATCAAAGATAGATCATTCACTGACGCATGGAGTCTTGAATATCTTACTCTCCATATGAGCGGTGGGAGCACCCTGAATATAGGCTTTTGGCCATTCCGGATAGGGCGGACCATTTCCCTTGCAACAGGAGCACTCGGCGTGACTTTGCTGATGCGCATGGCCGAAAGCCGGGGGTGGACACCGACCAGAGCTGGGTCGTTCTCGAATGACTGAAGTAAATTCAGTGGTGTGGGCACGCGGCTTGGGAGATAATCATCTTCCAGAGCATCATCTTTGGGGTTTTCTGCAGGCTTAAAGGAGGCCGTGGGTTGGAAGTAAACTGCGGGCTTGTGAAATCTGCCCTGAGGACGGGCTACTTGAAATTAGATACTGCGAATACTTCGTAATCTGCAGACCTTACCAATGAAGATATCAACCTTCCAGATGACAAAGGTATGAGCATTACCACCTTCACCGTGACACACAATGCTAGGCTCGTCTGAAGGCTTGATGGTACCAGAATATATGAGTTCCTTTAGGGTTCCTGATTTGGGGTCTTGCTCAGGTGGGGGAGCAGTGCTGAAGGCGAATGCTTCCACATTGACCACCAATCTTTCAAGATATCCCTTGAGGGTAGAATCTTCCAACAGTGGTGTTCGAAAGACGACATATACAGCTAGTAGTTCATCTAAAAGCCTATGCATGAGTAAGAGACATGCATTGGATGGTAAACTGGCGAGACATACCGAGGAGAAGCACCTGTCGCTGCTCTAGGAAAGGTAGAATGGACCCATCATCATGTCCCGCACCATCCCAAAACTCGATGGCGGTTTTGATGTCGATTTCAGACTTTGCAGGAACAACTGCTTCCAGAACAGAGCTCTCGACGAACTCGAGGCTTTGGCGCGGCTGCGCTTCGGCCGTATCTGCAGCCATGGCTACGTCGAGTGAATAGCAGAGAGGGCACGTGAATCCGGTGCCTGAGCTAGGGGTCCCAGTAACCCGCGCTAGCCACAAGATCCGTGCGGGCCATAAGGTCCGTGCACCAATAAGTTGTTTCCACAGCTTCTTCGCAACTCAGCTCGACGACACGCACACGCGCGATACTCCATCACCTCTCGCTGCAGTCTCACCGCAATGAACGGATTTCCGCCTCCAATGGCGCCGCCTGGCTCCACTTGGACAACTGCTAAAACTCCAGATGGCAGGGAATACTACTATAACACGATCACGAAGCTCACTACGTGGGAGAAGCCTGACGAGTTGAAAGACGATGTTGAGGTGGAATTTATCCCACGGACTCCTTATTCGGTTGATAGCTAACTATGTGAATAGCGCGCACTCCCTGGCACCGGCTGGGCAGCCCACTGGGCAGACGGAAAGCGATACTTTGCGCATATTGAGACTAAGCAGACAACGTGGACTGTTCCTGATGTTGTTCAGCAGAAAATCGACCAGATGAGGCAGAGCCTGCCACCTCAGCGACCTCCCCCAGTTGGTCCCTCTGGCTGGGCGGGGGGACCACCCTCGAATGCGCAGTCGTACGAGAACAGACGCCCCGAACGCGACGAGTACCGCCCCGATCGCCACGACCGTCGCGACGATAGAGACCGGGATCGCGAGTCTGGCTTCGTTGGCGATCGACCCAACATCAGTTTCACGGCAGGCACTGAGCTTCAGTTTTCCACGCCCCAAGAGGCCGAGGCTGCTTTCATCAAGGTGCTCAAGCAGATCAAGGTTCAGCCTGACTGGTCGTGGCAGCAGGCTGTGCGTGCTGGTATTCATGACCCCAACTGGCGTGCCATACCAGAGCCCGAGAAGCGCGAGGAGGCTTTCCGGAAGTATTGCGAAGATTTGCGCGCCCAGGAAAAGCTCAAGGAGCAGGATCGCCAAGCCAAGCTGCGCTCTGATTTCACTGCGATGCTGCGTTCGCACCCGGAGATCAAATACTACACCCGCTGGAAGACTGCTCTTCCCATTATCGAAGAAGAGACCATTTTCCGCTCTGCCAAGGACGACAATGAGCGAAGGACCCTGTTCGAGGAATACATCATCTCTCTCAAAAAGGCGCATGAGGAAGAAGAGGAAGCGAGCAGAGAATCCGCCCTCGACCAAGTCATGGGTCTGCTACAGGCACTGGATCTGGAGCCCTTTACTCGCTGGCACACGGCTGAGGAGAAGCTGGAGCGCAACGAAGAGTTCAAGAGTGAAAAGTTCAAGACTTTGACTCGCCTAGATGTCCTCGATCAGTTTGAGAAGCACATCAGACAGCTCCAGCGCGAGCACAACGATCGAGTTCAGGCCGAGCGACGCATCAAGCGCCGTATCGAGCGCAAGAACCGCGATGCGTTCATAGACCTACTTGATGAACTCAGGCACAAAGGCGCGCTACGTGCTGGCAGTAAATGGAAAGACATTCATGAGCTGGTCCAAGAGGATGCCCGTTACACAGCCATGCTTGGACAAAGCGGATCGTCCCCTCTTGATCTGTTCCGCGATGCTCTCGAAGAAGAAGAGAGCAAGTTCCGTACCCTACGCCGACGGGCCTTGGATGTACTAGAGGTAAGTCTAGCTTTACACCGACATGCAACCCACCGCTAACTGTAGCCCTAGCAACAACGATTTGAGGTTACCACATCGACTCCTGTGGAAGAATTCCTAACTGTCATGCGAAAAGATCCTCGCACAGCTGATATTGACGAACAGTCCATGCACAGCATCTACAACTACGTCCTCAACAAAGTGAAGAAACGCGAGGAAGAAGAACGACGAGACGAGGAGTCCAACGAACGCTACGCCGTAGACAAGCTTCGCTCTGTTATCAAGCACCTTGATCCACCAGTGTCGGTATCAGACGACTGGGAAGCGGTACGTCCCCGTGTTGAGAAGACAGACGAATACCGCGCACTGAAATCAGATACACTACGCGAATTGGCGTTCGATAAGTACATCTCCCGATTGAAGGACAAGGAGAATGATCGTCGGGATAGGAGCAGGCGCGATGATCGCGACCGTGACAGGGATAGACGTGATCGAGATCGTGAGTATCGCAGCGGACATTCTGAATCTCACCGCCGTCATCGTACGCGCACTCGCTCACCTGAACATGACCCGTACGCTGCAGAGCGTCGACGAGCAGTGCAAGACAGAGAGGCGCGCTATAGAAACAGCGACAGCACGGGCCTGTCTCCTGTTCCACGTCGTGACCGCCGAGATGATGATCGGTATGAGCGCTCTCGTCGAGGCTCTCTTGGAGATCACTATGGTCGTGAGCGCCGCGAGCGTGAAGTGGAGCGTGAACGATCTTACGTTAGCAGAGCCGACCCTCGTGAGGCGACTGTTAGTCTGCTCGACTACGGCGACAGCGGTGGCCGCACTTCCTCGACCCGACGCCGTCGCGACAGCGAAGAAAGTTCTAGTAGGCGCGATCGAGAGACCAAGGTATGTAAACAAGCAGTGTTACATTTTATAGGAAATGACTAACTTTTCTCAGCGTGCACGCTACTCTCCCCGTGGTGCGGACCGCAAGTCCAAGACCCCCGCTCCTGAACCGTCATCCAAGAAGGAAGAAGAAGATCGCGCTCTCCGTAGCGGAAGCGAGGAAGGCGAGATTGAGGAAGATTAGGAGTTTTCCATCATTCACCCCTCGCGTAGGAGGTTGACCCGATATGGTCGCTTCCTAAACACCAAAGGATCTAACCCCTTCACCCCGAGGCTTAATTACTAAGTAAGTGGGCTTTAGTACTGTCATCTTGTGAATGAGTGAGCAGAATGTTCATTCCAGCAGCTACGGTCATGGTAGCACATACATCTGTACTGTAGTCCACCACATGCCCCTGTACTGTAGTCCACCAGAGATGTAGTCTATAAAAATTTACTCCTGTACAAATTTCCGTTCAACCTATCTCCACTTTCATGGATATTCACGCCGATACATAGTTATCGTTGTATAACTCAAATTCTCCGTATGCATATGTTATTTGATTGTATCTACACAATTGTCTCTATCAAGCACGTGAACAAGCGATAAGTCCGCCTATTTCTTGGTGAGTAATCTGTATGTGGATATAGTTGCGAGAACAAAATCAATGACATTTGAGCCTTGGTTGATTCAGACCAACAATCACATGCGAGGGCCATGGCAAGGACAGGGTTGTCACGGCAGCTCGGTAGGGCTGTCCCACAGGCCGGGTATGGGTACCGAAGACACACAGTAGCTCAGCATGGTAATCTAAAATTATAAGTGAACACCCCCCTTAACATCGTTCTTATCTCTTACATCTGCAATGGTGAGGGGTAGGCTATGCAACGCTGATTCGTCGTCGGTTCATGCCCTCGCACAAGCTGTGTCAGATTCTGGGGAACCTCGGCTCATCCGAAGCTACCCCAGACTCTCCCCGCTCTCCTAACGCATAAGCACGCGTCGTTTGTAAACGACGCAACGCGACCAACATGCACACGGGAGACAGCCTGTCATTTACATTAACGACCCAACTTTCAGCTTGAATTTCGCCTCCAATCAACCCGGCACCATGTCCGCCACTGCGTTTGTCCCCTTTTCTGAGCCGCCGTACATTGTTGGGCTTCCGTCTCCATACTACAAGGAGACGCATCTGAGATGGCAAAAGGCGTGTCGCGCGTTTGTGCAGAAGAATATGATTGAGAAGGCGCTGGAATGGGATACGGCTGAGACGGTGCCGGAACATGTCTTTGAGACGTTTGCGAAGGCGAATATGTTGATCCCTACGCTTCCCGCGCCTCTGCCGGTGGAGTGGCTGAAGAAGCTGGGGATTCATGATATTCTTGGCGTGGTCAAGGTCGAGGAATGGGACTATATTCACACCATGATCTACGCTGATGAGGTACAAAAAGAGCGACCTGTTTCTAAAGAGGTGCCCTTGAGCATAGCTAACGGAAATGCTAGATGGCACGATCTGGTCTCGGAGGACCCCCAGGCTCTGTCACAACGGGCATGTCGTTTGGCGTACCACCTCTCTATAAATTCGGCAATAAACAGCTACAAGAGCGCTTCCTACCAGAACTCTTGACGGGCAAGAAGCGGACTTGCATTGCGATTACCGAGCCCGAGGCTGGATCAGACGTCGCAAACATCACCACAACGGCTATAAAGACACCTGATGGAAAACACTACATTGTCAATGGCTCCAAGAAGTGGATTACAAATGGTGTTTGGTCTGATTACTGCTCCATGGCCGTGAGAACTGGTGGGCCAGGACCAACAGGATTGTCGATGCTGGTTGTGCCTCTGAAAGGCTATCCGGGAGTAACCATGCGCAGACTCAAGGTTGGAGGGCAGGTTACCGGGGGCACGACATTTATCGAGCTCGATGACGTTAAAGTGCCCGTAGAAAATCTCATTGGGGAGGAAGGAATGGGCATGAAGTACATGTAAGCATGACACTGTGACATTGTGGCATTGTGTGTGTTCTACGGCTGACTGCATGGCTTACAGAATGACCAACTTCAACCATGAGCGACTCTCCATTGCCATTGGTGCAACTCGTCAAGCTCGTGTCGCTCTTGCCGCAGCGATGGAATACGTGATCAAGCGTGAAGCTTTTGGCCAGCCGCTGATCAATCAAGCCGTGGTTCGACACCGCCTTGCTAAAGCTGGTGCTTTGCTGGAATCCCAATGGACATGGGTGGAAAGCTTCGTTTACCAAATGGTACATTTGCCTAAAGCGAAGGCGGATATCGAACTGGGAGGCTTGACAGCCATGGTCAAGGCGCAAAGCGGTATCGTTCTGAATGAGTGTGCACAAACGGCACAGCTGCTCTTTGGAGGAAATGGCTACACCAAGTCGGGACAGGGAGAATTGGTTGAGAGTAAGTGGATATCAACTCTGAATCACTCGGGAAATGATTAACATGAACGATAGGAATATACCGCGAGGTTCCAGGTGTTAGAATCCCGGGTGGGTCTGAGGATGTTATGCTGGATCTTGGTATCCGACAACTGGTGAAGAATTTCCAAGCCAAAACGAAGGCTTTGGAGAGGCCGCAGGGTACATCAAAGCTATAGGAGATGTAGTAATAGTAGCAGTCATATTTTGTAGCCTACTTCAATACATAATCACAACCCCACACTTTGTGTTTGACTCTCCCGTGTTTCCGAAGGCCACGGATAGCGGGTGCAGCACTTTTCCGTGACTACGTCAGCACCTGAAGTCCGGCTCTTATCGAGGTGTGTGTGGGGCACCTGGTCAACCCCACAGCATTACTGTGAAAGTACCGATAGGTGTGAGGCCTGGAATCTTGATTTGTGAAGTTTATTGTCGTATACCGGCCTTTCTTCGATCGGACAAGAGCGCAGGCGGAGTCGGAGCTGGGGGTTGGATCCGCAAATCCGTTCCAAGATCCAGCGCTCGACCGCTCACCGTACCCAACGCAAGTATCCTGGTCATTGTGTTATGTTGCAGGCATGTGGGTGCCATGGGCAATGCACTGTGTGTCACATAAATACGAGTTGCGCAATAGTGCCGTGTCGATGAAGGGCTACTACTCGTGCCTTGTGCGACCTCTACACACGACTAGGGACAGGCTGTGATACCGTCGTCGGCCGAGCTCTCGGTCGGCCACGTTCGTGGCGCTCGAAAGACCAGACCACGTTTAGTACCCGGATACCCTGTAGGTCAAATCACATAGCCTATTAACCCAAGCGTGTTGAGACCAGACGGGGGCTTGATCGCTCGTGTCAGGCTGGACGATTCATCAGGGTATTACTGTCGTGTGTCTTTGTTCATGGATAATTTCGCTCAGTCTCAGGGTAGTCCCAGGTATCTCGGAATGGGCCGCAGAGGATGCATAATTCGGACAGCAGGCTGTGGAGGAACATCGCCGATATCACGAATGAGAAAAAAAATATATATGCAGGAGGTGCAGCAGCATGTGCCGGAGCGGGAAACGACTAGGAGCAATCTGGAAGGATGGAAGGGGTTTCTGTTCAACGGGTTGGCGTCGCCCGAGACTTCCCCGAGAAGGAAAGGCGCTCCCCGCAATTTCTCGTCTCAGGAGGCGGCTTGCGATCATCCTCCACTCGTTCGTCCATTCCTGTTCGTCCAACCGCGCCCCCAGCTGCTGGACAAAGAAGCATGAGCCTCTGCTCCGAACCCCGATGGACTGCATCAAGGCCGCCCACCGTATTCTAGCCTCCGCTTTCACGTCATCAGCGGCCACCTTTTTTTCTTTGCATCACGCACATACACTAACTACGCGACAGTCGGCTCCAGAATGTCGCTGGGAGCGGTCAGCTCCCTCGAGACAAATAAAGGAGCAGAGTACGTGTAAAGTAGACACCGTGCCCGCTAACATCCACAATGCAGGATTTTTATTGGGGTCAGCATCGGGGGAATGGACCTGGGCGAGCAAATGGCAAAAAGGCGCAGCGCTGCTTAGACGCCTATTATGCAACTCACGTGCGCCCGAGACGGCTAGCACGCCGGCTATGGAATCCAGAGCTGTCTGGCTTGGTCATGGTAGTCTGCCCTGGGTAGACCAATGCCGCCGACCCTTGGATGTTCATTTCCGCTCCCTACCACGATGATCCCGCATCGGTCCTCGTCTGTTGCGCGACTATTCGTGCCTTAACGACACCAGACACACCCCACCTTTTTACCCTAACTCGACACGTGTTGTCAAATGCGGTCGGCGTGTCGAATGCAGTCGGCTTAAGCATGGGACGGATGCTCTGCACGTTGACATGAGGGAGTGAGAAATTAACACTTGGCGTTCACAAGCCGCAGGTCATAGGGCGTGGCACCAAGCACACGCTCGGCTTTGCATGCGAACATGAACCGCAGTATTTTTTTTTTGCTCGAACCTCAGGATTGGGGCTTGCACTTGCAGCTGACGTTGCCAAACGCATTCTGTCCCAAGAGTGGTCTTTGTCCCGATGGCTTCCGACCCCAGCGTCGACACCCTAAATCGCCAAGGATAAAGCGCCGGCCATCCGCATCTGGGGGACTGGGGTACCAGCTAACGATCCCCAGTGGGGACGGAGGCGGCGTCATGAGGGACAAATCGTACCAGGTGAAGCGCCGCTTGTCTGTGAGTCCAAGCACACGGCTTAGCCCTGGCAGTGTAATCCACTTGCCAAATACGACTTTATAATCTTTGCCTGCCCCCGACACCCCTCACGCGTGATCGGACTTTTCTTGACGTTTTCTTTTTTTCTTTCCCCAGATACTTCCGTGTCCTGCAATACATATACCAGACGACAAGCACTCCGCAACCATGTCTGACTATTCGGCGTCGCCATCCGACCATCACAGTGATATCCACGCACCAAAACGCAAAGCTACCCAGGCAGGCCTCGATGGTCACACAATCGGTCGTTCGGTCAAGAGGAGGGCTTCCAAGGCTTGTCAATGTTGTCGAGCTCGCAAGGTGCGATGCAATGTCACAGAGCATGGCGCTCCCTGCACAAACTGCAGACTAGATGAAGTCGAATGCATTGTATCGGAGAGCAGGCGCAAAAAGTCAGTGTCACATTTTGTTTCAATGCAGTATTTCCAAATTTCCCACCGGATGCGACCTGCGCGGCAGTTAGAGATCGTCGGCTCCGATATGCAATGTCGTAGTGAGCACCGGCATGCAAAGTCGGCTGAGGTGTCGCTACCACTAGTCTAGCCGCATATGGCATGTTCAGCCTGTGCAACAGTCGCGTGCAACCAACAACTGCCGCTACGCCATTTCTGACCTGTGCACGCCGTGCTGACTCCGCGAATAGGAAATGGAGCAAAGACGACGACCAAGGCACAGAAAGCACCACCTCTTCAGGAAATGTCACTCGCAAAATTGCGTCGCGTGACGCTCTAGACGGTTCCCAGGGACTAAACTCAGCCACATCGCGGGCGTCACATGAGGCGGAATCAAGACGAGACGAGCACGTTCCTCACTCGATATGTTTGTGGGACCTATGACAACCTTGTTTGCACAGCACTGACGCATATCCCAGACCAAAGCCATGGCCATCGTGTCAATTCCTCTGCGTCCATGTCGGATATGCGGCGCCGGCTTTCAATTACCTCGCAAATCAACAACCTACCAAATCTGCCTTTTTCGCCTTTTTCAAATGAGCCTCGAGCTCCATTTTTCGGAAGCCTACCGCAGAAGCCTGCGCCTGGCGAACTTCCAAGATTCATCAAGCCTCTTCCGTCTAAAATCGGGCCTGATGAGATTTCGTATCTGGAGAAGAAGGGTGCCCTGAACGTGCCTAGGGGAGCCCTGCGTAGCGAGATGCTGCGCGCCTACGTGGAATTTGTTCATCCATATATGCCATTATTGGACCTCCACGACTTCCTTATCATGGTAGACGGCCGAGACGAACGCAAGGGCAAAGTCAGTTTGATCTTGTTTCAAGCGGTCATGTTTGCAGGATCAGCATTTGTTGATATGGAACACCTGCGCGCTGCGGGCTATACTTCTCGCAAGGATGCCCGCAAGGACTTTTTCCAGAAGACTAGGGTAAGTTCAGAACCCCTTCTTTCACCAGGCGGCTTGGCGTGTTACAGCAGCCCAATCGGTCCGCAACTATCGGACGGCATGCCCATGCACCGACTTTCCGACCCCGTGCCAGATAGTGTTAATTTGGCTACTGCAAACTTGGTGAGATTGAGCCCTAAGCTAACCATGTGACAGATTCTCTATGACTTTGATTACGAATCCGACCGCGTTTCGCTGGTCCAGGCACTGCTATTGCTGACGTACTACTATGAGACTCCTGATGACCAGAAAGATACCTGGCATTGGATGGGCGTTGCAACGTCTATTGCCCACACTATTGGCTTACACCGAAACCCTGATAACACCAACCTTGATAGCAAGCGCGTCAAGCTCTGGAAGCGAATATGGTGGTCAACTTACATGCGAGATCGGCTTATTGCGCTCGGTATGCGCAGACCTACAAGGATAAAGACCGAGGACTTTGATGTGCCAATGCTTACTCTGGACGATTTCGAGCTTTCACCTCTGCCAGAGGATGTTACATGCCTTCCAGCGGATTGTCGTATTGCCAGAGATGTGGATGTGCAACGGCAGTTGGCCATCCTGTGTATTGAAAAGGCCAGGCTGTGTTTGTGCATCTCGCATGTTTTGTCCAAGCAATACTGCGTGCTCAACAACAACCAGGGCCTCCAAAACGACCGTACAACCATGATGTTGCTTCCCAAGAAGCTGGATCCTGAGACCAGTGAAGTCAAAGCATGTGATGAGGATCTTCAGAGATGGGTAACGGAACTGCCTGAAGAGGCAAAGTATACGGACAAACCAAGCGGCGTTCCAGCTATCGATCTTGCACGATCACTGCTGCACATGGTCTTTTTCACTACATTGTCCGCGCTGCATCGGCCCCAGGTTCTACCAAACTCACAAGGTGGTCCAGCGAGCGCTCCAACAAAGAGCAACGTCGAACCCGAGCTTCTTGATGTTTCACGCCGCAATGTTCGCCGCGCAGCTTCAGCAATTACATCGATTGCTCAGCGGCTTGAACAAGGTGGTCTCGTCAGGTATCTGCCAACAACCGGTGTCACCGTTCTCCTTCCGGCCATTATCATCCACTTGCTTGACATCAAGGCGCCAGAAGAGGAAACACGACGATCTTCCCTACGAGGCTTTTGCCAGTGTATGGCCGTCATGGGCCAACTGCGGGATGTCTATGCCGCTGCCGACTACTCTGTGGCCTTCCTCGAGGCTGCAATCCGGAAAGCAGGCATTCACGTTGCGCCCGTAGCCGCCCAAACTTCACCCGTAGCCAAGAGCGCGCCAGCAAGGACAGTCGAAGAACTCGTAGACGCCGGCCGACGACTAGATCTCGTCAACGAAGCATCGACAACCATCACATCAGCAACATCACAAACCGTCCGCCCCTCAACTCTCACACCACCTCCTGACCACGGCACCACAAACATGCACGCCCTGGAAAAACACAACAACGAACCAAATGTAACCGACGAAGAGGTCGCCCGCCGCCTCGAAACCTTCCTCGCCTCCACACCCCCGGATTCGGACCACGAGCACATGTCCAGCATCACGATCTCGCAAGAGAGCCCCATAGTGACCGCCACAGCCGGCCTATCACACTCTCACCATCACAGCCACAACGACATGGCGGACATGAACAAGTGGAGCGCCTTCGATCTCAGCGCCTTCTCAATCATCAACCACCACCAAGACGACGAGATGCTCTTTTCAAGCCTACCCCTCAACAACGAGTTTGACGACGGCGATTTTGACAAGCTACTCAACATGGAAGCCGTGGGTGAATCGCATAATTTTGACGATGTGACGTTTGATTCGGGCAATGCGGGGAACATGGGGCTTGGTGATGTCGATTGGCTTGTTGCCGCGGAATAATCTTTTTTTGCCGTTGAAGCGTAAGAGAACGGAAAAAAGTATTTCTTTTCCTCTTCTCTCGTCTTTTGAGTTTTCGGCTATTTTAACGACGTTAATGCCTCTTTTTTGGACTACATTTCTTCTTCGAAGAAGGATTCTAGGTTATTCTCTCTTTTGAAGGAATAGAAGTTATGGGAAATGGCCTTTTCTTTTACAGCAATGGGAAATGAAGGGAGAAGACGGGAATTAAAAAGTTTACGGCTTGGTTTATATATATACCCATCTCGAGGTTTTGTATCTAGGTTGGGTTTTTTGATTGTATATTTCTGGGCTTTTTTTTTCTTCTCTAGCTACTAGTCATTCTCGGATATATATGAGAAGAATATTATTGCATCTTCATAAGCAACTCGCACTTTCTATGTGACTTTATTAGTTTTCTTTCTCCCTTTCATATCCTATCTTGCCTCGTTCATCTAAAACTAATTGGAAGAAGTCACAAGGGTCGAAAATGTATGCAAACAGACAGACCCCTTGCCTTTGGTAATATCAACGCCCGACATGGTCTGTCATCGGTATTAACATGGAATAGACGAACTTCTTGTTGTAGAAAACATGAATCTAGGGATGATATTATGAGTTGCTCTTCTCTCTTCCATCCATCCTCCCTCTTTTGACATTAAATAAATACTAAATAAGATCGGGAGCGTAACGTTTGAACGAAAAGACCAAGGTAAGTGCTCTATCAGAGATGAGGGGAAAAGAAGAGAAAAAAGAGAGAGAAAGATGACGAGCGACTCCAGCGCCCTCCCATGATGATTCAGTCCCATGATGAGTGTTCCGGTCCTTCTATCCTTTAACCAACAATACCTCGTTGTTGTTTTCCCTCCTCCTTTTGTCGTCGGGAAGACGAATACAATCTACTCTTCCTGAGCCCAAACCTTCTCCCTGAGCATCATACGCTCATTCTTCTCTTCTTTCCCTCCATTGTAAGCCTTCTTCCACGCAAAGTACTCGCCTAGTCGAATCTCAGCATAGCTAGCATAGTCAAAGTCGATGAGCGAGATTTGTGCTTGGATCAATGCCCAAATACCCCAATAGAAACCGGGGACACCACGGAACAAGTCAACCTGTTCAAACAACTGATCAAGCTCAGACTCGTTGTATGACTTGTTTTGATGAGTACTGAAGCTGCGCAGATACTCGCGGAGAAAGGCGCGACGGATGGTGCGTGTGGGCATGGCGTTGTAGTCGCAGTCAAAACCACCCCATTCGGCAAAGTGGTTTGCAATGTCAAATGAAGCAGGTGCAGGCGTAGCATACTCGTAGTCGATAAAGGAAACACAGGCTGCCGTCTCAGGCTCGTCGGAGCAACTAGATACACTGGACCGACGAGAGGCTGAGGCGGAAGACGGCGAGGGCTCGATGATCACGTTGCCTGAGAGGAGGTCGCAATGGGCGAAGACAAACGGATTGGAGCCACCGATTCCTGGCGTGTCACCAAGTATCTGCATCAGACTTTCGAGTTCCTGCATCAGCTCATCTTTCCTCTCCGACTGGGCAGTTGTGTTGGTCGGCAAGGCAAGGATCCATTTCTGCATAGTAGTCCACAGATTCGGAATGGGCTTGCCTGGTGTGAGTGTGGCCATGGCAACCAGAGACTCACGCTTGTTGTTTTGCGAAGTGAGTTGGGCAGGCGCAGGACATATGCTGCTAATACTCGAAATAGGTAATGTGGCATGCCATTCTCCCAACCTCTGAGCTACTCCTCGCCATACTTCTGGCCGACGCAGGTCGGCAGGCGTACACACGGTGCCTTGAATGAACTTGTATAGGAGACCATTTTCAAACCGGGCGTAGAGAGCCGGGGCGAGATTATGGCGGGCAAGCAGCGAATGAGAGCGAGCTTCCTCTAGAACCTTGTTTTAGCGCTGTACAGCATGGTACCGACATGCACTTACTCTCGCGGTCTATGAGGACGTCAGTGTCCTTGCCATATGCGCGCAGCAGGATGGCGTCGTCTTCGACTTCCGTCTTTGATAGGCCGGGTAGCTTGTTCACCGCCTTGAGAAGCTACACCGTAGTCTTAGCCGTGCGCACGTAAAGGGGCAGCAGGGGCGGTCGCGAGAGCATGCCCACGAGCAATTGCATGTGTGTACGTGTGCATACCGTGTTTGTGATTCCATCTGTGAACCTGACAAACTCAATTGTGTCCTTTGAGTCTTTCCACTCTGGGCGGAGAGCGAGGATAAGGGCGAGGGCCGAGTTGTGCGAATCCGCGTAATCGTAGTACTGCGGAATGTTGCGCAGGGAATCGTAGGGCGACTGAGATTTACTCATGGCGACGGTGGTTCTGGTGCATCGTCAGTCTTGTATGCGCAGTGCAGGCTTGACATACGCCAGCGGCGTTAATTGCATGTGAAGAAGCCAGGGCGGCAGGGGATGGAAGACAGCGACTGTACAGGGTTGTAGGCAGGCTTACCTGGTAATTCAGATGTGGGAGGTAACAGAAGGGGAGCGTGCTGGGCGGCGAAAAAGGAATGAAGAGCAAAGACGAGGGCGTCACGGTAAGGAAAGGCAGGTAAAGTCAAGTGCGGTCAATCGCTAGGCGGTGCCGCTCTGGGAAGTCGCGTGGGCGCTCTTTCCTGCCCCTGTAGCCCCGCAAACCAGCGCCACAACTCCCGAGACCCTGTCTCCTAGCGCCACACCAGCTGGAATCCACAACTCCATATTCCGTCCCCACTTGTACCCCGAGACTAAGGGATTTGTATGTCTTTCTACTGTTTATCCTACCCTTCTTTTTTAAAAGTAATTGTTGATACTGATGTCACTGGTTTTGGCGACTGTGTGGGCTGACGTGGTGAGGACGGATTACATTCCCGCTGCTTTGGCGCACCATGCACATGTGCCTGTTCCTGGCTCAACAGCCACCATGACGTCTGTCATCATCCGTCTTGCACCGCTGCCTACACCTACATCCATTCAAACCTTAGCATGCAACCCACCCACCCATGCCCTTGTACACGTCGACTGCGGGGCCTGTCACTCGCCATCTCGCCAGTGGGAGCCTTTGATGGCCCCGATTGGTAGATAGGAAACCACCTTCTGCATCGAGGAGAAACATACATATGTATCTTGTCCATTCATTATTTCAAGTAACTTGCCATCTAAAACGCCGCGCTCAATGCGCATGTAGGGTATATCCATAACATAAACACCATCATTCCTGCCTCAAGAGCCCAGAGTCCCGTCAGTCCCGATGTGTCATTGCACCTTTCTTCCACTTGCCTTCCGCGCTCTCCACTTGTATGAGCCAAGGCCAATGTCCATGGCACCGCTCTGTACACTCGTCAGGCCATCAAAAGACTCTTTTCCCAACGTAACCACCTTGACTGTATTGCCGAATCCCACTGCAATACTGCGCTTGCCTAGCTTGACAATCGGACCAGGTGCTGCCACGAACAACTCATCTTCATACGACTCTGTCGCTACATCATCCGTATCATCGGGTATCAAGGGTCTTGAGCGGAAGTCGCCCGCTGTTGACAGTGTCCAAACCTCCCATGCGTCAGAATCTTCAAACGAGTTATCCATCGGGTCTATCTTGGTCGACGCTCCATCCCCGAGTCTTGACAGGTTCACGTGACCCTGACGTTGAGCACGCTGCTTCAATGCAGACGTAAGTGCCACTGCATCAACACCTGGGTAGTTCTCTTCTGCGCCTGAATGAGTCGACGATGGCGTAGCCAATTGTGCGCGTCTTCTGATTCCAATCACACTCTGCGCTTCGGTCGACTCCCACACCCCAGCGGGTTCGACAGAGTAGACCGCTTCCTTTGCGCGCTCAAGACCACGACACTTGTGCTTTTCCCGGTCTAGCGGCTTTCCAAGGCACATCTGTGAAGTCGTCTTATCGTCCAGACTGAAGGTCTGCATCACCATGTGGTTTGCACTGTGCTCTGCATATGCCACAGAGAGTGAGTTGACCGCAGGGGCTCCACATTGACACACGCGTCGTACAGAGTGGAGCACTCTGAACGAATGTGGACGCACATGGCCAATTTGGAATGCGTGAACCAGCGCGCGGCTGGAAAAGTCAAAAATCTCCGCCTCTTCATCGCGAAGCGCAAACATGACCCCGAGGCTGGGAACAGCGTATATACACCGTATCTTTGCAGGATTGCTACCAGGGGGTGGGCCTGGATCCAGACCTGCAACCACTTCTGACGTGTAGTTGTCCTCCTGCTTGAGTGACAGTATGTGCACTTCACCAGCCTTGGTCACAAAGACCAAGCTAGTATCCCCTTTTTCCGAGGTGTAGATTGAGCTGCACACGATTGAACTGGTGGCAATACGTCTGGTGTGGTGGATGCCTGTGCGTGCTTCCAGCTTCGTCAAGTGTCCATCTGGGCTGACGATGATGAGGTATAGCCTCTCTGCATCCGTCCGCGTTTTTAGCGTAACAAAACTGAAGCGTATTGGCGCCTGTCCCCGAATGTCGATTAGCGGGAACATAAGAAATCGCGATGCAGGGATATCCCATAGACCAATTTGTCCAGTTTGCCCGCATATCGCTAGCATGCTTCCGCCGTCGTCGATAGCGGTAGCATAGATGGGCCAGAGTCTTGGCTTCATCGACGCCGTCTGCAAGGTAGTATGCAGGTAGCCCCCGCGGCCATGTAGCCATATCGCAGTACTCCTATCCAGCGATACACTTGCAAGATGGCCTTTTGGACAACCAGCCAACTGGACAACATCCAAGTTTTGTGGCGTTGGCAATGTCTTTACTGAAAACTCTGTTTCTACATCATCATTTTCCTCTGCACCAATTGGGAGGCCTGTCCAGAGAAGGTAATTCATAAACAAGGCTACAATGGCAACGAGTGTAACAGTAATCAAAGCTGCTGGGAAAGCATGTCCATGTGCAAAGCGGCGAAGCCCCTCTACGAGGGACGAGGGTGGTTGCGGCCGGTCACGTCCTTGTGCTCCCTTGGAGACGACCAGAATGGGGTTGTATATGCGAGCTACAAATGTTTGGGCTCCAGGTTTGATGAAACCAAACAATTCTCGAGCCGTATTGTGGTCTTGGAGCCGAAGCCAATCAGCGGGGGTCCTAGCTTGGTTGATTGGCGGCTGACTCCAGCTTGTGTCGATGGAACGTTTCCGCCTTCTGGAAATGAAACTTTGCCGAAGCGTGTTGAAGGACAGCGGTTTGTCACCGCTATCGAAGAAATGCCAATTGACGGCAAGAATGACAGAGAAGATAGCTACAGTCCCTGCGAAGCGGGTGCTCAGAGGCAGCGTGCCCTGTCTCAGAGCACCAAGCCAGGATTGACGTTCGGCCTGTTTGTTCTTGGTGCTTTGGCTGAGATTAATGCGATCCAGAGAGTCGGAGAGTTCCATCCTCTGTACATCAACGCTGAGAACAGCAATAAAGAAGGTCAAATGAAAAACGAGGTCGAATACGAGCGTGACGGCCGCAAAAACGCAAAAGTCGGCGACCCAGGGCGTGACGAGCCGGGAGCAGAAGTACAATAGTGCGAGGTTTTGAAATGCAATGGCAACAGACAGATGACCCACCTCACCGAGTGCATTGCCGATGCGCTGGTGAGGAGGCATCTCCGGCGGTGTTTCCAGTACAACATTAATCAAACGAAATCTGGCAGTCAGTCAGTAATTGCTATTGCACCCCCGCCACTCTTGAACATACATATTTCCAAGACCGAAACAAAAAACTACTACGGGAAACCATGGCCGGGGTATCCGCGCCAAATCGATTCCAAGATATGTACAAAGGGTAAAACTAGCGATTACACACACGCCCATCTAGTTAGGGGGTTAGCAGAGAAAAACAGTAGTGCGGAAACCGCCTACCTTCATACAGATGGTGATGAGCAAGCCAAACCAGCTTTTGACTGCTCGCAACTGCCTCATTCTCGTTATCACGTAGACTGCGGTAATAAGATAGGAAGCCGCCAAAAATAGGTCGTCATTCAGAGTCATGGGCCTGAATCTAAACTCGAATAGTCGGCTGCGGGTAACCTGGCCATCGTTGGGGAATACGGTCCAATCTGGGGATATTTCCTCGGCCAGAGTGCGTGCTCTCGCATCCCATGTAGCCCCTAATCTTGAATTGTTCTGATCGAAAAGTGTAATGACCAATGCATCGGCAGCACGAAGTTTGGTGTTGGAGAAGGATTTTCCGGCAAAAACCGTGCTGGGTCGCAGTGTGATGTTACGGGGCGTGCGCATGCGTGTATGTGCGTTGATGGTGCCGAGTAAGTCGCCATCCTCATCTAGGGCGCTTCGAGAACAGTTCCAGTACATCAAGGGCGAATGCCACGTCCATTTTTCCTCGGGTCCGGCAGTCATGCAGCCTGCAGTGGTGCTGGCGAGGGTGTTTCGGAGGGCATTTGCATCGTCGTCGGCATCTTTGTTGAAGCCGCCGCTGATAAGGGCTTCCTGAACATACAGAGCCTGGTGCAGCACGGGCAGTTCGATGGCCTTCATATAGTCGCCATGGACCCAGACCTGGCGCACAATCACATCGGGGATGCGCTCTCCCTCGATCTGGGTGGTGGAAGTCCAGACATGCTTGGGCAGATTGCGGAGACCGGCAGCGGCGGAACTGTCCGCCTGGAAGACAGCCTGGTAGCAGAGGAGGACGGAGATGATAATGGTCACGAAGATGGAGAGCAGCCAATGGCGGGCAGTGGCGGTGCCATGGGCCTGGAATGCGCGGCGGATGGGGTGCGATGTGGATAGGCGTGGTGGCTCAGTCGTACTGCGAGACAGGCATTTAGCATGGCATGGCCTCGGACGCGTGTGTACTAGATGGATGGGCTGGACGGGGGACGCAGGTTACTACTCACCCACGCAGCGGATAGAGGAGATACCAGATCATTCGGGTTCGCGGGGCCTCGCAAAGGGCATGCCCGGGCTGGAAGTCGACGACGGCGAGGCCTCACTCAGCTGTGGAAGGGTGCGAGGTGCGAGCGCCCCGTTCATCGGTCGGGGATGGGGCGCGGCACGAGGGAGCAAGACCAGGACCAGGAAGGATTGCGAGGCAGCGAGCAGAGGGCGTGGACATGCACAGCAGCAGACAGAGGGCGATGGCGCGGCTTCAGTCGTTCTCTTCGTGGGGACATTGAGGGGTGGTCGCGACGAGCATTATTGACTATCCGTGGCGCTCGCGCGGTTCCGGCAACCTTCTGCTCGTTGCCAAGCGCTGGCCATGTCTCATCGCCTCGATCGCTGCTTGGTGTTACAACGACAAGCGCCATCGCCAATGGGGCCCCTTGCCTTTTTGCGCCTTTGCCCCAGCTCTGCACACATGCGCTGCCCTTTTACCCTAACCAGCGAATCCAGAGCTCCTCTGGCCCACGTCCGGCCCATGCCGCCCACACCCACGCCCGCTGGTCGGGCGCGTCGAGCCCCAAGAAGAAGCAATGCAGTCTGCTTTCGTCTATCTGTGAATTTCATCCTGTCGTCGCTACACTGACAGCTACCCTGATCGTCTGCCGCTTCCTGCCTGCAGGGACCAAGGCACACCAAGGCCCTGGATGCTGACGCCCAAGCTTGGTCTACATACGTACTGGTACATGACCATACTTTTCACCCTCCTTGCTCCCCTACTGCGGGTGGGGTATATCCAAAGAGAAAAAAAGCGCCTAGAACACATGCCCGCCGTGTCAGCTTATCCTCGGCCTAACTTAAAAATACTCCGTCCCGGGAATGGAACGCCTCCGCCGTGGTGTCCATCGTGTGGCGAACTGCGATGAACGGTCGCGTCCAGCCCTCACCATAACCATAACCACTGTCCATAGCCATTGTCCATAGTCACTGGCTCTTGTGCATCGCATCTCCTCATGGTCTACCAAAACTTCATGTCTCGTCCATGTCCTCGTCCTCGTCACCGTCGTCCTCTTCCCATTCATCCTCTTCCTCCTCAGCGCCGGTAGAAGGACCGAGTACATCGTTCAGTTCTCTCAAGAGCTCATCGGCATGTTCCTTCAATCGCTCATCCTCATACTCTAGCATAGCGTAAAGTTTGAGACAATTCCCCAGCCAGTCGCGACTAGCACGCAACAGTGATGTCGTGACCTTTTCCTCTCCCTTGGCTTTTTGCTTTCCCGCCAGCAAATGCAAGCACCAGCCGCCCAGATACCACGCCTCAACACTGCTGTCATTCTCTCCCACTAACCGCTCCAGAACCTCAATCGCCTCGTCTTCCATTTCTGCCTCCATCAACAAACGAGACAGACTAATGCGAAGAGAATAGTCGGGAACCTTGGCGTCGTCCGGGTCCAGGTCCTTCCACAGCTCCATGCTTCGTCTTAGTGCGGATCTTGCCTCATCGGGCTTCAATTGCGAAATTCGGATGGACGCCAGTGTCTGCAGAGGCTCCGGATTCTCTGGTGCAAAAAGAAGTGCTTCGGTGACTGCGGCGTCGCATCTTGCTTCTGCGTCTTCCTCCCACGACAAATCCGTCATGTAGACTTCAGCAATACCACACAGCGAGTTTGCAATCTTCTGTCTCTTCTCCTCCACCAACTCTGCCACCTCGTTGTTCTTCGCCATCTTGCCTTCCAGCCCACCAATTTCCCTCTTGAGCACTTCAATGCCCTTTTCAAACCACCGTACACTCTCTGCCCCACCCTCTTCGTTTAATTGTGCCATCCATAGAAATTTCTCTGCTCCATCGTGTGCGCCTTCGGGATCGATGATAATGGCGGCTTGGAATGCTTCACGCGCAGAATCTGGGTCGCCCAACTCTACGTTGATTTCGCCGAGGAGGTTCAATGCGGGCAGCGCGGCGGCCGAAGGCTTCGAGTTGCCAGGCTGAACCAAGTTCAGTGCTTTTTGTGCGGCGATGAGCGCTTCCTCTGGCTGTGATGTTTGGAGAAAAGTAGCCGCCTGGATTAAGAGATCTTCAGCCGAAACTTTTGGTTTCGATGCGCCAGATTTCACGCTAGACTTTGCGCTCTTCTTTCCCTTGCGGTCCGCTGGCTTCGTCTTCGCCATTTTTACAAGACCTTTGTTTCGGTGTCGAGGTGTGTGAAATTGTTGCAAGTCGGCAGTCCGACCCAAAAATTATTTCTCGAACATCGGGCAGTCGGGGCTAGTGACGTGGGGGAAAAGAGCGGGCATGCCGCCCCACCAAGCCGCAAGCCTCAGCGTCAACTTGCAAGTGTCGCCCGGCGTTGGCACTCTCGCAGTCTACACACATACTTAATTCGTCATGGGTGTCGAAGAGCAAAAAGAGGAACGCGAAGTCCTCGAGTCAATCTTCGCAGACGAAATCACAGGTACGCAACGATTGGTTGCGCAAAAAAAAAACATCACTGTACACCAAGTAAATATACTAACAACACCCTCCAGACGTTTCCGAGACAGAGTTCCGAGTCGCCGTCCAACTCGACGATGGCCGACACGAAGACGAAGAGCGCGAAGATGACCAACGTATGCGCAAGCACTCACATACCTGAACACCACATATAGGCTTACCAAAAGGAACCTCGCAGCAACCATCATCCTCAATGTCTCCTACCCACTCAACTACCCCGACGAAGCCCCCCGCCTCGACATAACGCAACCCCCCAACGCCCCCAAGCACCCCTACCTCGACATCCAAGAAGACAAGCAGCGCCTCCTCGACTCGCTCTCGGAAACCATTGAGGAAAACCTCGGCATGGCCATGGTCTTCACGCTCGTCACCGTCCTCAAGGACAGCGCCGAACTCCTCATTACGGAGCGCCAGAATGCCAAGCAGGCGCTGGCGGATATGGCGGCGGCCAAGGCGGAGGAGGAGGAGAACAAAAAGTTTCAGGGTGAGGCGGTTACGCGGGAGAGCTTTTTGGCGTGGAGGGAGAAGTTTCGGGCGGAGATGGCAGAGGAGAAGAGGCGGAAGGAGGAGGAGAAGGAACTTGAGGATAAGAAGAAGAGGATTGTCAAAGAGGAGAAGAAGTTGACGGGCAAAGAGTTGTGGCAGCAGGGTTTGGTTGGGAAGGGTGACGATGATGATGACGACAATATTGATGAGGTTGATGTCGGGAAACTCAAGATTGAGGCGACATCATGATGTGCATTGCGTAAATTTGCGCCGTAAAAAACCGAGTGCACATAGTTGCATAGCCAAACTATACTATCAAAGTTTTGGCTTGATCACCTGTATTGGGCGCCTTCTTCTTCCCCTCACAATCGTCTCTCCCTCCTCCAGTGCCATCTTCATCTCCAAGTCCACAATATTCTGCATCTTCTTTGTGATCTCCCTATCCTTGCGCATGTCTCTTGCATGCGCTTCCTGATTTACCCGCTCCGATTGTCTAATCGCATCCGCCCACTTGACGTCGTCCTCGCGCGTCTCCAATTGCGCACTGATCAGCGCATCCCACTCATCTTCCTGCTGGCACATGGGTAACCACCAATTGCTCAGTAGCACCTTTGTGTCGAAAAGCTGAATCTTGCGCTGTAGTCGTTGACGGAGAACACGGCTCAGAGCTGGAGGCTGAGGTTTTGTGAGGCGGAGGAAGGGGATTCCGTTCGCGGAGGACATTATAGGAACATGGCGGGGGCCGGAGGTCTTTGCGTATGGGCGGACATTCAAGACAGCCTTCTCTGGAGGAAGACACGCGAGTCGTTCTTTGGGTTCCTTGGAAGATGCATCTTCGGTTCTTCTCATTGGAGGAGCGCGTATCAGAGCGCGTGGTAGCTGAGCCACCATTTGCGTCAATATGCTCGTGCTGGCTGCATCGCCCGCCGTCGAGGCATCAAGATGGTCCAACGTCTACATCTTGTCAATTGCGGACAGACGCATGTCTAAAAAGAAAAGTTCACCTCATAGCCAGCCTTGAAACTCAGCCCCAGTTGGTACGGGCTTTGTATCTTCCGGTTCCGTCGAAACTTGTTGCGCACAGCGTTGCGGAGGGAGACGCGATCGTCATCGGAGATGGGAGTAGACGAACATCGTAAAAGCAGGGCCCGGTAAAGAGCAATTGCTGATCAAAATGTCAGAATCTATGCACATATATTCCTTCCATGGTCTCACCTGCTATACGATGTTGTGTTGACTTTTTAGGCTCGAGGAAGCGGGGCATGCATGGGGATTGCTCGCGGTGGAGGTTTCCAGGTCGGAGTTGCGACGCGAGATATTTCGACTAGTATGACACATGGTCACGTGCCGGATTTGCAGTGCTCTACAGTACACAATACTCGAGTAGAGTCCGTGACTCAACACTACTTCCTGTGTAATATTACATTATTTAGTTGCTTGTTAATTTCAGCGCTAGGGCGACTTGAGATACAAATCACGTGCATGTCTTTTCAGCTTGTTGTGGCAATGTATAGTCATATAAGTACGCCACAGGTCTTAACATAAGTGGGCAAACATAGAGCAAGGGAAGCCATGTATCAAGAAAATATGTATATCATTCATAGTCGTGGTCAATTGCCTAGACTATGAGTTCATCTGGCAGACCAAAACTCCGTCCCATGCACCTTCACCTTGTCTCGTCGTACATTCAGATTTAGCATACAGTCACACGTCTGTTTGAACTGCTTTCTCAGGACAGTTGGTGTTCGTGAACACGGCTAGAAAGTCGTTCCCTCGGGAGGCTGTGGGAGCTTCTTGTTCTGGGGAAGCGCCATGTATCTGATGCATTATATGGTCAATGGTGGACTTGTCTGATAGTGACTGTGCTTACCTTCGAAGCTCGATGAGGATAGTCTCCATGGTAAACTCACGTTTCCACTGGGCTAGGCAAGGCAGCTTTGTGGGATCGACCTAGCCTTGTCAGTACGCGTTCTTCCTTACTCAGCTTGCAGGGTCCTACCTTTCCGTTCTGAGGGTTGACGCAGGGCAGGTTGATCTTGGACGTGAACTTGATGTCCGGGGGTGCGTCGGGGTACTCTGGGCCGCAGTGGATCGACACGCTGTAGATGCGGTTCTCGTGGACGCTCTGGGAATCTTTGTCAACGTGCGACTGGGTACATGGAGGAAGAGATGCATACATGGGGTGGACCTAGTATGGTGCCATTCCAGTCTGACATCAACAGATCATCTCCGTTATCCAGACCATATGAGCAGGCCTCTGTCTATTCTCAGCAATGCGTTCTCCATGGCCAAGTGGCAGGTCTACCGTACCAGCACCAAGCCCCTTCTCACCCTTCTCCAGCTCTTCCAGCAGACGAAAGTTGCGCGGAACCTTGGCACCCATTGTTGCAGTGCTGGTGCGAGAGTACTGATGTGAAGCGTGGCGCGTGAGGAAGTGGGATGGACGGACCCCGCTCAAGAGGTAGGGTAATGGTCGGCGGTGGCTATGGGTGAAGGTGCAGGATACGATTCGAAGTGGCCGGTGGTGACGTGCGCAAGTCTCTATCAAGCAGTGTATCGACAGGCGCAATTCTCTGCAAGGCTATCGAGTGACCAGCTGATTGCTCTGCTGCTTGTCTCAAGATGCTTGTCGGGATCGACTAGTGCCGATGATATGACGAGGTTGCGGCCGACCAGGGTCCCACCTAGCACATGCATTGGTCCATCGCTTGGCCACGTCCGCTACGCGACATCTATACGTTGCCTTTCATAGTCGGCCAAACTACATCAACAATCGTATCCTGCATTTCAAAGTCGCTCCTTTGCTAGCACAGTTCGCCCAGATGCTTCGGGTCATTCGCATAGCATGACGGCTCAAATTTTGGCAGCTGAACTCGGGAACCTCATCCAGGACTCGAAGCGCAAGAATACCGAACTCCGAAATGCTGCAGAGGCAGCCCTCAAGGATCTTAAGTCGCTCTCTAATACCTCCGAGGCTCAGCTCTCAGCTGGTGAGCTAGTTTGTTGCCCGTCGCTTGATTACATGTTGACCGCGTTCAAGATTTGTCCCGTCGTCCACATTTCATCTCACCTTTTTTGATTGCTTGCAGTACTCACAATGCCAAATTCGCGTCGACTGGAGTCTCGTGTCTGCAGAGACTTAGTGTTTCACGCGCTTTGCCACGGGAGCGACTGACGGAAATCCTGGATGCATTTCGCGAGTCGGTATCATCAAGTAGAGCTCGCCCACTCCCGGAATCCTATGCGCTCAGCTGATGTAACTAGGCCACGACATCCAATTGAAGATACTGCAAGCATTACCCTCTTTACTCCAAAACTACCCTGCGGAAATTCGGGGCGATTCTCTTTCATCTGTCCTTCAAATATGCTCAAGTTTACAAAACGCAAAGAACTTTGCAGTAAGCAACACAGCTGCTGCGACATTGCAACAGCTTGTCATTGTTGTGTATGACAGAGTCGCTTCCGAAGATGGTACGGTCTAGCCATCTTTATAGCCGTTTATCGTGTACTGACCTCTTGTCAAGAGAAAGCACTGGAAATCCCCACCGTGACCGAGGTAAAAGGTGACGATGGCCACGTATCAGTCAGACCAGCAGCGAACGATGCTTACAAGGTTTGCATGGCCTCCACTTTGGTCTGATCTTGCTAAACATGGGTAGATGTTTACCGATCTCATTTCGCTGATCGTAGGAGAAAAGCCCGTGTATATGCGATTCGCTTCGCTGCCACCATCTTCAATACTTGAGCTCATCGAGGCAGTACTGTCAAATCACAACGAAATCATGACGACACATCCAGAGCAAATACACATCTTGCGGGCCCAACTCATGCCCCTCATCATTCGCTCTTTGTCTGACCGACTATCATTTCCAGTGACTGTGCGCATCATTCGGATACTACATCTGATTATTCGATATCATCTTGACATACTCCCCTCGGAATGCGAGATTGCACTCGGTCTTTTGAATCATATGCTTGATCCAGAGGCTTCTCAGGCATGGAAGAGAGCGCTCTGCTTAGAGGTATTTCGCAGTATCTACGCCGATTCTAAGCTTCTTTTGGCCATCTATGCGCTATTTGACGCGAAAAGCGAGAAGAAGAATGTTTTTGGTGATAATTTGGCGGCTTTCGTACGGCTTGCCGCCGAAAAGCCTGCACTCATTGGCCTTGGTCAGCAATCAACAGCCGTCGTTGGGGCCGAAGACGGAAAATTAGCGCTGTCAGACCATGCTGTCGCTGAAGCAGGTGCTCTGGCCGGCGTCATAGGCGGCCCTGTGAGTGACAGTAGCAGCGGTGCTCGTCCTTTTGGAATCAGCACACAATGGAGCGCTCTCAAAACTCCTTGTATAGAACACCTTGACAAATCCGACCCGCCTGTCCTACCAGACACGTATATCTATAGTTTGGTGTTGACATGCATCACCAACATTTCCGAGAGTCTGGCCAAGTTTGTCCTTCCTCTGACCGTACACCACGAAGGCCGAGCCCGGAGAAAGAACAAAGCTGATGACGCGAACGAGCCTGATACAGAAGCTGTATTGCCAAATGAAGGTTCCAATCGGCTTTCGCGAACCCAATCTTTCCGCAAAAAAACTATACCTGTAAATCCTCTTGACCTCACAGAACACTCCGCCTACACCTCTGTGCAGACTTCGACGAGCTTGGTTACGGAATGCTGGCCCGCAGTGCTTGCGACCTGCTCGACTTTTCTTAATGCCGCGCTTGACAACGACTATTACCGTGCCCTGGTTCGGTCTATACAAAAGATCACTCAGGTCGCTGGCCTTCTTAGGCTTTCGACACCACGGGATGCATTTTTAACAACATTGGGCAAAGCAGCAGTGCCATCAAACCTGTTGCTAGCAAATGTACCGCCCACAACTTCAGCTTCAGTTGACAAGCCTGGGGTTTTCTCTAATGCCAAAGCCATACTTAGCGTAGACAGCTTTGTGAGTCAAAGCTCTTCAATGTCAGCAGACAAACATAGAGGTCCCCAAAATGAGTCAGCAATACCTGCTTTAACTCCTCGCAATCTGCTGTGTCTGAGGGCTTTGCTCAATCTGGCAATCGCGCTGGGACCGACCCTCAATTCCGCCTGGTCGATCGTTTTTGAGACGCTACAAGTAGCCGACTTGGTCATGGCGTTTACAAGTCAAACAGGCAGCCGCGGGTCTGGACCTGGGCACGGAGATGGGAGTACCGAGAAGCTGGAGGCAGAAACATCAGCTGTACAGGCAGCAGCTCGCAGA